GTGCCCGTCGTGTACCTCTTGATTTCTCGAAGATGAGCTGTGACATTATCTACAGGGACACCGGAGCCCGTCATGTCAAAGCACAGTGGAAACGCAATCAGTGCCAGTCCGTGCTTCCAGAGCGCTTGCGCACTTTGATGCTGATGTTTCGGTTGGCAGAGGGTGCTGTCAGCTCGGAGCCGCAAGATTCCATCCGATGTTTCATTTGCGACAGAGTTGAGCCTAGACAACTTCCGCTTGAACCAGCAGTTCGCTGCAGTCTCTGTTTGCTCCCTTCGCACAGCCAGTGCACAGCTGAAGTTGTGGCTGTTCTAGAGAGGGCGCTGCAGACTCGGGGCACTGCGCCTGTTCCTGAGTCCTCGGCTGACTCTCAGATTTCTGCTCCTGCGTCTGCGTTGCCCTTAACCATGCCACCTGGCTTTCAGTGGCCAAGAGCTTTTCGAACCCCGGCGAGGCCTGGGCCTGCGCTTGAGATAAGTCATAAGGGCCGGGAGTGTTTCAGTTGTGTTTCCAGTTGAATGTACCAAGGGACCAAGGGTTTACCAAGTTTCCGTTTGTGCTACGTTAGCATGTGCAAATCTCGTTGGAGGTTTGAGGAGCAGCTGGGCAGTTTGCAGTTGGCAGTGGCAATACTTCGCCTTCGCTGGTTTCTTCTAAGATGTTTCACGCATCACCTAGAGGCAAGCATAGAGGCTTACTCGGGAGGGCCGTTTTGAGCAGTGCGGCAGTGCTGTGGCTTTGTCTGCATCCTTCTGATCTTATTGGGCGGGTTAGCCAGTTTATGGCTTTCGGTTTTAATTTTAGTTTAAAGGGTTTGGGGCTTACGGGTTTATAGAAATTGTCAAGGGTTCGGGTGCTGAAAACGTTTTGTTTTGACCGAAAGTATTGACCCATTCCGGTTCAGGGTTTAGGGTTGACTGATGATGCCGGTATCACAGTCACGACCACAACGTCCCTTAGGCTCAGGTGTGTAAACTGTGTAAACAAAACAGCCGAGTATTGCAACACATCAGGCCGGACGCCCCTTCTTGAGGTCTGTACTGCGGTCTGCACGTCTGTACAGTACATAATTTATTTACATACTTCGTAATTATGTACTGTCAAACTGTCGGTTTGCCGTTTGACCGAAATACTCTCCAAGTACAACGGATCCAAGTCGGGCCTGCAAACCTGCAAGACTGTCAACACACGTTTTTTCGTTGCCACTGTAGCATTGTGGCAGGATCTGCAACTGTTGCCTTACCTGGACCCGCTCTTCCATCTCTGACCACACCCCGCCGTCAGGCTGGGTGACTGCATGTTTTGGAGTCGTGATAACCGTAATAGGTTCATGCGTTACCAGAGAGTGCTGTGCATTGATTGATTCCGTCCTGCCGTCCCACGTCTCGCAGATTTCGATTTCACGATGCAGAGGCAGTGTCCGAGACGTCCCATCGCAGGCGTTTTATGTTGTTGTCGGATTGTTGTCGTAACAATGGTAAGCACCAGATCTCAGCTAATGAGGATTTGCACCTCTTTGCGGAGTCCTCTGGCTTGCGCTGTTTTTCGCACACGAAAAACCAGGCGCGCGAGCACGCTCCCACCCCTCCCCTCCCTCCCCGCACCAGCCCCTGCCGCACCTTGCCCATCCGAATTCGTTTCTCGCGCCCTGCCCCACCCACCACACCCGTGCTCTTCAGCACATGCCAAAACAGGATTAACAATCCAAATGGTTCCCACCCGCCACCCGTTTCATCGTGTGGAAGGGGCCAGAGGGGAGCGGGCCATACCCATCCGAATTCATTTCTCGCCGGTCAATGCCCATCCGATTTCGTCTCTCGCCGGTCAAGTCAATAGTGGTCGTAAGGTCGTAGGGATTTCTCGTTCTACCAGATATCATATGAACTTATGAACTCAAGTGCACTCTGTACAACTGTGTAACCTTGTAACTTGTAACCGGCAAGGTGATCCGAGTGCTCCACTTGTTCCTGACCGAGTACGACGTGGTCACGATGCTTTTTCCGGAGGCGGCGCTTGAAGTGCAGAAGCTCTTGGTAGGGCACAAACCGGACTTTTCTTAACCTGAAGCCAGACACCTGCGAATTCAAGCCTCAATTGCCTCAATGGTTGAATGTTTCAATGATGTTCGATATTAGCTTCAACTGCCAATGTGTTGCACAGTTAAGCTTTCGGTTGTTCGGTTAGCTTGTAAGGATTCTAAAGTTCGGACTATAGGGTTGGTGCTGCTTAACTGAAGCTGCCGTTGCGTTTCTGTGCCGTCAAAGTTCTTCAATTCTTCCTGTTGCTGACACTTTTTGTGCTACTGACTCTTAGACTCTTTGCTCCCAACATCTCGACTTTAAACTAAATGAGTCAAACGAGTGCTATGCTCGATGAACCGGTAGATGGCTGATAGCGTAGTAGCACCCGCATTCGAGTCGAATGATTGTTGCGTTTTTGCTCGTTTGCTAATCGCGAGAACCAAGACGAAGAGACTGATTTTGGAATGGTAGCTGAAACAGTTGCCTGCAGTGTCATAGTATGGGCGGTATTTTGAACCTGCCTTGCATGACTTTGTGCAGCTGCTTGGGCCGGGCATCCATTCAGGGTTTGGGGTGTAGGCTTACTTGGAGGTTCATGGGGCTTAGTAAGTACAGATATAAGTACCCTAATTAGGATTATAAGTACATATAAGTGTAGTTGCCTTAATTATAACCCTAGTTACTAAGTCCCATGAACCTCTAAGTAGGGTTGAATTTCGTTTCTGACTTTGTCATACGTCATTCAGGCTGCGATTGTTGAAGCATTTTTTGGGCCCCTTGAATCCTTCAACGAACGGTTTACCAATGTCTCAATGTTATCACTAACTGGTGATGCCATGACTGCCATGATGATCTCTGTTGAGTTTGGCTGTGCGTTGTCGGGAACCGAACTCAATCAGTCTGCCCATATAGATTAAGATGCTGTCCAGGTTCCTCCTCGAGCTCTTTGCGGCCTTCGTCGCAGATGAACGAGTTCAAGGCGAGCCGAAGAGTCAAGCTCATCCAGCCGGACAGTTCTAAACATCAAAGTTTCCAAAACCCAAGGTTAGTCATGGCTACAAGGGCTGAGTTGTAATATTGGCTGACATTAGCTGCTGCTGGCTCGCTCGCCAGGTGCGTTCCGAAGATAGAAGCAGGAGCCGCGCCCGCATGCGGCCCAGATACTTTCAACCCGGCAGTCTAGAATAAGTTTGACGTTCAGGATTACAAGCATTACTTTGATACTCTACTATACTTTACAATTCTGGGTTTTCCTGAGTTTTTCTGCGGTCTCTATTGCCAGAGGAAACTGTTTTGATGGTCAGGTTCAAAGGCTCCTGGATCTTCAGAAGCCGGTTCAATTCAATCTAATCCAGCTGCAGTGCAGGGGTGTCAGACTGATGGTGCCAGGCTCGTGTCAGGTGTTCAGTGTTCAGCGATTGCAGTGAGGCACGGGAACCCGGGCACGGGAACCCGGAAGGAGAACGCGGGCGAGAGGCAGAGAGGGAGAGGGAGAAGGAGAGAGAGAGAGAGAGAGAGAGAGAGAGAGACAGAGAGGGAGAGAGAGCGAGAGAGGTTCAGAGGGGTAGGCAGTAGAGTTTTTAAGGGCGCACACAGGCACTTAATACGAGACCAGAATGATTGCAAATCATGACAAAATGATGACTCATAATCTCATAATGATGACCTATTAGCCTAATAGTCTATTGGTTTGTTAGTTTATGACTCTATGACTCTCCAACCTTCGTACGGACTGGTATAGTCCAGCTGAAGTGACTTTTGCTTATGCTTCAATTATGCAGCTTTGTCGTAGCTTTGCCAACTAATTTGAAAAACTTGTTAAGTCCAAACTGCTGTGTGAATTCCGAGGTTAATTTGCCGTGCACCCTGGTGCACATTGCAGGCTGGCTCGGGCACGAAGTGCAAGCTGCCACTTTTGGCGTAGCAGCAGTGCACTGAGCGCTGTAAGCAGTAGGCAGTAGCGCAGTAGGGGCTGCCTTGGACATTTACGTGCGGCTGCTGCTGATCAGTGTCTGTTCGGGCGTGTCATGTCTCCTTTGTTGGGAATGCTTGCCCAATGCAGGCGAGCGCCTGCTACTGCTGCATGCAAGCTCTCGATTCATCCATCCATCTTGTCGGCGTCTCAGGCCTGCGCTTGACTTCATCATGTCGTGCAGAGTCGAACTCTTGCAACCCAATGTGTGCACTGTAGTAGTTGCTGCAGAGGTCACGCTTACATGCCTTCTGTTGCATTACATGACTACATGAGTGACTCGACTGTCGCGAGTCACCGAGTCACCGCATGACAGGAACATTGCAGTGTGATGACAGTGTGATGTATCGACGTTCTGTCTTCTGTGCAGTGTACCATAGGGTCGTAGAGGCAGTGAAGCCTGGGTCTAGCCCCTGAGGTCAAAGCCAAGATCCAAACGAATTTGTCCTCGTTTTGGGCGGCCGCCTGAGCTCCTCTCGGCACACCGCGCAAACCATGTCGAGCCAGCAAGTTCTAGGTTTTGGCTGCACTTTTAGCTGTTAGGTTGTTGGCAATCAGGCAAGGTCGCCACCTGTAGATTCAGATGCATTGGGCAGTCGTGCTTGCCTTCAGCTAGAGGAGACGCACTAATAAGTATACCTTACCCAGTACCCGCTGCCTTGTCCTCACTTTGAAATTACCAAGGTTATCTTTTGCATTTGCTTTTGCACTGGTGTGAGTGGCAGCATCTACGATGACGATGCAGTCGGGCCCCTGCCGGTGACAGTTGTGTGTGCTAGCTATAGTTGCTGTGGCAGTGGTAGAGAGCTCACAAGTTCACAAGTCAAGGTTGCTTTTTGATTGTGTTATTTCAGCACATTCAGTCACGTTGTTGCTGGAGTTGCTGACTGCTCGTGCATGTGCATGGGCAGTGCGGCAGTGCGGCGGTAATATCAAGATGTTGCGGAGTTTTCAGGCCAAAGCCTTGCATGGAACCTCAGACCGTCTTAGACTTGTTGACCTGAAGCATGGCGACGCCGGGGACTGTTTCTCGGTCCGTTTGGACCGTAGTTGACAGACCGGTCGGTTGCATCATTGCGTCAAACAATGGTGGCATCCTGGTGCTCAACGAGAACACGGTGACAATGACCATGGCGCAAGATGCAGCAGAGGCCGCAAGCGGAAGGAGCAGCAGTGTGCCAGATGCTCCAGAACAGTTCCGAGGACGAAGTGGGCCTGGTGATGATTCCGGTGACGGTGACGGTGGTCCTTCTGGCGGCTCTTGTGCCTGCTGCCAGGAAATGCGCCTAATGAACCTCTACCTTCAATACCTTTTGGAGAAGGAGAGGAGGGCGAGGAGAGCCAGGACCGTTCCTTCAGATGATAATTCCCAGGCTGAGGGCAGGATGCGGAACTTCCAATTCCGTCTTCCGTTGGGAGATGCGCGGCCGAATCCCATTGATTTGGCCGGGTCACTTGACGAGCCCAGCGCTGCTCCGACTGCTGGGGCGGTCTCCGTCCGCAAGCGTGAGGTCGATGCAGAGACGTTCCAGAATGAGGGCGATGGTTCCACGGCCAGCATGGCCTGGAAGAGATTGAAGGCATCTCCAGTGACGCTTGCGCCGTTGGAGCTTGACTGCTTTGGTGAGTACTTGCCAGACAATGTACAGTTTCTTAATGCAGCACCCTCCAAGAAGTAGTGGCATGGCATGGCATGGCCGCAGACTGTGGGTCGTCGGTGGGTTGTTGTGTTTAAGGACGAGCTAGCAAGGCTAAAGCAGCAGTAAGGGAAGCATTAAGTTTAAGAGGCGGGGTTTCGCGCGGGCAACTGTCAACAGTATCATTTCAGGGCATAGAGATCCGTTGAAGACGGATGGTCAATAGCAACATGGATATTGCAGTCTATCCTGCAGCTCATTGAGTGGCAACTTGAGGTAATGGCAGTGTTGACGGCCATGTCTTGTGCCATTGCTTTCACCGGGTTTGATTCTCGTGAGCAAGTCAAGTCTGTGAGACCTGGCGGAAGTTTGGGGTATGGCAGAGCAGAGCAACCAAAGTATGGCAGCGACCTAACCTCAAGGTAATTTGGTTATGTAATCATAAGAATCATAAGTTCACTTTGGCGTTGCAGTAGCACCCTGATTTTGTGCAACGGGGGCAAAGGCAGCTACTGTCCCAATTATTATTTGCTTCGGGACTTTAGGCGGACTGCAGCTCGAAGCTCACGGTCATCAGAGTGCGAGACTCCAACGCCGCTTTCGTAATTTCCCAGACCTTCCAAAATCCCTTAATTCAGGAATATACCTTAAACCGTAACTTAAACCATATTAGGGATCCTACTATGATTTAAGATTATATTCCTTAATTAAGGTATTTTGGAAGGTCTGGGTTGATCAACCCCACGTTGGCCCAAGTGTCATGTGTTGGAAGTTTGTTTGTGATTTGCGACCCCAATCTCACAAGTTGACTTGAAGACTCCAGCGCCAGCTTCATCGTGGCAAGTTGGCAGCAGGACCTTGCGAGTCACACCGTCACAGCTCAGTTTGTTGAAGTTTGCTGTAGGACCTGCATCCCCAGCGTCATACCTCGCGAATGTCCTCAGAATGACATTGTAACATTGCTTGCCAGCTTAAGTTTGCAGCAGCGTAGCCTATAGGATTATCGTGTCCTGCTCACCGACTATACTAAACCAATGCGCAGGTTCGCCATCCACATACTCTTGTGCATCGAGTCGAGGATGCCTGGGGCCGTCTGGTCTCACCAGGGCCGACTCCAACTGCTTGCAGTCTTGCAATTGGTAACTTGCGTTTCGCCGTTTGCAGCTTCAGTCAGATGTCTTATTGTCATTGTTCGGAGGGGTGACGGCTTGTGATTTGGGCTAGAATAAAGTGGTGTACCTCTGTACCTCGCCTTTTCGTACATATCTCACGATTGCTAGGATTGGATTGTCGATGGCGGGTCTGTTGTGGTACTGTAAGACAGCATGTCCTGAAGCAGCGACAGTTTTTGCGAGCGCGCATGGCTTTAGCCGTGCTACCATGCATTTGCACCTTGTGCAAGGTACACTATATCATGCTTAGTTTAGTGGGGCGGCGCGGCTGCAGAATTCCGAGCGCACGTCGCCCCCATCCCAGCTCTGCATCCTGCCTGCGTACAGTACAGGGCCATGTGGACCACACTGGTCCTCGGGCCCGGCTCGGGAGCAACACCAGAAGCGGACCCAGCACTTTCGACTGTCGATGCGAAATCGCAGACGCTGTGGAAAACACGTCTGGCAGCCGTTTGTGTTCGAATGCTTGGTTTTGCTGATTAAGCAAGTGTAGCGCAGGAGCAAATGTTGGCATGCCTGCCACGCTGCTATGCTAGAGCCGCTAGAGCAACATGCAGGGATCACATGATGGTTGCAAGGGTCACAAGGTTAACTCTCTATGTGAATGTTTCGCCTCTTTGTTGCTGGTCCTGTCAGGTACTTGCACGAATGTTTCGCCTCTCTGTTGCTGGCTCTGTCGGCGGCCCTGTCGCCTACTTGCCTGAATGTTTCGCCTCTCGGTTGCTGGCCCTGTCAGCTACTTGCGCAAATGTGTCGCCTCTCTGTTGCTGGCCCTGTCGGTGGCCCTGTCGCCTATTGCCTGAATGTTTCGCCTCTCTGTTGCTGGCCCTGTCAGCTACTTGCGCGAATGTTTCGCCTCTCTGTTGCTGGCCCTGTCAGCTACTTGCGCGAATGTTTCGCCTCTTTGTTGCTGACCCAGTCAGCTGGCGTGAATCGTTCGCCTCTCTGTTGCTGGCCCTGTCGGTGGCCCTGTCGCCGTCGCCTACTTGCCTGAATGTTTCGCCTCTCTGTTGCTGGCCCTGTCTGTCAGCTACTTGCGCGAATGTTGCGCCTCACTGTTGCTGGCCCTGTCGGCTATACTTGCGCGAATGTTTATCCTCTTTGGGCCAGATTCGAAAACTTCAACACCATCCCACGAGGCCCTCTTCTGAGGGTTCAGCGGGGGCCGGGGCACCTTCCCAAGGCCCTCTTCTGAGGCTTCAGCCGGCGGGGGCCGGGGCACCTTAGATGTGCGTTTGGGATTTGGCCAGATTAGAAAACTTTAGAACCAAAGCAATTTTTGTTTCCTTGCAACAAGAGCAAAACGCACATAGACGTCATCGATGTGCGTTTTGGAATTGGCCAGATTCGAAAACTTCAACACCATCCCACGAGGCCCTCTTCTGAGGGTTCAGCCGGGTTCAGCGGGGGCCGGGGCACCTTCCCAAGGCCCTCTTCTGAGGCTTCAGCCGGGGGGGCCGGGGCAGGATTTGGCCAGATTAGAAAACTTTAGAACCAAAGCAATTTTTGTTACCTTGCAACAAGAGCAAAACGCACATAGACGTCATCGATGTGCGTTTTGGAATTGGCCAGATTCGAAAACTTCAACACCATCCCACGAGGCCCTCTTCTGAGGCTTCAGTCGGGGCGGCCTCCTGGAAGAGGTGCTTCGGCCCCCACCCCTGCTGAAGCCTCAGAAGAGGGCCTTGTGGGAAGGTGCCCCGGCCCCCGCCGGCTGAAGCCTCAGAAGAGGGCCTTGGGAAGGTGCCCCGGCCCCCGCTGAACCCTCAGAAGAGGGCCTCGTGGGATGGTGTTGAAGTTTTCGAATCTGGCCAAATCCAAAACGCACATCGATGACGTCTATGTGCGTTTTGCTTTTGTTGCAAGGAAACAAAAATTGCTTTGGTTCTAAAGTTTTCTAATCTGGCCAAATCCCAAACGCACATCTGAGGCTTCAGCCGGGGCGGGGGCCGGGGCACCTTCCCACGAGGCCTTTTTTCGTGAGGCTTCACCTTCCCACAGGGCCTGCTCAGCCAAGGCGGGGGCCGGAACACCTTCCCACAGGGCCTGCTGACGTCGCTGGTCTGCCGCTCTCCTTCAGCTTCTTCTTCTGAGTGTCGCTCGTTGAAAACAGTTCATTCCAATAAGTGCATTTATGTCAATCAAACAACCGACCTGGGCTAGATACCTTCATTAACCACTAAACTAAACTGCAAAACATTTTGGATAAAAAAAATATTAACAAAAAAAACAAACAACAATTGATATTTGTTCTAGCGAAAACACAAACAAAGATATAATATCTGCAACAAATAACCGAATGCCAGCAATCCAGGATCCGGGGCCCGGCTGGCTCACCAATCCCTGGGTCCGGGCCTGATCGGTGAGCTGGCTCACCAATCCTGGGGTCCGGGCCCGGATCGGTGAGCTGGCTCACCAATCGGTGAGCTGGCTCACCAATCCGGGGCCCGGATCGGTGAGCTGGCTCACCAATCCCTGGGGTCCGGGCCCGGATTGGTGAGCCAGCTCACCGATCCGGGCCCCGGACCCCAGGGATTGGTGAGCCAGCTCACCGATCAGGGCCCGCACCCGAGCGATTGGTGAGCCAGCTCACCGATCCCGGCCCGGCCCCAAGGGATTGGTCCCGGACCCAGGGATTGGTGAGCCAGCCGGGCCCCGGATCCTGGGTTATTTGTTGCAGATATTCCCCTGAGCAAACTTGCCTTTGGCTGGTTCATGCAGGTTCCTAGCTTACTGCAATGTAACCGGGTGGAGCAGCTCATTCGCAAAGCTTTGCATGAGCCTGCCGCTGCTAGTAAGCATCTTGCGCGTATTTTGCGCGGGCACATGTTTGATTTTAATTTTCGTGCTTGTGATGCCAGTTTGTCTGCCGCTTGGCGTTTTGTCAAGAACACTGCATGCAACGTTCCTTCGCCGTGGCTCAGGTGGAATGGCTGGGCCGATGCCCTGTCACGCATGCTGGCCAGGTTCGAATGGGTCAAAGCAGGTGATTGGAAGTGGCATCACCCTGCGCTTGGTTTTTCATTTTCCTTGAACAAAACTGATGGATGGCAAAGCGACCTTGAGAAGCTGCGCCATAATTTGCGCGAGAGCTGGCGTCATTGTCATTTTCATGGTTGGCTTGACAGTGGTAGGCGTGATGCACTCTTCTGCCACCAGGTCAGATATGATGCCAAGCGATGTCTTAATGCTAGAGCTTCGGCCGTTGTGAGCCGTTCTTCGCGTGCTATCTTGTCAGGAGCCTTCGTTTCTCCTGCGGTTTATGGCATCATGAAAGGCCATAGAGACGATGATGAGGCTCAAGCTTGTCCTTTTTGCCATTCTTCGATTGGCACGCTCGAACATGTTGTGTGGCACTGTCGTGCTCTGCCGGATATAGCTGATAGACCTAGGATCCCGAGGGATAGGCTTCAGAAACGTTTAGCTTGGCCTATGGGCCACTCTCGTGACTACGATGAATGCGTGCTCGCTTGGCACACGCGTGTGAGAAAGCTGATTCTTGATCGCAGGTACCCTTAGTGCCTGCCGCTTGGTGATTTTTCTTTCGGTTTAGTCCCGCCTGCCTTGGTTCGCCGCTTCCCTTAGGGTTGTTAGGTGTAAGCTTGCGTGGCCCCTTTTGGCCTTTTCTTTGCACACTTTTTCGACGGCGAGTTCACGGAGTGGGACTTCATCGTCTTCAAGACTATATATATATTATATCTTTGTTTGTGTTTTCGCTAGAACAAATATCAATTGTTTATTGTTTTTTTTTTTAAAATTTTATCCAAAATGGTTTGCAGTTTAGTTTAGTGGTCAATGAAGGTATCTAGCCCAGGTCGGTTGTTTGACTGACATAAATGCACTTATTCGAATGAACTCTGAAGAACACCTGGTTGGTTGCTGCCTTGACAACTGTTGCAATTAGGTTGTTGACTCAACTTTGTTGCCTTGTCTGAGATTGATGTCAGAAACTTCTTTATTCGTTTGCTATTTGCTGGCAAGTGCATTGGTTTATCGCTTCCACCTGAAAACCTGTCCCAGTCACACGGCATTCTAAACTGCCTACACCTATTCCTGTCACTAGGACAAGATTCATGCACTGGAGCACTGCTACTCCCCAGCCGTTTCGGCACAGCTCGGTCCTGTCAGGCGGGGAGCCGACCCTCTCCTGCTCCCAGCTCGCTCCCAGCTGCAAGGCGGTGCGTGGAGAAGCATGACGCAGGCTGCTTCTTCCACCAAGTCGTCCTCTCCGGGCGAGGCAGCCCAGAGCCGTGGTCTTCTTGAAGGGGTGGCTCCTCACGAGGTGATCCAGAAAGGGATCGACCTCTTCGATCCAAGCCTCACGGTGGAGGCCTTGTGGGGCTCTACTCCGCCCTCTGGTGGCGCTCTTCTTGAAGCGGTTTTGGCGTTCTACTCCGACGGCTGCCACGACGTTCCGTGGTACTACAACGAGACTTCCGACGGCGGCCCCTCCAAGAAAGCTCGCAGCATCGTCAGGTCGCCCTTGTCGCGCGAACTTCAGGAAGCAACGGTTCAATCCTACGCAGACAGAGTCATCCGCGAAAGTATTTCGCAAGTGGCCGCAGGCCAGGTTCGGAGATGGTTTCACTTTTGTCCTTCGCCTCTACTGACTCTACTGCTGCTACTGAATCTATTGTGCAGCTGAATCAAAGTTTGCAGTCTGCATGAGTGCTTCATCGCTGGGTGGCAAGTGCATCAGGTCTTGTCCTGTCAGGCCTGTCAGGCCAGGGTTGCAATTGTGAGCATGCTTACTCCGGCCGCAGGAGAGCCCATCTTCAAGTTTCGCACGATGGATCGGGTCCTTCCGTGCGAGGCCGGAACGTACAACCACCGGGCCGAAGCCGTGTACAGGGCCTCCGAGATTGCACCGACGCACCCCAACGTGGCTCCGGTGCTTGAGAGGGGCCTCAAAGCCGTAAAATTCGTGCACCCCCGAATTCCGGACAAAGTGTGGCATCGCTTCATAGTGACCCACAACAGCTTTCACACTGGCTCTGGCGAGAACTTCCTTGACTACTTGCAAGAATCCATCACGATGGAGGCCGATTGGGAATTGGAGACAGCGAGGACAGGTTTGCATAGCGCAAACCCAAGGTACAAAGCCGTCTACAGAGACTTCGTGCTCAGCAGAAGACTCATGGTTGCATTGACTGGCAATTACTGAGTTCACTGTGAGTTCCAGATCTGCTGAAATAGTGCTATCAGATATCACGAGTTGCAGCTTTAAGCCTGCGAGCGCGGGCGGTGGGGAACACGTGAAAATGCTGGGCTATGTCGTTGTGAAGTTGTGCACATGTCATGTTTCCTATCCCAATGGGACCAAGGCTTGTACTTTCGCGATTGGGATGCATTCCGGAAGGCGCTCTCGCTCGCGCATATGTTGCGTAACAGATTCAAGGTCTGGGAGGCCTTTCGGACGTTCTGCAACAGCCATGTCGATTTCCTTGGCTCAGAGATGGATCCTGCAGCAGTCATCGCCTCGATGCATCAACTGGCCTTGCTGGTCATCGGAAATATGGCCAAGTATTACAGTGTCCAGCAGACGGCCGTCATGCTGTTGCACTCTTTGAAGCACTGCGTACCTTTGTGGCATATGCTGTACTGGTTTAGCGTTGTATGATAGTCATGGCTCTATATACCATATACACCAACCCACCTGCAAAGCCGAGTTGAGAGTCCGTTTCTTTTGGACGCGGGGGGAGGGGGGGCGAGCGTCGTGAACATCAGCATATTCTTGAGGGTGATTGGTCGTGGGAGTCCTGGGTTGGTGGACGGATAGGGGCCGTGGTGGCTCGCACTGCTGGACACCCTCAGTTTGGGAGCTGAGACTAGGGTCAGGCTGTTGGGGATTACGGGTTTGAAGAAAAGCTGCTAAAATATATCTGTAAAAAAATTAAACCAACTACACTCACCCAGACCTTCCAAAATCCCTTAATTAAGGAATATACCTTAAATCATAGTAGGATCCCTAATATGATCTAAGGTATATTCCTTAATTAAGGGATTTTGGAAGGTCTGGGCAGTACTCACTACACCCTTTAACTTCAAACCGTAAACGCTCGAGCAGTGAAGCCCTCACCGTTGCACCCTGAAGTCCCTGAAGTCTTGCAAAAATAGGCACCGCCGGCCTTTGCTTTTGAGACTGTAAGATCCTAAAGGCCCCCACACCGAGAAAAGTGTTTTTATGCGTGCTGTTAGTGCTTATATAGTGGTGTTGAGTTTTTCGGCTTTTGGGCGTTTGGGCCTCTTGGTACTCAGTGCTCCAAATTTCCAAGTCGATGCTTGTTTCGGGAAGCACAGAAACTTAGATATAATGTCGCCGCCTCATGCGGACTCATGTCGCCAAGGGCGGTGGTTGGGCAAAGGATCAGGTTGCCAGGTGCTAGCAGATTCTCGCACCTTTCAAAATATCGGGGGTCTTCTCGCGAGACCGCGCGGACGCACGGTACTGTAAAATGGCAACATCCACATCCCACATCAGATCAACATCCATTCCGTGTCTGCTAGAGGCTCCAGTCTAAGAATCATGGAACCGTAGGATGACCGACCATCAACTTCAACCACAATTTCACTGGAGCTTCGCAGCTTCGCCTGGTGCTTTCGGGGTCATTGAGGTTGCTGGGTTGACGAGACGGTCGGAGATGGGAAGGTCGCAAGGTCCTGTGTTATTCAGTCGTTCAGTTCATTGTTCAGGATGCCGGTTTGGCAGGGATGTGGGAGTAAGGAAGGTCAAGGCCAGGCATGGGTTTGAGACAAACAGTGGTGGGCGACTGGGTCTTTTACGTTTCACAATCCGTGCTGCCCGACCCAGCATTGATTATGTGATTGCCCCTACTACTGACCCTAATGACCATAATGATCCCAAACAGTCCGAGGTCCCCAAGGCCACCGGCAAGAACAGCAGCGAGCGCCTTGCTGGCTGGACGTTCAAGCACTGGGAGCAGGACTCAGCCCGCATGAACCTCTTCAACTTACCAATGACTGACTCTGCCGTGGTGAAGAAGCTGACCGTGCAGACTGCTGAGCAGGAAGGGGCCAAAACTGGCAAGCGTGCTCAGGTCTGTGGTGACGTTCGCAGTGAGCTGGCCGGGCTGGGGGTCCGTGACAAGAAAGCCCGCGTCGAGGCTGCGACGACTGTGACGAGTGACATGCCTGCTCCAACGGCCCCGACAGATGCTCCGCAACAAGGACGCTCGTGATTCATGCAGTTTTTTTCGAGCGAATGAATGAAACACAGAAAACACAGCTTATTAAAAGCTTATACCACTTACTAGATAAGCCGCCTTGCGTAGTATCGTGATTCGTGATGGCTTTCAGGTGCAGCTCCAAGTGTCCTGGGCGGCGCAGATGGCTCCGACAGCATTAAGCCCACAGAGCTCAAGCTGAAAAAATCCGACAAGAAGTCAGCCTTCGTCCCCTTCTCCATGGAGGAGAAGAAGATGTTTCGCAAGTTCATTGTGCCCACCTGTCCCACCGAAGACGACCCCGCGACTCGGGCGCTCACCGCGCTCGACGACTTCATGCAGGCCATGAAGTACGCAGAGCACGTTGTCAAGGCCTGGGCTGTCGGTTGTTCGATTCCTTAGCTTTGGGTTCAGCTTGAACGCTCGCTCCGATCATTCCTGATGAGGCCGATGCGGAACACGACGCTTCGTATCCACTATATAAACCCTAAATCCGAACCTTAAACCCTAAAGCCTAAACCCCGAAAGTGATACATAGAAATTGCCTGTCTTTGGCCCAAAGACAAGCAATTTCTATGTATCACTTTCGGGGTTTAGGCTTTAGGGTTTGGCTCCTAAAGCAAATGGCTTCTCTGTTTTCGAGCAAGTTTGCTGATCAAGAAAATGGCTCCTCTGTCTCCGGGCAAGTTTGCTTATCAAGGTAATGGCTCCTCTGTCTCGCTGATCAAGTAAATGGCTCCTCTGTCTCCGGACAAGTTGGCTGATCAAGTAAATGGCTCCTCTGTCTCCGGGCAAGTTTGCTGATCAAGTAAATGGCTCCTTTGTTTTCGAGCAAGTTTGCTGATCAAGTAAATGGCTTCTCTGTCTCCGGGCAAGTTTGCTGATCAAGCAAGTGGCTCCTGTGTTTTCGGGCAAGCTTCCTGATCAAGTATATGGCTCTTTTGTTTCTGGGCAAGCTTGCTGCTCAAGTGCATGGCTCCTCTGTCTCCGGGCAAGTTCGCCGAGCAAGGAAATGGCTCCTCTGTCTCCGGACAAGTTGGCTGATCAAGTAAATGGCTCCTCTGTCTCCGGGCAAGTTTGCTGATCAAGTAAATGGCTCCTTTGTTTTCGAGCAAGTTTGCTGATCAAGTAAATGGCTTCTCTGTCTCCGGGCAAGTTTGCTGATCAAGCAAGTGGCTCCTGTGTTTTCGGGCAAGCTTCCTGATCAAGTAAATGGTTCCTCTGTCTCCGGGCAAGTTGGCTGATCGAGCCGCAGCCCGCATCCTCCAGCCCAGCCCCAGTCCCAAGTCAGGTTTCAGTCAGAAAACCACGGGGCTCCGAGGTCCGCAGGCTCAGGCTCAGACATCACATGACGTTTGTCCAGGTTGATCTAGGCAACAGCGGCAACACCGCTGCAATGCGAACGTCCATGTCCTGGCTTAGCATGAGACGAAGATTGTGGGGACCTAGCCAACTGTGAACGTATCCAAGTCTGTTGAATCAAGTGAAGCCATGTTGCCTTACATGTTTTTGGTGTCTACCAAACCGCTCTTGCAGATTCGTACATGTCACGATTTTGCAAGCACAGACCACTGTTTGTTGAGATATAAACGTTCATTGTGGAAGATCGAGGAATTGAGCCTCCTCTCTGAGCCTCCAGCTAACAGGTGCCCCCTTCTCGGGGATGATGACCAAGGCCGCGGTCCCAAAATCAAGACACCGTCAAGACACCCAATTTTCGAAACGAGTCATGCTAGTTAGCTAGGATGGATTGAAGAATCCACTGCTGAGGGAATTAGGCATCAAACCATTTGATCTCGAGTCGTTCTGTTGGGTGAGTGGTGAGGAATTGCATGGAGATGATGTGCCAAAGGACAGCTTGGACAACACTTTCTCATTCTGTGTCGCTGGTACGAGTTTCAAGTCTTGGTTTCTCTATATTGCCGGGCTTAGGTCTTGGGTGTGTCGATGTGTCACGGTTTTGTAGGAAAACCTTCTCCCCATCCGTGATAAGTGACACCCAAGACATAGCTGAGGCAGGTCTGTTTTTGCAATTCGTCTTCGATGGCCGAGTTTGTCTAAGTGGAAAGGACCTCCGCGTGTGGACGGGGGCCAGGGCGGAGCTCCAAGCCACATATGTGGCCGCATTAGACTTCATGAGGATGCGAGATAATGCGACTGAGTCTTCGGCAGCTGGCCCATCCGGTGCGGACCGCAAGGTCGGGGCGCTTGATCTAGCCAAGATGCTCTGCGATTCGTATGTGAATATCCCGGTGCAAACTCTGGTGCTCGACGCCGATGAATCGCAAAGTCTTCGGCGTGTCGCAACAATCATGAGTACGCAGTTCACTGACGTGGTGCAGCCGCTGCGAGAGTTCTTGGCAAAGTATATCAAGCTACCGGTCCTCATGCATGACACTGTGCGAGACACACTGTCGGGGCCACTGGCACTGCATCAAGTTAAGTTTTCGAGACCCCGCAGGCTAGTACAACAGTCTGATACCTAAATCATCATAAGTAATGACCAAAACCCTAGCTATAGTCTCCAATGAACTTCTGAAGTGGCTCACCGTTTTCACGGTTAGGATCCGATATTATACAGGTACTTTAACTAGTACTAGTACTAGTACTAGTGTAACCCTAACCGAGCTACATTGGACATCCCATACAAACCCAGATAAACAGATCCCTACAGCCTAAAACGCCCTAAGCCCCAAAGCCTAAGCCTAAGCCGCATCGGGTGTAAATTAATTCTTTGCACCAGGTTGATGAACCGGTCAGTGAAGAGGATGGATTTGGTCGATTTGATTTGCTTCATTCAGGGCTATGTCGAAGCCGTCTTGCCATTTCAGTGGACGCTGTTTGCCACAGACGTGGCTGAGCTATTCGCAGCACGCGGCCACTTCGTGGAACGCACGGACGAGGCCATCAGCCCATCAGCCCATCAGCTCATCTTTGTGTTTGTCACCGTGCTTGATGCTAGCTAGCGCTGCAGTCGGATCACGTCGTCAGGGTAGCCTGCCCATGTGATGCAAGCCACAAGCAGCATAAGCAAGTGATTGTGCTTGTGAGTTGGCGTTTGAATCAAAATGACGCAGTACCTTCATCCTTCATCCTTCATCCATCAAGTTTGTTGGCAGGTCTTTGACCAGGCGTCCTTGGCAACCTTCCTCAGCTTCCGCCTGCAGTACCTGGCGCGCATCATTAGCTCAGCCTGCACATGTGTGCCAGAGTTGGTGCTGACCAACGTTGGAGACAAAACGTGGCAGATGCTGTCTGTTTGGGGCGAGAAGGTCCATGAGTCTCTGGACATCCTCGTGCCGTTTGATTCGATGCTTTCCGCAGCAGACTGGGCCCCCCGATGGGCCGAAGTGTTGCAGCAATCGGAGACGGCAGCAGAGATCAACAGGGAAGTCGCGTCCAAGGTGGCGGTTTCACAGCATCCAGAGGCATCGACCGGGGCCGCAGCTTTTGTCCAGATTCGCAAGCAGCCGGAAGTGCAGCCATCCAACCAGGGTGGCAACAACAAGGGCGACGCGAGGCTTGCTGAGAACCCCGGCAAGTCCGAAGAATCAGGAGCCCTGACGTTTCGTTGGCCCCACCTTACTTACTTTGCGCCCGCCGTTGCTTCTGAAAGGTTTCTTAGGGTCTGCGTTTTGGGGTTTTGGGGTTTTCGCAGCTTCTTCCTTTGAGCGTCAGCCTCTGTAGTATGAGGACGGCAGAGCTCTGACTCTGTGGGTAGCGTGAGCGTGACTGCCATGAACGACTACGTCAGCGAGGCATTCAAGGAGTCGTCGACAGCTTCAGCCGAGTGCAAGGCCCTCGGCCTCAGCAGGGTCTGCGCCAAGGTGCTGAAGAAGTTGGAATGCAAGCTTAATGCTGCGATTTGGGATGTTTACGAGTCGTGCTCTTCCGAGATGTCGGGTGTCCACGTCAACATCAAGACTGCAGCCGGTAAGGGTGGCAAAGATGCGGTTCAAGTGAACCTACCAATTCCTGAAGGAATGCGCCTGCCGTCTGTCCATCGGCTCTCAGCCACCAAAGGGCCCAAGGCCATTTGGTGTTGCAAGATCTTTGGTGTTCCTGAGCTGAAGTCGGACCTTTCTGCATCTCGCTAAGTTCATCGTAGATCTTAGGCTTAGGGATGGTTTCGTCGCACGCGTGAGCGTCTTTAGCCCATCCAGGGTTAGCGAAGTTGTTCTGAGAGAATACCTCAGAGGTGCTTGAATCAGTGCTTGAAGTTATCCTAGCTGCATGGCTTCGTCCTAATCGCTGCAGCCTACATGCCGTTCATGTTGGATTTAGAGATGGACCAGAGATGGATCCCCAGACTCATCCCGTCTCAGGTTGACTTCTTCATGGAAGCTTGCAAAGACTGCCTCACCACAGATGTTTGTGTCCCAGCCTGGTCGTCGCGGCCTGTTTCGCGCAACGACCAGGCCTTCTTCGAAGCCGTTGCCGTCAAGCAGAACGTCATCATGTTCATGACGGGCCCCGGGGACTTGGACTTTGACGTGAAATTGTTGCCTGCTTCGGCTTCGGATTCTCAGTCTGGGCCCGCAGACAAGATCAAGGAAGAGGTGGGCAGCAGGCATGTTGTGGTGCCGCTGACCATACAGTGCCTGGTGCCCGTGCCCGACTTGCAGGATCTTAGCGAGTTGCTGCCGAGTGTTTCTTTTCAATATACTCATAGGACTCAAAGAAGCGGTCTTATGTAGTCGTTTACCCCCCGCGGCGCCAGCCCATGCCGGGCCAGAGCCATCCGAATTCGTTTCTCGTCGGTCAATACCCGTCCGAATTCTTTTCTCGTCGGTCAATACCCACCCGAATTCTTTTCTCGTCGGTCAATACCCATCCGAATTCTGTTCTCGCCCCGCCCCTGCCGCGAGGACAAGCTGGACAAAGATCTGAAGGATCAGCGTGACAGTGTGGAAAAGCAGATTCGCAACTGGATCACGACTGCCACGAAAGCCAAGGCTAAGGCAGTTAAGAGCAAGCGAAAGCATGCCGCTGCGAACGATGACTCATCCAACCAGAAGACTGACAAGACTACCGTTGCCATGTTCGAGACGCTTGGATTGGACATGCCGGCTGACAAGGATGAGCAGATTGCTTGCTTGAACGAGCTGAAGGAGCAGGAGGTGAGGTTTGAGAGCCTCGTCCAGAAGGCCAGGGATGCCATTCAGATGCCCAGCGCCATCCCGTTGACGCGACTACAGGGTGACGATGATAAATCGCGCAATGTGCGTGCCAAGCTCATGCAAGAGGCGCTGGAACAGGCGCAGAAGGAAGAGCAGGGCGGAGGCGTTGCGCAAGAGGAGTGGGAAGCCTCTCGATTCGGTGCTGTGGCGGCAGTCAAAGCGGCGCAGCAGGGTGCGGGTGTTGTCGGCAAGGATGCGAAGGACTGGGACTTCAATTGAATCCAGTAGAGTCGTGAGTTATTTCGGGCATTTAGGCCGGTCGAAGGGGTCCGTGTGTAGCTGTAGCAGCTCATCCCATCCTAGCTTTGTTGTTGGTTTCGGCAGGACAAGAAGAAGAAGAATTCCGTTGCGAAGGATGTGCTTCAGATGGGGAAGCATATGCTGAAGTAGCATGGCCTTCGCGTGACCTTTGTCAATGGCAATGGCTAGACCATTCCAGGTGTGCCGCAGCAAGAACCGGATAGCCGAGCGATAAAATTCAGATGAGCAGTTTTTGGTACTGCCCGCAGCCCCCGCATGCTAAGCCTGAGGAGTCGTATCATCACTGTTATCAGGACAGCTTAGGCAGCTTGCGTGTAGAACTGTGTTTAAACTGATCGTCGAATCGTGTAGGTCGTCCAGTTCCAGGGGCAGCGGGCACGGGTCACACACACACGTGACGGCAGGGGCTATGGCTGGCCCAGACATGGTGTTCACTTCTGTGCTGGCTGTTTCCTAGCCTAGCCCTCTGCAGTTTGAGAGTCAGAGTCCTCTGGGAGGACTGCCGTTTTCTTTTACGACCAAACGTGTAGTAACCGTACAAGCTTGAGTCCGATCTGTCTGCGTGTCACAATGGCACCAGCAAAACCAGCAAGCGGCGAAGCGGCTTGGCTTGGCTGGCAGTGCGGCATTTTTTCAGCGATACACAATCCCTTGTTGCCCAAGCTTCAGTTTTGCAGCTGCGTGGCTATGCAGTCTGACTTGCTTCTGAAACCTGATATGTGTAGTACTGCGAAAGAACACTTGAGCAACAGGAGATTAGCTGACGGCTCGCTGCATTAATATCTTTGCGTACGTTAGCTTGTGCTTGTACTTGGATTTGGGCTTGGAGCGTGGGCCTGAAGAAAACAGCTGCGGAACTGAGACTGAGCCCTTTGACTCGGCATGGTTTCCTCAGCTCATGTGCGGATGCGTGTGTAGTGGCAGCATTGTCGAAGTTGCGTAGCAGCTCAGCAGCAGCGGCAGCAGCATTGTAGCACGGCTTGTGACTTGTCACGCTGAGGCTGAAGTCAGTTTCAATTTCGACTCCTCCGCCATTGCCGTGAAAGTGCCGAGTGACGAGGCGCCGGACGAAGTACTCGCGCTTGTGACGTTTGTTGCCATCCAGTGAGACAAGTGCCCTCCAGTGACAGCTCCCGTGTGCTTCTTTTGCTAGTAGTCATGTTGAGTCATGTTGCTGCGATTGCGAGAATTTTGTTTTATTTTCGCTGCCTCCGGCCATCACCGGGCCATTACCGCATTGGGCCGCATTGGGTCTGCTCTCAGGCTCTCAGGGTGTAGCATGGGAGAGAACGCTGTCGGGTTCAGCTGTGTGCATGAATGATACAAGGTGATGAGCAGGGCTTGGGCAGGGTTGGCCTGGGTCATTCCGGTGTTCCGCTGGAGCCAAGAGTCAAGAGGAGTGCACGATTTCTGGTTTTGAGACATTAGTTTTGAGGCTTTAGTTGTAGGGAGAGGTTGTCTGTAAGTTTTGAAAATAAAAGTAGCATGTGGCGGGCGGTATGACCCAGCACGACCAGCAATGTTTCGGGCTGCTTGTGCCATGCTTGGCTGCACAAGCCATCTGCCGTGGGGAACAGAAGCACATTCTCATGCCTTTTCAGTGTCGCCAGGTTGCCAAAGGCGGCACGTTCTTTTTGCTGGAAACAAAGAGTGAAGCATGCTCTTTTCCAGCCGTTCGCCAGGATGAGGCCTACCTTTACAAAGTTGTTGCGGAGTTGACTTTTGTTGCCAATCGACGACTTTCGGACGATCAGCTTGTAGCCATGTCATCATTAGGGAAATGTGGCATCGGGAGCGACAAGACCGCTTTACCCAGAAATCTTCATGAACTAGATGCTTTGAAGACGAGTTTGGGCATCCAGGAGGGTTCCCACAAGAAGTTCAACGTTGTTTGGGAGGTCAGCGTCAAGTCACGCTACGAGCCCAACCTGTGCGTGGCGCAGCCGCCTCTGCACAGCACTGACGACCTCGCGGGTGGTCTCAAAGGGGCTGCTCCATCCAAGAAGCGTAGATCAATGCAGGACTGTCCGTTGATTCGCGATCCATGGCATGGCGCATGACGGCAAGCTAGGTTGGTGTCGTGTGATGATAGTGATACCTATTACCGATTGCCTACTATCACTTCGGAGAAGTTGCCCGGGCCCGCCCCCTAAACTTCCACCTACCCCCCGAACCCGAAGCCCTCAAGCCTCAACCCCAACAAGAATCTGGTGCACTGGTGCCGCAGCGCTGCGCTGAGGGGTGACTCTGGAAGGTTTTTTCTGGACAAATAATGTATAATGTTGTGTAGCCTTATGATACACATCGTCGCCATATTGACTTGGCAGGATTCGGGCCATGCAGACGATGCTGAAGGTTATGCGTGGCTGACTTTCAGTAGAACTCTGGTACCGCCGCCGGTGCGGCAAGATGCCGCCTCCGCCGCCTCCGTTCCCTCTGGCGGTGATGCTGATAGTCGTGTCCTGGTGTCACATCCATCACATGCATCAGAACGATCAACCAGATCAACCAACACAGTGGATTCAATCGAGCGAGACCTCCACCAGCTTGTGCATTCGACTCCTGGTGGTGATTGCGAGCAGCCCGTCGCCACGGTCGCCCCGACGATTGCCGACCCCACGCAAGGCGCCGCCACACAGGTTGACTTGCAAGGCAAAGAACACGAGCCCGATGCAAATGCCCCTCTTCGTGAAGAACCTGTAGCTACGTGTGCAACTGTTCAGAAGCCAGAGGACAACGAGTCGGAGCCTGCGTCAGAGCCGATGCCGCAAGCGAAAGTAGACCATGACTCTGACGCCAACCGGGCTGCGCCAACCCCAACCCCAGTCCCAACCCCTGCTGAGTCTACTGAGGCTGAGCCTGAGAAGCACACTGAGGTGTCGCCAGAAGCTCTAGCTACTACTCCACCTACTTCCGCAGCGTCGCCAACTCAAGTGCCACACCCTGAGCCAGACCCACCGACTTCAGCAAGTGTGTCGCCGTCTCTTGTGCCAAGTCCAAGTGGCTCAGCCTCAGCAGATCCAGCTGAGTCTGCGTCAACTTCCGCATCAAACATGTTGCCACCAGAAGCTCCGCAAAGCTTCCGTGTTCGTGATCCAGATGAACGCGCCAAGCGGCCTAGGATGGTCAAGTCCATGGCCGAGTCATTCCTTTTCGAGGAGGACTGCTACGACACGTTGCATTCCGAGGAAGGGGAAGACAAAGTGACCAGAACTTATGAGGCCATGGCAGACGACTCCTTTTCGACAGCTTTTTCTGGTATAGAAGCAGCGGGTACAGCAGTCAACTGCTTGAGGCAAGCTTGGAGCAAGAAGACGGGCCTGGAACTCCCTCCGATTGCGGCATCATACCAGATCGAGTGGAACAAAGACTGCATCTCTGAATTGTTGCCGCATGCCAGACTTCACGGGACGTGCTTGTTCAAGAACATTGCCATGTTCTACCGACCAGAGCTCACAGAGACAGTCCAGCAACTACTTCAACAACCACATATGGCAGTTGAAGTGTTAGCTCCTTTGATAGCTTCCAAAAGAGCAATGAGGCTTGAAGCATTTTGCGAAACCCACGGCAAGCTCTGTAGTTTGCGCACTTGCAGGCGACACGTGGCTGGGACTTCATGCAAGCCATGGTCCAGGAAGGGTAGTGGCCTTGGTGCTTGCGATCCGGAGATCGTGTACACATTAGCGTGGGTAGGCCTCCGCCTCATGCTCGAAGATGTTGAGATCATAAGCGAGAACGTCAAGACACCCGGAGGGGCAGGGTTGAGTTCCTTTGCAAGGGACGGTGGCCAGCCTTGCCCTAGCGCGGCAGTCACAGATGCTGGATTGGGCAACCTCCTGTTGCGTTTCCTCTCGCCGATGTATCATCTCGAGACCACGATCCTGGATCCATCAATGCTCGGAGACCCCTTCTCTCGAGAAAGAGAGTTCGTGAAGATGTACCATAAAGTCAAAGTCCTCAGTCGGCTGAGCCCAATCAGCAGGTTCCAGAAGCGGTTCTATCGGATTCGTGCTTGGAGCTGGAAAAGCTTCTTGGCATTGTTTTTTTACTGTGGCTCTTTACTGTTTACTGTCATGTTATTGCCAGACTGTACATTGTACATTGTAGATACACTCTACACCTTGCGGCCCTGGGAAGTCGTGTGGTAGCAATCGTAAGGTTAGTCTCCTTAAAAGTCAAAAAGCTAAACCCTAAACTCCTAAACCCCGAAATAAAGTCTTAGACTCTGAGCCAGTCTTAGAAATCAGGCTCAGGCTCAGGCTTATAGGGACTTTCGAGAGGGCGCTTCAAGTCAACGAGCCGGTGTAGGGCTGAAGGTCTCTAGGTGCAGTTAGGCTGGTAGTTGGTTAGGATACGGCAAATTGTCAGGTCTGTCAGGCTGTAGGCGACGGGTAAAGTTTCGTAAATATTTAGGCCTGGGGCGGTTGAGGGTGTCGGGTTCGATTCGTTTCTTGCGGTAAACATAGGGTAACATTGTAACATCCCCGGTCCCCTCCGTCGAGGTGTCTACTTTATGCACGAGCCCGTGATGCGCTCGAAAGGCGTGTTGGGAGATGACTGCCAGGCTGAGCTGGATTGGGCACAGTGTCGTCCGACATCTCGATTCAAGGGATTCAAGGGGCAAGGTGAGGATCATGATCATGCAGATGAACAGCTTAAGCAGCAGCCCTTGGATGTCACTTGCCCATCCTCGTGGGAAATGGCCCTCAATGAGATGGAATACAGATTCTTGCAACAGTATCGGCGGGCGTGGCCTGACTCGGCTTATCAGCTCAACCAAGATCCCATGTCGGGTCACGGCCACCCCGCCAACGAGCTGGTCTTCTTCACCTTGATCGCGAATTTTGGGCTCATTTGGTCAGATGTGGCCAGACGTTGGCTTATGCCGACTGAAGCGCTGATCTGCCAAAGGTTCCCGGTGCTCCCGTACATCCATGATGGTGTCAGCTTGACATCTTTCAACAGCAAGAACAAGAATCGCAATGCCCGGCATGTCTGCAGCCAAGTTGGAAATTCCATGCACGTCGGTGTGATGGCTTTACTCCAGCTGCACTCGTTCGCCGATGTGGAGGTCAAGTCCGTGCCATGCTTGTTTCGAAACATCAAGCTTGCAAGGCAGGGAAGTTTGAATTGAGTTTGCCTTGCTAGAGGGAAGAAACTTTTTAAATTCAAAGGTGTTGTTGTTACGATGAACGCTGTCCGTGCTGTGGCTGTGGCTGTCAATGCTGTTTCTAATTTTCTATGGGTCTGGGTTTGGGCTTTGTGGAAGCGAGACAGTCTTTTCTTTACCATAATGTCGTTCAGTGTGCATGTTAGCCTGAAAGCTGAATAGGTAGAGTAGTCAGAGTGTAGTATCGGCAGATCAGCAGTCGCAGTAGTGGTGTCGAATGGGGCTTCATACGGTGCAGAGCGCCTGCAGTGAGCTGAAACCGAAACCTTCTTGTCAGCAGGTCTGCGATTCGTGAAAAGCTGAAGCGAAAGTGGCAAGAGTCTCATCCCGCTGGTGCGCGAAGGGTTCGTTCGAAGAAGCCTCCATGTACAGACTGTACAGATTCGAAAAAATGATTTCTGGACCGTACCCTGCACTCTTTGTCGTAGTTAGGATATGTCCTAGCTCCCTTGCAGTTTGAGTTTGAGGTATCGTGGAAGCGTCGACCAGTGTCGAGTGCTGCAGTGTTGGCGGGCATATGGTGTACTGACTTGTAGTTTTGCAGGGTTATAAGGGCCTTAACGGTTAAGGTTTTACTGTCAGGCTTACGTCATGCAACAGCTGCACATCCGGCACGTTGTATCGCTTTACGCTTGCTGAGCCGCGAGCCCTGTGCCAATCAACCAAGTTCGGATGCTCAGACGTCGAGAGTCGAAAACATGTTGCCTTATTGACGGTTTGTGCAATCTGCATCTGTGCCGCTAACCTGCCCTGCAGTGATCATAGTCCCATTTCTTTGGCAGGCTGGCTTGGTCTTTGTGCTGCGAGCGCTGATTTTTGGATCCATGCGGATCCACGCGAAAGCTCTTGCAAGAGAAAAACGACTCTCTAGGTGAGGTGTCTCTGACGTTCAGGGCTGCAACTTACTGCAGAGGCCGGGTTTGCCGGCCGGTCGTTTGTTTCAATGCTTCCGGGGATGATTCCAGGATTATGCCAACAAGGTTTGGATCAAACCCTATAAAGCCAGCCTTTAAACCCTGAGTGTCATCTGGCTTGCAACCCCTTTCCATCACGTGAAGGCCTCAGATTGGTGAGCGTGGGGTTTGCTGGCACCAGAGGGTGGCTTCAGGCACCTAGTGAGAATGATTGTAGCGACTATAACCCATATTAGGGGACTTATTACCCCACTTATAACTACCCATGAACCTCCAAGTAGGCCCTAAACCCTATACCCTTATAGAATCCCTATAGATCCCTTTGAAGGGACCCTTAAAGAAACCCTCATGAACATCCAACTACTGGGGATGCCAGAGACCCTAAACCCTTTAACTTTCAGCCTTTAAAGCCCAAATCCAACACCCTACTTGGAGGGTCGGGGGACTTAGTAAGTAGGTAGTAAGTAGACTTATAAGCACCCTAAAAGGGACCCTAATTGGGGTTATGGTACTTATAAGTCCCTAAAATAACCAGTTACGAAGTCCCCCGACCCTCCAAGTAAGTCCTCAGCCCTTACCCTGAAGCCCTCAACCCCAAGTCGCTTCAACCTGTATATAAGCCCTATAGACACCCTTCAACCTTTTTGTGGTAAGCTCTAAACCCTAAACCCTAGGGCATTAAAAAGGAGCTTTAAAAAACCTTAAACCCTAAACCCTAATCCCAAGAGCCCTTCCAATGGGACGTGAGGTCGCGAATTGCGGCAGAGCCATCCACGGATCCCCGAGCTGGAGCTGCGAGAAGATGGGCTTTAGGGTTTAGGGTTCAGGGTTTAGGGTTCGGGGTCTAGGGTTTAGGGTCTAGGGTTTCGTTGTCGTGTCGCCCTTTCCTTCTTGTGGAGTTTTGTTTAGTGTTGTTCCTGTTCGCCCTCTTGTGCTTCACAGTGGTTCGATGGGGCTGCGGCTGCTGCTGGTGGTAGTATTCTTGTTCCGTCTTCTTGTTCTTGGTCTACTTCTCAACATGTTGCTAGCGCTGTGATGGTGGTGGTGGTGGTGGTGGTGGTGGTGGTGGTGGCCGTTCCACATGCTGTGTGTCCCGGCGTGGCACGGTGCATAGTTCCAGCTCATGTCCCATTATCTACACAGCTGTGTCCTCCGGAAAGCATGCTTCATTGTAAGTTTCATTCAATCCTCATCATTGTGGGCTCGCAATGTCTAAACCTTACCAGTGCATCGGGGTTGCAGCATTTGGATGGCAGGAAGCATTTTGGCCCTGGTCCCAGGTTCCGGTGGGGAGAAGCAGTGCAGTCCGTTCTCTGAACCTCGAATGCAGTGGGGAGCACTTTGCCGCCAGTACATTGGGGGAAGCATGTTGCACGCGAACGCGGAGAGCGCGAGCACGGAGTGCGGGGGTGGGGGAAGGTGCATACGTACACTGAGCTGTTCGCGGGGTTCTGGTGGCTTATTGACTATATGGTCCTTCACTGTTTGGGATGTCGCAGGCTTAGTTCCAAATTGATGCTGCTGTTGTTGTTGCTGCTGTTTTTGTCGTTGTCTTTCTCCTCCCTCTGCTATTGACATCGTTTGTAGGCCTAACGTACCGTTGTTCCATACTTTGCAGTCTGCATTCTTTCGGAATCCCCCCTCATCTTCATGAGCATGATCATGACCATGATCATGTTCGTCAGCACCGCCACCATCATCCTCATCATCGTCATCATCGTCATCATGGTCATCATCGCCATCATCGCCATAATCATCATCATCGTCATCATCATTGTCATCATCATTGCCATCATCAGCGTCCGCTTCAGCATCATCGTCCTTGCCGTCATTCTCACCCATCAGCGTCATCTATGATTGCAGTCGTTTTCTTCCCTTGCCACCGAAGCTGGGTTTTTGAACCAGCGAGCGCCAGCAAGACGACTTAGTCGCCTCGTTTGCTAAGTGGCGGCAGTGGACGTATGCTCCGTGAGCTCCTTCATGTTAAGCGTGCCTTGAAATAGCATCATCATCATCATCACCATCATCTCATCGTCACATCATACAGACCAGTGTCGCTCTTTCTACGATTAGTCCGTCTTAGGAACAGTGTAGCTCACTCTTGTTCTTGTATCACTTCGTATGAGCCCTGCATGTCGGGATTCGAAGCCTTGTAGCTCCGACACATGCCCATGCTTGATCCGCAAGCCCATCGGTGTCGGTCTCCATAGGATCCCGAAGAAGGTGTGCCAATTGCAATAGAGAGGAAATATTATCAGTCTGGAGAGATGGGGAGGTGATTGTACAGGTGTTGGTGTCTTGTCGCAGGAGGTTCCGTTCAACAACGTGCGGAAGATGGCAGTCACCGTGCACAAATTGCCAGCCACGGCGGTCGCCTGTCTTGATTGCCCTTCTACTAACAACATGTTACAGTGGTGCTGATGGCACTGGTTGCGATCCTAGACAGTACTTTGCGTACGCCGATTAGCAACCACACTTTGCAAATTTTCCTCCAGGGCTTTCCTTACCAGACACTCCTTTCGGGCCCGGTCGAGCCAGGGCACTACCCCTTTCGCAGGTTAGAGAATCGAGGCAGAGCGTCAGGTGTTTCGGGATACAGACAGGTATTGAGCAATTCTATAATGATGCAGCAGTATAGCAAAACAGTATATAATGTGGTCTTTCAACTTATCAGCATAGTAAGGGAACGGGATAATATGGATAGAGCAAACCATAACCAGTCAGGATCAAGTCTGAGATCGGGATTGCAAGGTCAAATGGGAAAGCATAAACAGTGACAAACTGGACACCTGCAGAGCAAACACAAATAGAATCACGGAAAGGCATGGTCTTGCTGTAGTCCTGCCACAGTTTAGGGTTCAGGGTTAAGATAATGTTCTTCGCATTGCTACGGGGACCCTGAATACAGTTCCTCGAAGTGCTGCCAAGTGTTACCGTGCTGTTCTTGTGATTACTGCTGCATTGTCCCCTCTGCAGCACTGTTGCAAGTATGGTCTAAATTTGGTGAACTGGTGTGACGGTCATAGGTACTATTCCGATTCATGCTGTTATCTTGGCTGTTTCATATTGCTGTCATTCCTTTTGACTTGACCGAATTCAACTCTTGTTTTTTTTCGCTGTCAGTGGTTCACGTACTGCCGGTATCATCACCCTTAGTATCAGTCCGACGATGAGTCATATCAGTCTTGCAACCATATGACGGTTGTTTTCTTCGCGATAATATTGCAATCCTTGATAATCCTTGCAATTCTTGCCTTGGCTAGACTGATCACATTACCATGCTTATCGTGCCCTCGCTGATTACGATTTTGGACTTTATTTCGATCGTAGTTCTTGGCATCATGAGCACGGCAACGGTTGCTTACGCTCAACGGCTGTGGTGATGGTGCAGATGGTATTTATCATGACGGTGGTGTCGGCAATGATGACAATTCCCAATTGCTCGTCATAGCTGTTACCTATTTGTACCGTTGCCAGAGCAGTCACGGTTATGTCTTTTCTGTTTGCCGTGTGCATCTTTGCTACTTGCACACATGCACGCACCCCCCCCAAATCCACTGCAGTGTCTGGGTTCTGCTGAAGAAAGTTACCATACTATATAGGGATCTAAAGTCAACAGACAGGATTTCCTATTTATGGTGGCTTCAAGCAAGTCCCTTAACAAGAAACCCGGCATTGTATCTGTGAGTGTTGTGTTCAGCCGTCGATGCCTTGATTCTGCCGAGCATCCCTTTACAGAAAGGGCTACCGTGACGGTCTTCGGTTCCTGAAACAAACCTTTGAAGGACCCCTTTGAGGTAATCCTAAAACCTGCCTAAACGACCTTTGAAGGACCCCTTTAAGGACCTTAAACACCAAATCCTAAAACCTGGCAAAACGACCTTTGACCCTATAAGGACCCTAAACACTAAATCCTAAAACCTGCCTAAACGACCTTTGAAGGACCCCTTGAAAGACGCTAAACCCTAAACCCTAAGGACCCTAAACACTAAACCCTAAAACCCGAAAGATCCCTTGACCGAAGCCTCAAGGGATCAGTTCCTCACTTGGAGGGTCGGGGGACTTAGTAACTGGTTATTTTCGGGGCTTCTAAGTACCATAACCCCAATTAGGGTCCCTTTTAGGGTACTTATAAGTCTACTTACTACCGACTTACTAAGTCCCCCGACCCTCCAAGCAGGAGTTGGAGAGCTTGAAGCTCCCCGCGGACGCCACGCACGTTGCGCTGCTGAAGGCTTTTGGTCTGGGTGAAGGGTTTAGGATCTTAGAGTGTAAGATTTGGGGTTTAGGGTTTAGGGTTTAGGATCTTAGAGTTTAGGATTTGGGGTTGAGGGTTTGGGGGTTTAGGGGTTTAGGGTTTAGGGTTCTAGAGTTTAGGATTTGGGGTTGAGGGTTTAGGGGTTTAGGGGTTTAGGGTTTAGGGTTCTAGAGTTTAGGATTTGGGGTTTAGGTTGGGGGCCTTTGGTTACAATCCCTGAGCCCTAGGGTTTGGGGTGAAAGTCCGGCTGCTTCGTGCGGCGCTTTCTTTCGATATCTTGCTTTCCAGTTTCGACAGACAGCTCCATGCGGTCCTTCTCGGGCCCCTCCAAACTGAGCCCGTAGAGCCCTAAAGTTTCAACTGTACCCGATACCTGAGCCCTAAACCCTATACCCTAAGCCCCAAGACCTAAAGTAAATCCTCAACACTCAACCCTAAACCCTAAGCTCTAAGCCCCAAAGTGTGGCGACGTTTGTTGAGCTTCTTTGCGCAGGGGGCGCCGGAGAGGCTTGCTGCATGCCTAGGATCGCTGCCGGTGCTGAGGCATCAGCGGGTTCAGGGTGCAGGCGGTCTTTGGGTTCCTTTTAAGGTGTCTTTTGGGTTTAGGGTTTAGGGTTCCGGGTTTAGGGTTTAGGGTTAAGGGTTAAGGGTTTAGGGTTTAGGGCATAGGTTAGAAGGGGCCCCCACCCTGTAATAGTGACCATAAGGATTATATTAGGGCCCTACTAAATTCCTATTATACCACTATTGCAGGCTGGGGGCCCCTTCTAAGGCATAGGATCTAGCAAGAGCGGGCAGGGCGAGCAAAAGAGATGCTCCGGAATAGCCTTCCCACTGGCCTTGGTTTGGGCATTTGGTGTTGCGTTTGGGAGTTTCTGAGGGGTACTTAGAAAGATTTTTTAATTTTTGGTTATTATAATCCCTAAGAAACAGCTAAAATTATAATTTTGCTAGGGTTGGAAGTTCAGGAAAGGTTTGGGGTTTCGGGACTTTCTTTTTGGTTGAGGGATGCTTAGGGCTTTAGGCTTAAGGGCTTCAGGCAAAGCTTGGGTCCAGGGTTGGCATGCGGACGGTTTGGCGTCTCGGGTTGAGGGCAGTTTGGGGCCAGGAGTTTAGGGTTTAGGGTGTAGGGTTTAGGGTTTAGGGTTTCTGCGTGGCCAAATTCGGCAAAGACCTTCGCGAAAGGGGTAAAGTGAGAAAACTGTAGCAGAGCCGTGGTGCCTGCTACTACTACTACTACTACTACTACTACGACTACTACTATTACTACTACTGCTACTACTACTACTACTACTACTGCTACTACTACTACTACTACTGCTACTGCTACTGCTACTGCTCCTGCTCCTGCTCCTGCTCCTGCTCCTGCTCCTGCTCCTGCTCCTGCTACTACTACTACTACTACTACTACTACTACTACTACTACTACTACTACTACTACTACTACTACTATCGGAGTGCCTTGGGACGCCCTCAGCCAGGGATGCCACCCTAAACTGCCCTTTAGATCCCTTTTCAGGAACCCACTAGGTATTCCTTACTTACTTGGAGGGTCGGGGGACTTAGTAACTGGTTTTTTTAGGGACTTATAAGTACCATAACCCCAATTAGGGTCGCTTTTAGGGTACTTAAAAGTCTACTTACTACCTACTTACTAAGTCCCCCGACCCTCCAAGTAAGGGATATTGGAGTGCTTCGGGGAGCGCCCAGCCAGGGATGGCGCGCTTCACATCCCTGGGAGGCCCATGGTGAGCTCGGACCAGGCGGTTTAGGGTCTAGGGTTTAGGGGCGTTTAGGGTTTAGGGGTTAGGGTTTAGGGTTTAGGATGTCTCGCCGCGCGGGCGGCCCCCCGGGGGTGGGGAGGGTTAGGAGGGCCAGGAAAGGGCAGAAAAGACGCCAGGTCTCCCCCGACGAATCTGGAATCTGCCAGCTGGGGGGGCTCCCTGGGCTGGCCTCTGGGGCCTTTTCTGAGGGGAGCCAAATGGAAAGGTCCACCAAAACATTTCGTCGTCTTTGAGATTCGAGGAATTCCCTCTGCGAACAAGGGGCCTAATGGCTTGGCTCAGCCCCAGGGGCTGAATTCGACCACTCTCCAATGGCTCCAGAGTTGGTGTCAATCACTGCCGGATTTCCTTCTGGGTCCAGGCACCCAAAGGGTGGGTACGGCCTAAGCAGGCCTGGTGGGAATTTAGGGTTTAGGGTTGAGGACCAGGCAACTTGGACGTTCTTGGGTATAGTAGGGGTGCGGCGTTGAGGTGTTTAGAGGTGTAGGCGGTGTAAGGTTGGGGGTCGTGTAGGGAGGTTCGGGGTTTAGGTGTTTTAGGGGTTTAGGGTTAGGTGTTTAGCGGTTTAAGGGTTGCTTTAAGGGTTTAGGCGTTCAGTGTAGGGGTTTGGGGTTAATGGAACGGTTGTCCTAACAGTCATACTTGCCAGTAGTCATTAGAAGTGTTGTCGTCGTAATAGCCATAACACAATAGTCACTCCGGTAGTACTGCTTGCAGCTGCTTGCAGTACTGGTAGAACAGGAATGCAAGTGATAAGTGTATTGCAAGCAGTAGGCGCTATGGTATGACCAATTCGAATAGCCACACTCAGAGTAATCCCATGCTCCCAAGCTTAAACCGCAGGAAAAGCATGAGAAGACATTCAGAGCCATGAACTCCTAACACTAAACCTTAAACTGTGTAGTGTGTACAGGCACTCGCGACAAGGACTCCGGCACAGGACCTGAATCCAGACACCCTGAACCCTCATTCACACACCAGGCCCTGAAGCCTTTTGATCTATCGGGGTCGGAATAGGTAGTAAGAGTGTGCCCCTTTAGCCCCTTGTGTAAGTATGCTATACTGGACCCCTATACCAACCCCGATCCCTAAATCCTAAACTCTACACGCTAAACTGAAGGCTTCAGATCTTCAGGGAGCGCTGAGTAGCTGAGGTGCTGCTACAGAGGCGTAATGCCGAACTGGCTGGGGAGGTGGGGGCTGCGGCCTTAGGATTTCGGGGTTTAAGGGTTGCGGAGAATAATATAGGGGCCTTAATAATTACCAATACTATTTAGGGGGCTCCTTCTTATAACTACAGTATAATGGGCCCCAAGACCCTATTCTAATGATTCAAGCCCCTGACTTGGGGGCTTGGGGGTCTTTGGAATGGAGCGTTCACAGAAAGTCTCCGTAGTCGGTTCACAGGCAGCGGCATAATGTTGACCCGGGCCCCAACTGGGAAGTCATACTTGTGGGCAATCATACTTGTCTGCGGTAAGGATCACAACTGTGTAGGTTTTTGGATTTAAGATTTAGGGTTCAGGATTAAGGGTTTATGTTAAGGTCGTAGGGGTTTCTGCAGTCGTCTTCTTGGACGTTTTGACGCTTTCCAACCCCTTTATCGGCCCTAGTTGCCCTCAGCCACGAAACCTCCCTCATATGTATATGTTTGTGTATACATATTTATGTATATGTAGTTAAAACTATATATAGGTGTGTATCTATATATATATATATATATATATATAATATCTGTCTATGTGTGATGTGACATGAAATGATGTGATGTTGTAAAGCTATATTCTCTGGGACCCTGGGGTCCTAAGCATGGTGCCTCTCAGCCAAAACGGACTTCAGTATCGACGCTGAACAGCAGGATCCTTGCTTTAAGCAGCCCCCCAGGCACGATACCCTGATTATCGAAACAGAAACACCCCTCGTGCCGTCCATGCAGGTTCCGAAGCAGGGGCCCTCTCGGACCCCAAACCCTAAACCCTAAACCCTAAACCCTAACCCTTAAACCCTAAACCCTAAACCCTAAACCTTAAACCTCTCTACCTATAGTGATTTAAACCCTAATGACCTCGTGGCTTTGGATCAAAACTCGCGGCTTTGGATCAAAACTCGTGGCTTTGGATCAAAACTCGTGGCTTCGGATCAAAACTCGTGGCTTTGGATCAAAACTCGTGGCTTTGGATCAAAACTCGTGGCTTTGGTTCAAAACTCGTGGCTTTGGATCAAAACTCGTGGCTTTGGATCAAAACTCGCGGCTTTGGATCAAAACTCGTGGCTTTGGATCAAAATTCGTGGCTTTGGATCAAAACTCGTGGCTTTGGACTTTTTTCCAGTGTTTAGGGTTTAGGGCCCCAGTGTTTAGCGGCCTCGGGTTTAGGGCCCCAGTGTTTAGCGCCTCGGGTTTAGGGCCCCAGTGTTTAGCGGCCTCGGGTTTAGGGCCCCAGTGTTTAGCGGCCTCGGGTTTAGGGCCCCAGTGTTTAGCGGTTTAGGGCCCAGTGTTTAGCGGCTTCGGGTTTAGAGCCCCAGTGTTTAGCGGCCTCGGGTTTAGGGCCCCAGTGTTTAGCGGCTTGGGGTTTAGGGCCCCAGTGTTTACAAGAGCATGAGCGTCGCTTATTGGGGGGCAGTCACGACAACCTGTGCGAGGAAAGCCAAGAGCATGAGCATCGCTTATTGGGGGTTAGTCACGACAAGCAGTCCGAGGAAAGCCAAGAGCATGAGCCTCGCTTATTGGGGGGTAGTCACGACAAGCAGTCCGAGGAAAGCCAAGAGCATGAGCGTCGCCTATTGGGGGGTAGTCACGACAAGCAGTCCGATTGAAACAAGTATAGCTTCTCTTGTGATTGCAGTAAGCTTGGATTGTGTAGTTTCTGTCTGAAGTTTATGACAGGTCCTACCAGGCAATAACGTCAATGGTGAAGTCACTAGTGTGTTTATTTACGCGAACGGTTGAAAATATGATAGATTCTTTGAGTCGTATGTAAGTTAGTATTTAATAATTCAAGCCAAAAGGAATAAAACTATAATTCTAATGTGAGGGGATTCTCTGGGCGGGTGGGGTTTATTCTTGAAGATAGCTTGACTAGAAATAGCTTGACCTTAAGTCTTCAAAGTCAGAGCTGCTGAACCCTAAACCCTAAACCCTAAACCTTAAATCCTAAACCAATCCTCGACCCTAAATCCCAAACCGTAAACCTTAAAAGGGGCCCCAGCATTTCTGGACTGACGTCTCTCCTGGCCAGGCCCTGCGCAGCGTCCTCTTGGCCGCACGGCCGCTGACGCTCGGCTGGATTCCACTTCTCAAAACTTTAAACCCTAAAAAAAAAACAAAAGCCTAAACCCTGAACACAAAACCCCTAAACCCTAAACCTTAAACCCTGAAGGGTTTAAGGATTGGGAGTTAGGGGGTTTAAGGCATAGGGTAAGGGTTTAAGGATTAGGATTAAGGGGGTTTAGGGTTAAGGGTTCAGGGGTCAGGGGATTCGGGTTCGGTTAGGGGTTGGGTTAGTGTTTAGGGTTCAGCAGGTTAGGGCGCGGCATTCTCTGTGAAGTGAGCTGTCCATCGAGCTAAGTGGAATAGACAGCTCGTCGCAAAACTTCTCGGGGTCATGGCTTGAGACACGTTTTTTCGGTCTTCTTTGCCAAGCAGTTTGTCGCTGCTTGCTCTGCAAACCGCTCCGTGGTTTTAAAATTCGATAACGCTAAACTATCCTACACCCTAAACCCTCAACCCTGATGTCCCCTGTGCCTCGACGTCACGGCCCGCAACTGTTCCACAACTACTGTGTGAGCTGGCTTTGGCGGCATCAAAGCCCAAACGGGTTTGGGGTTTAGGGTTACCCCAAAGTCACGCAGGAGTGGTCACTGCAGAGTTTTGGCCCTGCTCCTTCTCTTCACCAGCACTTCTCGGTCTTTCTTTCTCTCCCGCTTCCTCTTTCTCTCTTGCTCTGTGTGTCTCCTATCACTTTCCTCGTGCTGACACGAGATGTTAGGAATTTTGGAGTGGTCAGCTGTAGGCATGATGACTTGCTTGAATCACCCTTGAAGACGCTCCTACCTATACCCTTAGTATAGCTATGATATAGCCCATGATATAGCCCATTATAGGGTAGGGGTCCCCATTTGGGGTCCCTCCTTATCCCCTAAACCCTAAACCCTTGTAGATCCCTTTAAAGGAACCCTAAGAGCCCTAAATTAAGGGTCCCTCCTTTTCCCCCTTTGACTCAGCGCTCCGCAGGACCGACGTGGACGTTGCAGCGTTGGAGAAGGCAGCAGGCGCCGACGACCGGCTGGAGGCGTCTACTACTACTACTACTACTACTACTACTACTACTACTACTACTACTACTACTACTATCACTACTACTACTACTACTCCTGCTACTACTACGACTACTACTACTACTACTACTACTACTGCTGGCCTTTGCCAGGGACCTGCAGGGTTTTGGGGTTCGGGTTTTTTTTGGCGAAGGCCCCGAGGGTGAAGGGGTTTAGGGCTTTGGGGGTTTAGCAGGTTTAGGGGGTCTAGGGTTAGGGGTTTTGATAAGAAACCCTAGAAGGTTTCTTTCTGTAGAGGTTGTCTAAGGGTTCTGAATTCAGGGTTGAAAGGTTCGGGTTTTGAGGCCGTAGAGTTGATTGGATTCGGGTTTTACGGGGATTCCACAAAACTCTGCAGGGATTCGTCAAACGGCAGAAGAAGAACAAAGCTTAAACCCTGAACTCGAAACCTTACATAAGCCTAACCCTAAACCCTAAACCTTAAACCCTAAACCGAAACCCCAAGTTAAGCCGACACCTGAAACCACAAGCTCCCACCACGAAGGCGCCTTCCCCCAAACCCAACAACGGAACCCTGGCCTGCCTGGGGGGGCCCCTTTAAGCTTTCGCAAAATCACTCGCACCCCTAAGCCATAAGCCCTAAACCTTAAACTTACTATTTCGACTCGCTGTGCTTGGAGTTTCTTTGGTAGCTACAAGTAGGGTTATAAGTGGGGAACGACACTTATAACTCCGTTTAGGGGGCTTATAACCCCACTTATAACTACCCATGAACCTCCAAGTAGTGAAGGATCCCCTGATTCCCTAAGACTCTTCATCACGGCCTATGGACCCTTTAACACAACAGGAACTCAAGCCTTTAAACAAACCCAAGCCGCGAACCCTGAAGCCCTTAATTGCTAAACCCTAAACCTTAAGTTTAAACCCTACCTTAACCTACCAAAACCTACAAAACAACTAGGGTCCCCATGAATTCCCATATTGGGGTTTGTAGTAGGAACCTACAAAAAAGGTCAGTTATGGTGGCTTAAGGTAAACCCAACAGCCCTAGACCCCAAAAGCCTAAACCCTAAAGCCCTAAAGCCCTAAATTCTAAACCCGAAACCCTAAACCCAAAAGCCCCTAAACCTTGCAGCCTTATATCCTAAAACCCTGAAGCCCTAAAACCCTAAACCCAAAAGCCCCTAAGCCCCGTAACCAGGTGCTCCTACAGGAGAAGGCGATGCTATGCCCGTTGCCTGGCTGCAGAAAATCGCGCACCTCAAAAGGCAACGGGGCTAGGGTTGGGTTTAGTTAGGGTTTGGGGTTTAGGGGTTCAGGGTTTAGGGTTTAGGCTTCATGGTGTAGGATTCAGGGTTTATGAGTCTCACTGAGTGTGGTGTTTAGGGTTTCGGGTTCAGGGTTTAGGGTTTGGGGTTTGGAGTCCAGGGTTTACGAGAGTGTGCTGAAGGTTTAGGGGTTTGCGCTTGGTCATTAAGGTGCAGGGGTTTAGAGTTCAGGGTTCAGGAGTTGAAAATATAGGTTTGCCGGTTTGCGCAGCTTTGATGCCGCTTCGGAACTCCCAGACAGGGTTCAGTCGGGAGCGTCAAAAGGTAGAGCGAAGGTAGGTGGGATATTCCCAAATAAGAGTCCCTAAACCCTAAACCCTAAGCGATCCTGAATCCCCCCTACCTTCGTCCCACCTTGTGAGGCCTCCGATCGGATTTAATGTTCACGAGCAAGGTCACATGATCCGAGTCCGTTTTCCCAAAGCCGTGATCGGGTCGTGGGCTGAAGGGTCCCAGAGACTCCAATATCCCTTAATTAAGGAATAGACCTTGAATGATAGTAGGATCCTTAATATTAAGGTATATTCCTTAATTCAGGGATATTGGAGTCTCTGGGGTGTACTGTTGTGGCTTTGGGGTTTCGTGTCGCGTCGGGGCGTTGAGGGGTTTTGGAGTTTAGCTTTTTTCTGTGGGCTGTTTAGGTTTGGGGTTTTGGTGCAAAAGCATCAAGGATACAGCGAACCTCGAGCTAGAGACAAAGATCCAGAAACCTTCTAAGTTCTAACTCCTGCGGCTTTTCGAGCCAAGTCTGGGCCTGAACAAGTAATAATTAGTAATGCCATGCTTTCGCGTGCCTGGTCACCACGAAACATCCAAACCCTCAAGCACTACGTAGGGTTTAGTAGTGCTGAGGGTTAAGTAGTATAGAGGCCAACAATCCACTATCCTTGAAACCAGGATCAGCCTTTGGGGCATCTTCGACCCACCTCGCGCCTCCGTGCCCCCCAGCATTGCCAAGTGCCAGCGCGCGGGGATTCAGGCGAGGTCTTCGAAAGAAGGGGTCTGAATCAGGACGAATCGTACTCTTGTGATACCCGACTGTAGTCATAGTAACGGTTATAGGCGTATGGTAGCTACTATAGTCTAGCAGGTATAGTAGCTGTTACAGTTATAGTAACAGAAATGGTTATGGCAACCATTATAGCAGATTTAGCACGCCCCTAAAGCCCCGGCCTGCAGGGTCGGGAACCAGTCTTCGGCTTGTCGGGTCTTTTGGGGGCCTTGGGGGGGCTCGAGGCACTAGGTTCAGGAGGGTTTAGGGTTTGGGGTTTAGGGTTTAGGGTACACCAACAGAACACTTCATCCAAACTTGCAACAGCGGATGTCTGCCGAGAGTTGAGTGGGGTTTTGGGGCTTTTCAGTGTTTAGGGTCTAGGGTTGTCAGTAGCTCGACAAGTTGTTAACATGTGAACTGGCACCTGAAGCTGTTTTCCATGCTGCAGTCCCTCTGCCTAGGCCGCGGTCACGTGGTGCCAAATCCTTAGACCCTGGACCCTACTTGGAGGTTCATGGATAGTTATAAGTAGGGTTAATACTTATAATTCCTATCAGGGGACAGGGGACTTATAACCCCACTTATAACTACCCATGAACCTCCAAGTAGACCCCTAAATCTTGCGAAACCGAAACTGCCAAGCTTCCGGCTCTCCGGGCCCCGAAATCTTCAAGCAACTTCGGAAGCGGAGCCAAAAACCCGAGATCCTAAATCCGACGCACTGAAGCCTAAACTGCAGAACCTTAAGTTTTAAAGCCAAAAACCTATAAGCACTAAGCACCTACACCCTCTCTCGCTGAGCCCTCAACTGCCGTTGAAGGTGGTGATGATCACCGGGGACCAGCGGGAGACTGCGGCGGCGATTGGCAAGCAGATTGGCATCCTCGAAGAAGGCCCGTGCGACTGAACATCCGCGCTTTAGAGTTTAGGGTTTGGGGTTTGGGGCTTAGGGTTTGGGGTTTAGGGTTTGGGGTTTGGGGTTTAGGGGTGTTTCAACTCTGCTTACGCAATAACCCAAACCCCAAACCCAAAAGCTGAAACCCGAAACCCAAGCCCGAAACTTTAAATCCTAAAATCCAAAGCCTTCGGCCCGCTTACCTTTTGAACCCCTGGCGAAAGGGCTCCAAGAGCCGAAGCCTCAGGCGAGGAGTCTCTGAAGTACACGGCCCTCTGCAGTCAGCTGCATGATGCAGGGGCCACGCGCAGGAGCAGGGGGTTTAGGGGTTGGGGGTCGGATTTGGGGTTTAGGGTGCTGTTCCATAGGCAAGAGCTATATACCAGCAACGACCATGCTCTTGAACAGGTCGCGTATCCTCATTGTAGTGACCAGCAGCGGAACTGTCTTCATCCACGCGCCCTCAAGATCCGGACCCCGGCTTCATTACCAATCTTGAAATCCGGAAAGCTCGGAACTTGAACTGGCACAATGCTGCAGAACGCAGTGGTTATGATAGTGAAGACGTCGGCCGTGACTACGATGGTGGGACTATGACGGCTCGCTTTAGGAAGTGCAAGACGGAGACATGCAGCAAGAGTGGCGAGGGTAGAGTTGCGACGCTGCTGACGACCGGCGAGCGCAATAAAAGCCACGTCGAATATCGCAAAAGATGGTAGTATCAACAAGCTTTAAGAAGCCGAAGTCCTGATCACCGTCATCAGTCGTAAGATCAGCTTGACGTCAAGCATCACACCGGTGGCACTGCCAGCACCCACACAGTATTGATATGAACGAGGACAGGACGTCATAAAGAGTTATGGATAGTACATAGCATTCAATGTGACAGTCTTGTCAATGCCGTATCAGTAGCAGGAGTAGTCGCACTACTCGTGTTGCTACTCCCGTTTTGCGTGTTCGATGCACGACTTATTGGATAGTACGTAGTATGTATGCTGCTGTTCGTACTAGTACTCCTAGTAGTACTACCGGTAAACAAGTACTGCTAGTACTACGAGTACTGGCACAGGTACTGCTGGACTACTGGGTTTTGCTGAGGAGTAGAAGGAGCAGCAGGAGTAGTAGGAGAAGGAGGCATAGGAGCAGTGGGAGCCGTAGGGGGAGAGCAGGGAGTGCTTCTGATTCTGCATGCCAGGGAGTGACGCGGATGTTTTAAAAGTCTAGGACTGCGCTGCTACTTCCACTACGACTCCTGCTACTACCACGACCACCGGTTGCTGCTAGCTCTACGTGTGCTGATGCTGTAGAGCTGACCGTGATTGGACGGTTGATGATATAAATCCTGCATTACCCATAATAGGGAATGTACCATAAATCCCTTAGTTTGGGGTCATTAAGGTCATGCAGGATTTATATCATCAACCGGAGGACTTGCTTTCGGGAGCGTCGGATCTCTCGGCGAGCTTCCGAGATTCTGGCCCAGGGCGAGGTCGCACCGACAGGTCGGGAGCTAAGCCTAAACCGAACAGCCTCAACCCTACTTGGAGGTTCATGGGTAGTGTTTAGTAGGGTTATAAGTACGGTAACTATACTTATAACTCGTCTTAGGGGACTTCCAACCCCACTTATAACTACCCATGAACCTCCAAGTAGTTGAAACCTAAACTAGTGAAAAGAGCAGACAGAAACACCACCCAACCCTGAACTATAAAACCGAAGCTTGAAAGCAGGAGCAGCAGCAGCAGCAGCAGCAGGATGAAGAGGAGTACGGTTAATGATAAAAACCCTGCATTACACATAATGAGGAATGCACCATACTTCCCATAGGCTAGAGTCATTAAGGTAATGCAGGTTTCATATCATCAACCGTAGTCCTACGTCGGGTATCATAGGGAACCAAATGTTAACTTTTTTGGTTATATAGGGATTATATAGGGACCATGCTATACCCAAAAAAGGTTAAAGGTTGCCTACTCTACTACTAGGTTGGGGCTTATGAGACTCGACCACTAGAGATGCTCCAAGGAAGACCCCCTGTGAGCCAAAGAAAAGAGTGCCGGCCTGGAGAGCCTTCAGCGCGCCCCTCCTACGGACGAAACCCACCCAGCCCAAGGTGCCCAAGCGCAGGCCGAGGCTGAGGCAAGCGGCAGGGAAAGATTGTCTTGAGCGAGGCTTCATAGTAACCCACAGAGTACCCTTGAGGGATCTATAGGGTTTCCTTTGAGGGCTCCTTTAAGGGATCTATAGGGTTTTCTTTACGCGCTCCTTCAAGGGATCTATAGGGTTTCCTTTAAGGGCTCCTTTAAGGGATCAAAAGGGTTTCCTTGAGAGCGGAGGCTTAAGGAAACATAGAATCCTTATGGTAGCTCTTACTTATAGTGAACCTTTAGAGCACTTTTATAGCGAGCCTTATACAACTCTGAGAACAAGAACCCTGAGGCCATTGACGTCGAGCACTTGGTCGTAAGGTTTGGCCCCCCTCGAACCCAAAACCCGAAACCCTAACCCTATGCCTGAAACCTTAAATCCTTAAACTTAAACCCTAAACCCCTAAACAAAAACCTTGAGCCCTTAAACCCTAAACCCTAAACCCCGAAACCCTAAACCTAAACCACTAAACAAACCCTGAACCCTTAAACCCTGAACCCTGAAACCCCAAACCATAAACCCTTAAATTTAAACCCTGAATCCTTAACCCTGATACCAGAAGGTTGTGAAAAGTGACCTCCAGGGTTCGGACCCGAAAGGCAAAAGGTTTGGGCTTCAGGGCTTTAGGCCAACCCTGGGGTTTAGGGTTTAGGGTTTAGGGGTTTAAGGGTTTAGGGGTTTAGGGGTTCCGGGTTTAGTGTTTAGGGTTTAGGGCTTTAGGCCTAGACCCTAAAGTCACTAAGCACTACTTGGAGGGTCGGGGGACTTAGTAAGTAGGTAATAAGTAGAGTTATAAGTACCTCAAAAGGGACCCTAAAACCGCAAACCTTAAAGCCCTAAACCCTAAACGCCAAACTGTTGAGCTCTTTTGGGTTTTAGGGGGTTTAGACATGTTCTATGGGTTTCGGGCCTCAGGGTTTCAGGGTTGCAGGGGCTTTAAACTTTAGGAGTTTAGGCTTCGGGGTTTTACAATTAGGGTTCAGTGCACAGGCCCTGAAACAACCCGAAGCCCTCTAAATCCGGAACCTGAAAGCTCAAATTGGCTCAAATCATATGGGTGGTTGTCAAAATTCGGGTCCCTCTTTGGGTCCTTGATATAATACGGCACCTATTATTTAGGGTACCCAAAAAGGGACCCTAATTTTGAGAACCACCCATATCCCTAAGCCCGAAACTCTAAACCCCAAGCCCTGAGCCCCTAAACCCTAAACCCCTAAACCCTAAACCCTGCTGTTTTTGTAGGTTCATATCCTAAGCCCCAATATGGAATTCTCAAGGACCCTACCAAAAGATGCAGGTTTTGGCAGGTTATTGTGAGCCCTGAGCCTGAGCCGTTCCAGGCGTGGCTGCATCCAACTGGCTCCCGGAGGCTCTCGATTCATGACTCCCGTGGGCTGCAGGCCCCTCCACGGCGGGATCTGAACCTCAAGCCCTAAGGCCTAAACCCAAAACATAATACTGTAAGGTTTCGAGGTTAGGAGGTTCAGGATTTTGGTGCTTGGAGTTTAGGGTTTTAGGGTTCAGGGTTGTTGGGTTTAGGGTTTAAAGTTTAGGGGTGCAAATGTCCGCGAGTGCGTGAAAAAATCGACGGACCTGCAGTTCAGCCGCAAAACCTCCCATAGAGAGCGCCTATAAAGAACCCTTATACAACCCTTCAAGACCCGGATACAGCCCTCATACGTAATATAAGGGCCTTAGTAATTACCTACACCATTTTTGGGGGTTCCTTGTTACAGTTATAGTTTAGGTACTGCCCCCATACAGTAAGAGTCTATAATAGAGCTACTATTGAGGTCCTAATATACGTATACTATGAACATTATTCAACTATTACTGAGTGTGGGCCGTACCCAAACCCTATACTAATTATAAGTGCAGGCTTCTACGAACCCTCGATCAAAGGGGAAAAGGAGGGACCCTTAATGAGGCCCCTACCCTATAATGGGCTATATAATGGGTATATAATAGCTATATTAAGGGTATATAGTTAGGGGTCCTTATTAAGGGTCCCTCCTTTTACCCTTGGAGAGATAGGAAGGAATCTATTGCCTTACCCCCGGACTCGTTGAGTTCGAAATCTCCACAACTTAACGGACTTAACACCCTCCGAAATCAAACCCTGAACCCCCAACCCTACACCCCAAATGGAAAAGAACAAGCCCTAAACCCTGGGCCTAAAACACCGAAATCCTGAACCCTAAGCCCTAACTCCTAAACCCTAAACCCCAAACTGCACTCCCCAATTGACAAAGACCAGCCCAGAGACTCCACTATATCCTAATTACGGAATATATTAGGGATCCTACCATCATGCAAGGTATATTCCTTAGTTAAGGGATGCTCAGGTCCCCTAAACCCTAAACCCTACGGATCCTGTTAGGAACCCTTTAAAGGAACCCGTAAAGATCCCTGTAAAGGGATGGTGGAGTCTCTGAATACCCTAAACCCTAGAGATCCCTTATTGATCCTTTAAAGGAGCCCTAGCCGCAGCCCTGATATTGGAGTGTCCTGGGAACCGCACTTTTAGAAGCCCCATTTAAGTTACCACAATAAGGAAACCATATGATTTACTGTAGGTCCCCATTATGGTAACTTACATAAATTGCCTCAACAGGAGCCCAGAACAAGCGCTAAACTCTAAACCCAAAACCCTATAGATCCCTTCTAAGAGCCCTTAAAGGGATGGTGGAATCTCTTTTGAGCCGCACTTGTTTTTAAGCCCCGAAGGATGGCCTCGAGCCGAGACCCTAAACCCTAAACCCTAAAACCCTAAACCCGAAACCTTAAAATCCTAAACCCTAAACCTTAAAAACCCTAAAGCCTTAAACACCCTAAACCGTTAGACCTTAAAACCCTTTTTCAACCCTAAATCTAAGAACCACGCTTTTTTTAAGCCCAGAAGGACGGCCACGAGCCGAGCTTCTTGTCAGAGGAGGGCATCTCATCGCTGGTGAGAAGGACCCGCTGCGCTTCGACGGCTTTTAAGGTTACAGTAGAAGCCAGAAAGTTGGAATATGATTGTCCTAACCCTTCTATGGTCAATTACAGGGTATCCTACCATGAAACCATATTCCAACTTTCTGGAGTTTCCTGTATTGGGATTCAGGGTTCAGGATTTAGGGTTTCGGGTTTAGGATTTCGGATTTAGGGCTTAGGGTGTAGGATTTAGGGTTCGGGGTTTAGGATTTCGGATTTAGGGTATAGGCGTCCTTTCTGGTTGAAGTTTTTGTTTGAGGTGGTTTCAACTTGTTTTGGGTTCAAGGCTTAGGGATTTTTAGGGTGCTGCAGTTTTACGGCCTGGGGTTGCACCGGGCTTCGGGGTTTCAGGGTTAAGGTTTTTTTGCACGTTCAGGAGGTTCAGGCTGAGTTAGGGTTCTCAATTCTCATTGATTGGATTATTGTGACTATGATTGCCAATGCCATCGGAGTTCTGACTGTTGGCAATGCCATCGTCGTTGTTTTGATTCTGTGTTGTCATGTGCGAACTTGTTGAAGGCAAAGCCCTTAAACGCTAAAATCACGGACTAAGGAAACCCAAGACGATGATAACCTGCGCGCTAAACTCCGAGCCCTTAACCCTCCGAAACCTTAAACCCTAAGCCCTATGCCCACAGCCTAAAACATCCCAAACCGTTCTCTGAATTAGGGTCCCTTTATAGTCCTTTCATTCTTTAATAAGGGTGCCATCACTGTTTTGGGGGACCTAAAACGGGACTTTAAGGTAGAGAGCTACCAGCATGCCCTTGTTGTAGTGCTTAGGCTTTGCGAGGGCCTGCCCATCGGACAAGGTGGCTATAGGCGGGGATCTGGGTTGCAGGTTTTCCACTATGACATGTAAGTAAATGTTCTATGTGACTTCGACATGTGGATTTTGGGGTGCTGGGTTTGACGGTTTGGCGGTTTATGGTTTGCTGGGAGAGCTCTGAGCCTATCAAGCCTCAAGCGCTTTTTCAGAGCCTTCCAATGCGAGAAGAGCCATTCGAGACTTTGGAATCGGCAGAAGCCGATGTGCAGACAGGCCTGTTGCATCCGAAGCTGCCGTAGCCTGAGCATAAGCCCCAAACCCTAGACCCCTAAACCCTAAGTCTTAAGCCCTAAGCCATAATCCAGCAATGGCGGCGGCAACCGCTACTCGTTGACAGTGCCATGTTCAATCGTAGACTCCCCGTACTTTCTAACAGCAAGGATGGTGATGATGATGACGACAATGATGATGACAACGGTAAGATGTAGTATGATATTTACAACATAGCATAGTATGATGTAATGCGATACAATATAATATGATCGGAAGTATAATCGGATACAGTATGGTAGAGTATGTTCTAACGATTCTGATGTTGCTGGTGATCTTTTCCATCGTGAACATGATGGGTTCGGAAAACCCCTAAACCCTGAACCCTAAATCCTAAGCCTTGCACCCTAAACCCTAAACCCTAAACCCTAAACCCCTAAACCCCTAAACCCCCTAAACCCCTAAACCCTAACCCCGTGTCCCTGCCAGTCGCATCCCTGATGTCCGATGGCCATATTGTGGCGATGACAGGGGACGGTGTCAACGACGTGCCTTGGCTAAACTCCTGAGTGGCACTCTTCCGGGTTCCTCCAGGGTCTCTATAGGGGATCCTGGGTTCCTTAAAGGGTTCTAAAGGGGATCTAGGGTTCCTTAAAGGGTTCTAAAGGGGATCTAGGGTTCCTTAAAGGGTTCTAAAGGGGATCTAGGGTTCCTTAAAGGGTTCTAAAGGGGATCTAGGGTTCCTTAAAGGGTTCTATAAGGGGATCTATAGGGGGTTTAGGGTCTACAAGGTTCCTGAGTGGTACCCTTTTTTGCCCTTTTTGTTTTTGGGTTCCCTTATTACAACCGAAGAGTAGAAAGAAGGATACCCTTGTTATAAATGGGCTGCTCAGGAACCCAGTTGGTCGAGATTCGTTCAGCATTTGTCAGTGCTTAAGCCTGTGGCTCATCCAGGAAGCATACTCCCCCGAAGCAAGTCCTTGCTTAGTGTACCTGGTAAATCTCATTCAGCACCAGCAGCACCGGAAGGACAAGCGCCGACACCACCAAACTCACCCCATAATGTTGGCTCATTAAGCTTGTCGGCCGGATTTGCAACGGTACCCCCAAGGCTTGCACATTTTTTTGACCAACCGTAGATGCCAATATTGAACAGGGGATGTAGGATTCCATTCATCAGGGTGACTGCAGCATGCAGGCACGCGTACTCTAAACCCAAAACCCTAAAAACCCTAAACACCCCCAAAAACCCTAAACCCTAAAATCCCTAAACCCTAAACCCTAAATCCTGAACCCTAAACCCCAAAACCCCCAAAACCCCTAAACCCTATACACTAAAAGTCTTAAACCCTAAACCATAAAAGCCTCAAAACACAAGACCCTGAACCCCTCTTGGCACCAAGGCACCGGCCTTGAGGAACGCCGATGTGGGTGTGGCCATGGGCCACTCTCCGTGGTTGAGTTTAGGGTTTAGGGTTCAGGGACCTGTAAAGAAGGCAGCAAGACTGGCTAGTATACGACTTCGCAAGGTAACGTTAGTCAAAGGCCGTTCTCCAACGAGGTGCTGACTGCTTTGCAGGTTGACCTGACGGATTCAGAGTGTTAGGGCTTCTTATGATGGTGTCAGACAAAGTATCCCTTCATACTCCCCATGTAAGTACACTATCATCATCCTTACTCCATCCTTAAGATTCCTGGCTGTAGTGGTAGCACCAGCATCCCCTTGTAGCTCCCGTATATGTATGCTATATTCATCAAGTGCATCCGGTGTCCTCAGCTCTGATGACACTCTCGAGGCATCACCGGGACGGCTGTCACCCAAAACGCAAGTGCTTGGGCAGCTGTGGAGGGTTCAGGAGTTAAGGTGCTTTCGGAGCGCCGTGCCAGGTTTCGCAATTCGCATTTCAGTGGTCCCAGAGTTTGCCATTCAGTGGTCCGAGACTTTTTTCCAAACCCGAAACCCGAGGGGGGGGGGGCAAGGGGGGGATGCGAGGCCGGCGAGAGGGGGAACAATTTCAAGTTGTGAAACTGGAGGGGGGATCTGCTAAGATGCTAGGGTATTAGTAGAGGCTTCAGGGTAAGGGAGCCCCTTGTACGTCCTAGACCTTAGAAGGTCTGAGGCCTGCAATTAAGTGCGAATCTTGATCTCTTGTTAAGAGATGCCGTCGGTCCCACGTCTTGAGTTGTGAAACTGGGGCTTGCTCCAAGGGGTTATTCAAAGGAGGGACCATCGGGAACGTGCTTCTTGACGGGCGGCCCTGACTAACCTGGGATAAACTGGATCAATCTCAGGTATGCTTTTTGCTTTTTGTGGCTCCGGTGTCCTCACATCTTGCATTAATGGGGTCGTTTTTCTTGACTTCTGAACAGGGGCACAGATAAAGCCTCCTGCCCTAAACTCTAAACCCTAAACCCTAAGCCCTAAACCCTAAGCTTGCTGCACACGTGTTTTGAAGAACTCCCGTATTTTCTGATGCCCAGGTGATCTCGTGCTCATGGACGACAACTTCTCCACCATCGTCCTGGCCATTGAAGAAGGCTTTGAGCCAGAAACGATGTTGAAGGTTTGGAAGTTTCTATAAGGTCTTTATAAGGTTCCTCAAGGTTTTTATAAGGTTCCTAAAAGGTTTCTGCGAGGTTTCTATAACGTTTCCATTAGAGGTTCTCGAAGGGTTCTGTAGGGTTTTTAGTGTAGGATTTCAGGGCCTTTTTCCTAGAACTCCACGGAAAACCTCAGGTGCTGAGTGTCGCTTTTCACCGGTCCTAGAACTAGACTGCATAACCTAACACCCAACACAGTGACTCTGTACAGTCTTTGGGAATGCAACGGCCTCCGAACCCAAGACCCCTAAACCCCGGAGCCCTAAACCCTAAGCCCCTAAACCCCTAAACCCTAAACCCTAAGCCCCTAAACCCCTAAACCCTAAACCCTAAACCCCTAAACCCCGGAGCCCTAAACCCTAACCCCTAAACCTTAAAAACTACACCGTAAACCCCTAAAGCTGAAGCCCGAAAGCCTAGCTAGGCCGCCGAATCTTCCTCAACGTGCAGAAGTACGTGACCGCCAACCTCAGCCTAAAGTTCGGGGAGTGCCCGGGCCCACGTAGCTATTCAAGGATTGGGTAATATAGGGGTTTAGGGTTTAGGCTTTAGGGTTTCAATAATGATTCTATCTGCCTAGTCTTGGAGCCGACGAAGGCCTTTTCTACCTGCACCAAAATGCTTGTGGGGGGTTCCTTAATATGGTAACAGCACAATGTGCCCCCAAAGCCCTTGTCTAATTATTATTAAGGCCCCTATAGTCCTTCTCCCTAAACCCTAAACCCTAAACCCTAAACCTTAAACCCTAAACCCTAAACCCTAAACCCTAAAACCCTAACCCTAAACCCTAAACCCTAGACCCTGAAGTGTTGGATGAGGGTTTGGGTTCTCCGGGGGTTTAGGATTCAACATCCCTCTGGGGCTTCCCGAGTTCGCATTTTGGTGGTTCGGGCTCAGGGTCTTGTGCTTTGCAGTGTCTGGGGTCGAAGGGCTTTAGGGCAGGTTCTTCGTGCCGTAAGATATAACGGCTTATATAAGGGGTATTATGAGGTTCTATGATAGGGCTCCCTTTATATGAGGGTATTATGGGTTCCTTTGATTGAGGCTTCCTGTAAAGGTTTCTGTGAGGAGGATGCTTCGGCCATCATGACTATTTCAGCATCAGGGTCATGGGCGAACATTGAGTTACCCTCACAGAAACCTTTTTTTGGAAGCTTCAAAGGAACGCATCATTCTCCCTTGGCAGTTGACTCAAGAGCACTGGGTGAAAGCATACGCCATGGCGTCACATAGTTCCATGTTCTGGGACGTGCAGATGCTCCACTGTTGCCCACGCAGCTGGAAGCCTCTCCAGCTGCCACCGAGATGGACTCGTTGTCTCCGGCGTCGACTATCCCAGGGCTTCCGAGTCCGCAGCTGAAGCGGAAGCGATCGCCGGCACCTGCTGAAGATCTGACGAGGCCTGCAGCTGCCGAGAGTCTGGTCGATCCAGAAAGTGGAATGCCGGGTGTGCATCCGACGCGATGCACACAAGAGTGCCACTGCGCAAGGAGCGAGTGCTTGCTGCGATGGAGTATAGTCCCGAGGCTCCCAGCAGTGCCGAGGTGAGGCGAGTACTGCACACTGCTCTGGTGCCACCTGCGGCAGTCGTGGACCCATACTTGGACTTGTCTGCGGATGCTGAGATTCCGTTAGAGCAACACGACGGACAAGCAGGCTACTGCATGGAGCAGGTCTCAGAGCGTGTGCGCACGACGCTTTGGCTCCTGTACAGCCTCGCACTGACAGACGTGAAGTCAGATGACTGTGATCGACAATCGACCCTAACAAACCGGAACCAAGCAATGGGGCCAGTGGCTCGGCAGGTTGTGGCGGGCTTCAAGGGCCTGCGCGACGAGTAGCGGGAAGCAGCGAGGGAAAGGGAGATAACACCCTTAAAGGGAGCCCTATCATAGAACCCCAAAATACCCCTTAAGCCTGTATAGGAACCCTTGGGGGAACCCTGAACGGAACCCTTATGGGAGCCCCGATACCCGAACATGAAGAAGATGGGGTCCTACCTTAACCTACCAGAACCAACTTTTTTTGTAGCGTTCCTTTGAATTCCATATTAGGGCTTAAAGTAGTGGCCCACAGAACAGTAGCCTTCTGACGAGAAACAGGTTCCTACATAGTTACCAATACTATATGCGGGCTTCCGTATTATGGTGATAGCATGAGATACCCCAAAAGCCTACTCTAATTATTAAGGGCCCCCCATATAATTGGCTCCGTTTTCTTGAAACTTCTTGTTCCGACCCCTTTGTCTCGGGGTCGACATTACCTTCTATCCAGTCGGCTATTATACCCATAGACTCCAATATCCCTTAGTTCGTTAAGGAATATACTGCAAATTGTAGTAGGATCCCTAACATGATTTAAGGAATTTAAGGCATATCCCATATTGGAGCCTCTGGGTAGCAGACCTTCGGTACAACCCCCCCTCACACGAACGATTGAGGAATACGTCTAACATAGATGTCCATGGCCCTGAATAGTAGCTCTATGAACCCTAAACCCTAAACCCTTAAATGGGGGGCAGGAGGCAAGGTAGACCCACGCCCTGAACTCCGAATTCTGGATGTGGTAGGAAGCCTTAAAAAACGAGACCACGGAGTCTGTTGCGCATGACCTCGCACGACCTCGCACCTTAAATCCTACGTCCTACATACACCCGAAAGCCTACATCCTATACCCTATACGCTCCATCCTAAACCTTGCATCCTAAACCCTCCATCCTAAACCCTAAGCCCCAAATCTCCGCCACTACTCGCCCCAAGCCGAGCCACGAAAGCTTCCTGTCCCTGTCCGAAGAAGCTTGAGGAGTCCGTGGTGTAGGGTTAGCTTTCAGGATTTCGCGTTTGAGGTGTAGGGTCTGCCTTGCTTCTCACCCAAACCCTAAGCCCTAAACCCTAAACCCAAAACCCAAAACCCTAAACCCTAAACCCTAAACCCCAATCTCTAAATTCCATGCTGCCCGCCTGAGGATGGTCAGCTTGATGATCTCCATCGCCCTGGGCGTCGTGGTGCCACTGAAGCCCACTCTGCAGCTGCTCAATCTCGCGGTGGCCTGACTGGCAACCCAGAAACCTCGCTAGGTAGGGCTTTGGGACATTTAATATTTTCTCTTATTGGGCTTAAGAGGATCTTATTTACCAAGATTTCCAAAGGCTCTAAAAGCCCCACCTAGCTCGCTGTTGCCTTTCTTTCCGGGTTCAGGCTTTAAGAGATTTCTTTTTGATTTGATAGGAATGTTCAATCCCGGATTCTACCGCGGGGTTGCACGATGTTGGCATCTAGGATGCCGGTCGATCTTCCCTAGCCACTACTATTACTAGTAATTGTATTAGTATTGTTAATGCTCATTTAACCATAATCTTTTATGACTCTTGCTATCCTTATCATGATTGTTGTTAGTGTTATTCTACTTAGACTTACGGTTGTTATCACTGTTTGAGTTATAGTTATCATTGCCATTATGATATTGTTTTTGCTACGGTCACTATCATTATCATTACGATTATGGCTGTTTCTTCTCAGGTGACACACGTGCTTTGCACTGTGTCCTATGCTTTCGAGGAGGCGGAGGACTATATCATGAAGGCTCCTCTCTTCACCGTTTTGCTCTTCCCCGCGCCCCTTCCTACTTAAGACAAGCCGAAACCTACTAAACTGCGCTACGCATGGCACCTCTCAACCCCTAAACCCTGGAACCCTCCAAAATCGATGATGTAAACTGAACACAATCCGGAAACCCGAAAGCCCCAAATCCTAAACCCTAAACCTAACACCCTAAACTACGAAACCCTAGACCCTAAACCCTAAACCGTAAGTCCTAGATCCTAGGCACAATGCCACATCCTGTGGAGCCCTTCGGAGCCCCCAGAGCGGTTACGAAGTCGTCATCTTCCGTGGTCCTTAGAATTCCTCGAGTTTCCGATGAAGTCAATAAAAACCCTAAACTCCAAAACGTAAGTTCAACAGCTTAAACTTTGACTTTGACCCTTACTAAACCCCAAACCCTAAAACCTAAATGGCTTTGGGGCTTTTAAGGTTCAGGGTTAGACTCCAGAGTGTGGAGCACACGCAGGCACCAGGCAGCTCATGCAGAGAATCGTGAGGGGTCTTGGGTTTAGGGTTTAGGGGTTCGGGTTTTAGGGGTTGGGGTCCAGGGTTTAGGGTTTAAGGTCAGAGGTTTGCGGTCTACTGTTTAGGAGCTCTGTAACCCCAATTAAGGTACTTATAACCTTACTTACTAAGTCCCATGATCCTCCAAGTACAGACCCATGAAAGTCACAAAGTCCTTGGCAAATACTTGAAGTGTGCAGGTTCCTCCTCGGGATGCGAAGACGAGCATGGTGCTCACACGGCCTCTCTTGCTTTTGAGCCGCTCGTCTGTTTTTTTTGGGTGGTTGTCAAAATTAGGGTCCCTTTTTGGGACCCTAAATATAATACGGCACCTAATATTTAGGCTACCCAAAAACGTACCCCAATTTTGACAACCACCCTTTTGGCCACATTGGCACCCAAGGCTCGCGGGTTGAAGCAAACAAATGTGCTTGTCTCGATTCCGAGTCCACTTGTTGCATCGATCTCCAGCTACCCCGATATGCCGTATGTCCGGACTCAAAGCTGTTGCTTCAATGCACCCCAAGCTCCATCGAAGTGAGGATGGCTGCCATTTGTTCTCTATTTCCCGGCAGTCGTGTATGGCTGCTTGGCAACAAGCCGGGCGTTTTGATGCAAACGAATAGCTGAGCTGGTGAGACGCGCGCCGCAACACGTACATGTATCGTCTACATGGGTAGACAAACAGATCGATCGACAGATAGCTAGATAAGTTAGCAGTTTAGTTAGACAGGCAACGAATAGCAGTGGCCGTACGAATCTTCATCAAAATCAGATCAGCAGCAGCAATAATGATCCAAGTTATTAGGTCTGTCCGCCTGTCTGTCCGTCTGTACGTAAGTAAGTCAGCATGTATGCCAGCAAGTACATGCGAAAGTATACAAGCAAGCAAGCATTCAAGTAAGTAAGTACACAAGTAAATAAGTAAGCCAGCAAGTAAGTATGTATCTGTGTTTGCTGTCTTTTGTACTTATGTTTGTACGTGCGGGCGTATGTATCTACATATCATATGTACGGATCTATGGGTGCATGTGTGTATGTATATGTGTGATCGTTTTTACCTTGGCATGTACGTTCATATGTAGGTAGGTATCTCAACACGGCAGTACAAAGGGTCAGAAGGTGTTGAAGTATGAAAGCAAGTAGGTACAGATGGATAAAGATATTTGTAATTCTATATGTATGTGTGTGAATGAGTAAACAACAAGGCAAGCAAGCATGCATGTATGCATGTGTGTGCGTTCATGTATGTATGTATGTATGTTTGTGTATAAATATAAACAAAAAAAATATATATATATATATATATATATATATATGATCCCGGTTCGGCCGTCCCCCCCCCCCCAATGGTTGGTACCCACTTTTACGCTGCTCCGGTGCTCATGTCCCAGTGATTCAGCGTGGCGCTGACAGCGAACAAAGTTGTGCTCGGATGATCATGTGGCCCAGTGATTCAGCTCCATGAGCGCTGAAAGCGAAGCGCATCGTTTTCTGCAGTGCTTCCCTGATAGCCAGAGCTTCACGGTGCTTGTGCTCACATCCGAGAAGAAGGCTCTCATCAGTCGGCCGCAGGCCAGTTTTCATCAGGCCTAATTTGGCGAAAGCTGTTCGCACTGCAGCCTCGGGCGGTGATTCGGACGTCTGTGGGCAGCTTGCAGATGTGGCTTGTGCTACCCATACACATGCCTGGCAAAGCCGCTCTGAATGTCACCAAAGCATTGACGAGAGCTGTTTCTGGCGACCCTGCATCAGCCAAAGATGGGCATCTCGGCAGGTTGCCTGGCTCAATCAACGTGAAGGCAGGGAAAGGATGCCGCGTGGAGTTGCTACACGGTTGCCTGCAAGACATGTGTGAGGCAGAGTATTTGAAGTGCACCTCAGAGAAGGCTTTATCGCCGGGTGCCGATGGCGCGTTGACTGTGCGAGAGCGGCCGGCGAAGCGAGCACTGACTCCGTGCGACAGGTCGGCAGCGACTCCTCGCATCTAGTGCACACTCTACTATAAAAGATTGCCGCATGTTGCATGGAACATCCCGATGTTGTAAAGAACATACTCCACTGTGGAGCATACAATAGTAAAGCCTCGCACGTTGTGTGGGATGTCCGAAAGGAATCCTGTCTTGCAAAGGTCATCCCCTAAAATCCTCGCGTCAAGTATGGAGCATGCAACATTGTGTAGAAAATCAAACAACAAACCTATCACCAAACACGAGCAGCCGCGCACTGCGGTGAGTGGGCTCTCACTGGAGGACGTGAAGGCAGATTTTGTAATTCTTGAAGATACAAGGTTTCACTTGGGAATTGTTTATCCTGGTGAGTAGACCTGTACAAAAGGAGCTTGGCCAAGATTTGCCCCGAGCGCAAGCAGTCGAAAGACCGGAGCGGGTTTGCTGCAACCCACTGGCAGAAGAAGGAGTTAGCAGGGGCAACAGGGTTCTCCGTAGAAGAGCTGATATTGACAGAGGTTAGGTACAACTGGCGTGTGTAAACGGTAGCAATACCAAGGTTTTTGTTTTTGTGGTGGTATAAAAACTGAAAGGGTTGGAGGGCTGACGGGGTTCGTATGACATGAGCATCGGAGCACTTCTCTGTCAGTGCCCATGGCACTACAGCCCGAGGACATGATCATCTGAGCATATCTGAGCCAACTCTGAACCCGTGGTGCTCAAAGTTCAATCTCATGCAGCTCGACAGCGAATCTGCGACATCGACGGCTGTTTCTTGCGTACTTCATTTGCCTCTTTCACATGCCATGTATCAGGTGTTTATATGTATGTATGCATATGTGTATGTATGCATGCACGGTATATATAGATCATATGCCATCATATAGATATATCTACCTAAGCAGATGTCATTAAACTATAAAACTATCACATATGATGCCGGTCCGGCTGCCTTCACCCCTGTGGTGCCCTTGGGTTGCTTGGCATCATCATCATCAACATCATCATCTTCATCACCACCATCATCATCATCATGGTCATCATCATCTCCTGACTTGCCCTGTGGTGTACAATGGTTCAGGGTTTCCGGGTGCGGGGGCTGCCGTGTGGTGTGCTCTGGTTCGGGTTTGGGTGTGCATGGGTTGCGGTGTGGCGTAGTCCCGGAGTCGTTGCAAAGTGTACGCTGTGGCGTAGTCGGGAGTCGTGGTTGCAGATTGTACGCTGTCACAATGGTCGGGTGTGTTTGGGATGAGAGGTCTGGTGCGATTCGCGTTTTGGCTCCCCTTGGAGTGTTTGGCATAATCATGCTCATCACTGTCATGATTAGTATCATCATCCTCATCAGTGGTTCGGGGTTTGGGTCTACTTGGGCTGCCTCGCCGCTTTGGTTTGGGGAAGTGCGCGCAGTCACAGGGATTTGCTCCGTCTGGACAGGTGGACAGGGACCTTTAGAAGGGAAGGGCACGCGGCTGGCTGGTGTGGGGGGGGTGGGGGGGGGGGATACCATTGGGGGGGGGGTCGGCGAACCGAGAACCGGGATCACATATGTATGTTTGCTTGTTGGGTTGTTTGTATGTGTTGGCATGTTTGCATGCATGCATACATGCATGCATACATGCATGCATGGATGTATGGACTGTGCGTATTGTATGTGGTGTATGTATTGTATGTAATGAATGTATTGTATGTGTTGTATAGTGTTGTATACATTGTAGGTATTGTGTTGAAATGTATGTCGATGGGTCTAGGTAGGTCGGTACGGAGGTAGGTATGTACGTACGAACGTGCCACGGGCCGGGTCGAGCTGAGGCCTTCGTGACAGTTGCCGCAGCAGGTCTTCAACGTGTGAGAGAGTACGAGTGATCAGACTTGCCATCACCATTCACCATCCTAGTTTGAATTTGCAAGAACATTGCTAGTAGAGTTAGAATAGACAACATGAGCGTCATCGCGGTTATGACCATCGTCGTGGTTGCTACTATCATCGTCAGTATCGGCTTCGTCCCCTCACTATCGACGACAGAGGCAACACCATGGTCGTGGCTACTTTTTATGACAAAGATTACCAGCCTTGCTTGCATGACCATGTCCATCATCGCACCACATGGCATTGTGCTCATCAGGGCTACTAATACTCCTACTTCTATTGCGACTTCTACTATCACTACTACTACTACTACTACTACTACTACTACTACTACTACTACTACTACTATTACTACTACAACTACTACAACTACTACAACTACTACTACAACTACTACTACAACTACTGCTACTACTACTACTACTACTACTACTACTACTACTACTACTACTCCTACTCCTACTCCTACTCCTACTCCTACTCCTACTGCTACTGCTACTGCTACTGCTACTGCTCTGCTACTGCTCTGCTACTGCTCTGCTACTGCTACTGCTACTGCTACTGCTACTGCTACTGCTACTGCTACTGCTACTGCTACTGCTACTGCTACTGCTACTGCTACTGCTACTGCTACTGCTACTGCTACTGCTACTGCTACTGCTACTGCTACTGCTACTGCTACTGCTACTGCTACTTCTACTACTTCTACTCCTGCTGCTACTTCTACTTCTACTACTTCTACTCCTGCTGCTGCTTCATCGAATTCAACAGAGCGCAATGGCCGAGAGATGAGGCTCCCTTTGCTTCGGGACGTTGGGTCTCACAGGCACCGTCTGGAATGAAGTGCCCTGGACCGCAGGGTTTAAGTTTGGGTTTAGGGTTTGAGTTTAGAGTTTTGGTTTAGGGTTTTGTTTAGAGGTTTAGGGGTTTAGTGTTTGGGGTTAGTTTTTGAGTTTGGGGTTAGGTTTAGGGTCTAGGGATTATGATGGTTTAGAGTTTAGGGAAGGACGGTAGAAACGCAGCAGCCGTTTAGAGTGGCTTTATGATAGAGCTCTTTAACTTCTCTTTTTGTTCTTCTTGGTGTTGGCACCGCTGCTTTTGCTGTCCCCACGCTGCCCCGTTGCTATGCCATGCCCTATTCCCTAGAGCCGAGCCCAAGAACCCGACGCCCTAAACGCCAAAGCCACACTTCCGAAAACCAGAGCCCCTGCGCCACAAAATTAAAGCCCCTGAGCTGAACCCCTTAGGTACGGCCCCCATACAGTAAGAGTCTATAATAGGGCTACTATTAAGGTCCTACTATATCTATATTATGAATATTATTCAACTATTACTGAGTGGGGGCCGTATCCAATGAACCCCAGGATGCTAAGCCGCTACATTCCTGCACAAGACAAAGAGGAGGGAACCTGATTCAGAAACCCAGGCCCTATAACCCCAAGATAGTAGGAACCATATAAGGAACCCTACGTAAGGCCCAAGGTCTCTTAGTCAGGTTCCTATATTAAAGGCCTTCAAATTCTTTTGTGTCACCCTTCTCCCCGAAACTTTTGAGTCCAAACCACCTCGTCCCACAACACCTGAAGCCCTCTTTCGTCCTTACCTTTCATGATGCTTATACCTCCGCAAAGTATCTGCTAAGTCCCCCGGCCATCAAAGTAAGCCCCTCGACCCCGAAGCTTCTCCATGATGTTTTGCAGTTCTTTTCACCCTGTACCGCTCCTGGTACACTCCCTATGTAAGCCCTCTTTTACCTAACCCCTATAACCCCTGAACTCTGTTCCCTAAACCCTTATCTCTCTGAAGCGCTTCAAAGGCGTCATAGCATCAGCCTACATATGGGTGCTTGTCAAAATTATGGTACCTTTTTGGGTCCTTATTATAATACGGCACCTAATTTTTAAGGTACCCCAAAAGAGACGTAATTTTGACAACTACCCATATTCCTTAATGTTCAAACCCTTACCAAACTAGCAAAACCGCCTGTAACAACCTTATGCAACACCCGAAACTTAAACCCCAAGCCCGAATTCCTGTAGAACCTTGAGAGAACCCTGAAAGAACGCTTATCGAACCCTGAAACAACGCTTATAGAACCCTAATGGAACCCTTGTAGATTCTTTATATAGAACACTTATAAAACAAACCCTTATGGAATTGTGGAGCCCTTACGGAACCCTAGATCCTAATTCTCAAAGGCACTGGTCGGGAGCACTGGCATCCACGACCTGGAGCGAGGTCCGGGCATTTCCGGCCTGACCCCCTGAACCCTAAATCTTAAACCTACCCTTTAATGGGCTATATAATGGGTGTATAGCAGCTCTATTCAGGGTATATACCTAAGGGGTCCTGATTAAGGGTCCCTCCTTTTCTAAACCTAGACCTAAACCCTGAACCCTATATTACGCTGGTTTTTAAATGGTCTTTTACGCGGGTTTTTAAATGGTCTTTTTCGGGTCGCTATGGGCTTGCAATCGGATGTTGCATGGTTCTATGGGGTTGTAATGGGACTTTACATTGTGTTTAATAAGGTCTCGCGAGGTTATCTCACGTGTTAGGCTTTCAAGTTTAGAGCTCGACTATGCATGTTGGGTGCTTGCTACAGGGGCCTAAGTCATTACCTATACCACGGTGGGGGTTCCTTTTTATAATCATAGTATAACGGGCACCAAAACTCCCGATTCTAATCATGAAGGCCCCTGTATTATAGTACCCTGATAGATCCCTTATAGTAGCCCTTCATAGACCCCTTTAAAGGAACCCTACTCCAATCATTAAGGCCCCTCTACTAGTGTTTTCGGTTATCCAGCTTTTGGGTTCTCGGGTTTCGGCTTGAACGATATGGTGATATGGGTGGTTGTTAACATTATGGTCCCTTTTTGGGGGCCCTAAATATTAGGTGCCGTATTATGATAGGGACCCAGAAAGGGACCATAATTTCGACAACTACCCATATAGGGTCTGGGTTTGGGGGTCGAGGGTGTCAGGTTCAGGAGTTTGCCGGGCTTTCAGCTTTCTATGTCCGTTTGTGCCATTGAAGCCATAGACCCAATGCGATGTTCACTACCATGACCATGCGTAGTGGTAGTGAGTGACATTGGAGACTGATCACAGCGGATGGCCGTAGTGGAGATGATGTCGACTATCATCACGAAAATGAAGCCTCAGTTTGGGGCTTATGCTTAGAGCTCAGGGTTTGGGTTTTATGTGTTTGGGGCTAAGGGTTCATGATCGGCATTATGTTGGCCGGGAGAATGACAATGATATTCATGCTGATGATGCTTGAGGTTTTGAAGGCACGATTATGGATGTTATGTTTAAGAACGACATCAGGTAGTGCTAGCAGTAATTTTGGCCATGCAGTGCACTCTTATCATCAGTGTGACGCATGGTGTTCTGCGCTGGAACAGGCTCGACAGCTAGCCCAATGCATTTTAATTGAATCCTGAACCTCAAGTCAGTTGGCTAGGATCCTCTTGTAAGGGGGAGGGTCCCTCGTTCAACAGGATCTTTAGAAGAACGCCTCATGTTTGCCGCTCCCTCGCGGACTTCCGTAAGAATTCCACAGCTAGTTTGTTTGCTGTCATCCGTTACTGTATTCGTCGCTAAAGGTTTCTAGTTGCTCTTGTTTTTGCTGACTCTTGTTCCTGCGCTGGTTCTGCTTTGTCCCTGAACAGGGTGGTACTCATGACGGCATTACATCTGCGAGTAGTGATGGTGATGACGATGATCCTGATCTTTCACCAATATCTTCGGAGGGATGAGGAAAAACTTACGGATGCCTCCGAGCCCTGCCTGGAAGAGAGGGCCTTGAGAACACTGTAGTCTTGCTGACGGGTTGCAGGTCGTGCCATTTGTGAACATGCTGGCCGCATGCTCAGCTGTTGGACGTGGTTTCTGTGATCATCTGGCAGACGTAGGTACAGCACACTGGCCAAAAGCAAAAGTCATCCTCATCATCACCGTCATGGCACTTGTCATCAACATCTGTTGTCACAAGGAATATCCTCATCATACTACTGACTCATTTACTAATTGCACGTAGGGTCGTGAGTCGTCATGAAAGCTTTAGTAGTAGTGCGAGGTCGTACTGCTACTAGGAGGGTTGAGTCTGCGACAGCGACGGCGGCGACGACAGTCCGAACAACAACGACGGCAATTTCGAACAACAACAGCAACACAAGCAGTGACTACTACTGCTGCTGCGGCTGCTACTAGTACTAGTACTACTACTGCTACTACTAGTACTACGATTATTGCTACGAGTGCCGCTGCTGCTGCGGCTGCTACTACTACTACTACTACTACTACTACTACTACTTCTACTTCTACTACTACTGCCGACTAACTACTAAGCACTAAGAATTATCTACTAGCCACTAATGACTAACAACTAGCTAGTAGCTAGTAGCGAGTAGCCAGTGCCTAGTAGCGACTACCTACTACATACTACCTACTGCGTCCTACCTACTACCTAGTACCTAGCACCTACTACCTACTACCGACCCCCTCCTCCTCCTCCTCCTCCTCCTCCTCCTCCTGCTCCTGCTCCTGCTCCTGCTCCGCCTGCTGCTGCTGCTCACTGCTGCCACTACTGCTATACTGCTACGACTTTCTACTACTCTGCGAGAAGTAGTGTAGATTGAAGGACTTGCGCCTGATACTTTCGAAAGGTTAAGAGCACACAGTAGCTTCAACAAGTATTTACTATACTGGCCTCAGTATTTAGAACGGGGTTTGGGGGCCGATTTATGCTATAATTATAATAAGGAACCACCAAAATAGTATAGGTATTTATTGAGGCCCCGATATTAAGCCTCCCGAGCAGCATCGAAGAATTCCATATCTCCGTGACTGCAGATTGATTAGCATCGGATCACAGCAACAACAGACATAGAGGGTTTAGGGTTTAGGGGACACATAGACCATAGAATCTCGGAGGCCTGCACCCTGAAGCCCCCTCACCTCGACCTTACATAAATCCTCTAAAAAGATGTACTGTGTCATAGATTCCCTTTATGCCCACATTTCCTGACAGAGGGATTCTCAGCTCCCTACTACACCTCGATCCCCAAAGCCTAAGCCCGAAACCCTGAACCTGCAATCCAACACCTTACGCCCTTGTGGTGCTCTTCCCTACTAAACCTCAAGCCAAAAAACCTTGAGCTGTACTAGGACGCTTCGTGCAGAAGTCAAAGGGTACATTGCATTAAAAATAAGCCCGAAACCTTCGAACCTCCAACCCTAAACCCTAAACCCTAAACTCCACAGCTTAATCCCTAATCCCTCAAACTCTACACCCTAAACTCTAAACCCTAAACCCTAGACCCAAACCTTCGAACCTCCAACTGTACATCTCAAGCCCTGGTGGTTGCTGCCCTAAACCCTAAATCCTAAACCCTAAACCATAGACCCTAAACCCTAAATCCTAAACCATAAACCCTCAACCCTAAACCCTAAACCCTAAATCCTAAACCCTAAATCCTAAACCCTAAATCCTAAATTCTAAGCCCTAAACCCTAAACCCTAGACCCTAAACCATAGACCCTAAACCCTAAATCCTAAACCATAAACCCTCAACCCTCAACCCTAAACCCTAAACCGTAAACCCTAAACCCTAAACCCTAAACCGTAAGAGGCTGGGAGCTCGAAGGAGGCGACTACAAAAGAGACAGCCGGCCTTTCCACTGCCGCTGCCAGGCCTGGGGTTCTTCGTTTTTTTTTTTTTTTTTTTTTTTTTTGGGGGGGGGGGGGGGGGGCTTTTTTCGGGGGTTTGGGTGTTTTTAAGGTTTTAGGGCTTTTAAGGTTTTAAGGTTTCAGGGTTGGGGGTTTTAGGGCTCTGGGTGTAGGGTTTTTTAGGGTTTTAGGGCTTGGGGGTTTTAGGGCTTTGGGTGCGGGCTTTCAGGTTGTTAGGGTTCTAGCCTTAGGGCTTGGGGTTCAGTGCAATGTGACTAGCTCGGATTCTTTGTCTTGGGGGTGTGGGTGGTTCTGAGGGTGAGTTGGATTGGAGGATTTGCAGGTTTGCGGGGATTGCTTCATGGCACAGCATGATCGTTTGATCATGCTGGGGATGTGAGACAGGTTGAGAGGAGGTTGCATCAGTAGCAATGCTGAGACTCTCCATGCACATGAGGTTTCCCAAAAAGGGGGCCCCCGATGCCATGATAATCGGACCTAATCTTGTCCTGGTTGTTAAGACTCCAAACGGAGGACTTTGCAGCGCATGGTCTCGCTGGTTCTTGGGTGCGAAAGGGGGTATACTTGAAGGTTCATGGGTCATTATAAGTAGGGTTATAAGCAGGGTAGCTACACTTATAACCAATATTAGTGGACACATAACCCCACTAATAACTAGCCATGAACCTCCGAGGAACTGAACCCCAACCCTAATTCATAGACTCATGCACGATGGGCGAGCCCTGACGCCATGCATCTCCTGGGCCGCAAACTTAAACCCTAAACCCTAAACCCCTAAACCCTAAACCCTAAACCCCTAAACCCTAACCCTAAACCCTGAACTTTTAGGGCTTCGAGGCATTGCGTTGTCTGTTTCTCTAGGTGCTTCGTGCGGTGCATGGAAGGGCTTTTGCAGTGCCAGTCCTGGGCGCAGTGGGCTTTTTTTGTGTTCGGTGCTGTGCAGCGCCGCTACTCCCTGCGGTCATCGGCTCCAAGTATTTGGTCCCCTTACCATGCACTGCCAGAAATTCTTTATGTTGCGCAAGTGAACGTCCTGACAAAGCGAAAACATGGGCTCCATTGTCGTCCAAAGTGTTTTAGGGGTTTGAGATTCAGTCTCTCCAAGCCTTAAACCCGAGCTGAGCCTTAAACCTGAAACCCTACGCCCCAAGCCCTCAACCGTAAGCCAGTAGCTATCCCCAGGTTAGCCAGGAGGGCAACCCTCTGCGGCCCTCTAAGATGCTGGACCAATGGGGCACCACTCAGGTGGGCGAGGGTTCAGGGTCCCGGAGACCACATTCCAAGCTTTCTCACTTGAGCAGCCAGGTCTCACCTAAACGTCACTCACTTTCCTGAGAAACGAAGATTTGGATAATAATAAGCTATTGCTGCTAGCAGGGGTTTTAGGTTCTGGTTGAGGGTCTAGGGTTGCGGGTTGGAGAAGGCGCGCAAAGTCTCAGCGTGCCGTGATGCCACGCGCCGAAGCCTACAGCACCTTACACTTCAAGCGCCAAATCCTGCACCCTGGACGCCGAACCCTGAATGGCCCTACACCTTGGAACTCGGCCATTTTGGCTTCAGTTCAGGCATCTAATCAAGCAGCCGGGAAAGTTTGAAAGGTCCTCATTGATATTCCAGTACCCAGAGACTCCAATATCCCTTAATTAAGGAATATACCTTAAATTCTATTAAGGGTCCTACTATAATTTAAGGTATATTCCTTAATGCAGGGATATTGGAGTCTCTGGGTATAGCTCAGCAACTACCACCAAAATCCTAAGGCACCTGCCCAGAGACTCCAATCCCTTACTTCAGGAGTATATATTAAGTCACAGAAAAATCTTCCTAAACATTAAAGGTATATTCCTTAAGAAAGGGATCTTATCCCTTACAGATCCCTGGGAGGAGCCCCAACCCTAGGTATTCCTGAATTAAGGGATATTGGAGTCTCTGGGCACCCTAAACCCTAAAGCTAAACTCTATAGATCCCTTAAAGGAACCCCAGGTCTTCCTGAAAGCCTAAGCCCCAAACCCGAAACAACCCTAAACCCTAAACCCCTAAACCCTAAACCGCTAAACCCCTAAACCCTAACCCCCTAAACCCTAAACCTTGAACCCTAAAGCCTAAACCCTAAGCCCTAAACCCGAAACACTACTCCGATGGCAGGCAGTGAACCTTGGGAGTGGCTATGATCCCCTGGAGCATGTGGACGCCTTCTCTCTTCGCCAGCCTGACACCTCGATGGCAGTGTTTGGGGTTTGGGGGTTTAGGGTTTAGGGTTTAGGGGTTTGGGGGTTTAGGGGTTTGGGGGTTTAGGGGTCTGGGTTCAGCGCAAAGCCGCAGCAACGAGCTCGACTAGAGACTGCTCGAACTGGAGGTGCTGAAGCCCAAACGTTTAAAATTCTAAATTAAGGACCGGGGCTCGAGAATTAAGGTTTGGGACCAGAAATTAAGGACAGGGGCTTTAAATTCAAGGTTTGGGACCTTTAGCCCTATTCCCGAGAATTCCAAGCCCTTGTCCTTAAAAGCGCCGAGAGCCCAGCGCTCGCCGAGGATTGGAATGGCTCGCCTAGCCAAGCTGTGCGGCACTGTCCGAGCCCGCAGAACGCGGAGCGCTGGTGCTGGCAGGACATCCCTGACAGTCCCAATATGAGCCCAAACCCCAAAACCCTTAAACTCCTAAACTCCAACCCTCTAAACCTAAAACCTCCAAGGTAGTTCGCAGTCAGTAGTGTTGGTAGCGCTAGCGTTAGCAGCAGCAGCGGCGGCGGCAGCAGCAGCACTCGCAAGAGATGTGCGCATTGTTTCGCACCTACCGACCAGCCCCTGTCCCGAAGCCTAGGTACTTAGCCCCAACCCTCCTGCAGGACACTATTCCCGAATCGCGACGCCCGGTGCTTCCTGTGGGAGCGAGCTGTGCTGAGTATGGTACCAAGGCCTTGCAAACGAATTCAAATGACATAAAACAATCCCGGACGCCTAAACCCTCATCTGAACGGTTTAGAGTTTGATGGACTAGGGTTGAGGGTCTTGTCGTGTACTACTCCAAGCATGTGAAGAAGTAGTTTAGTTTTGAGCTGTGGAGGAACACCCTGCATCCCCAAACTTTCTGCAACATGCCCCAGAGCCCACATTGCGAACGTCGAAGCCAAAAAAGTCAGATTCCCTAAACCCCTAATCCCCAAACCCCTTTTCCAAGCGCTGGGCTTGTCTCGGCAGGTCGGGCAGACAATGGCTCTTGCTGCTTAGCTCAGCTGTCATATAAGTATATCAGGTCATGGACTGTCGTAGAGTAGAGTAGAGTAGAGCAGAGCAGAGTAGAGTATAAAAAAGAGTATAAACTGGTAGACTATAGCGTAATATAGTTGAGCATAGTATAACATAGCAACATGTGGTCTAGTTTGGTCTGATAAATTTAGAATCATACAGAATGTCAGCTGAGCTGTCCCGGCCTGCCTGCTTGCAGGTTTAGGGCTTAGGCTTGGGGTTTGGGATTGTTGGGCTTGGGCTTGAGGGTTTCGGGTCTGAAGCCCAGGGCCAGGGTTTTGGGGGTTCAAGGGTTACAATGTCGAGGGCACCTCCTGTCGCCACCCTGACGTGAAGCGTACAGCAAGAGCCTTTCTTCTCATGTTGAAAGTCTTAAAGCCATAGCCGCAGCCATCGACCTTCAGCCCAAACCCTTCTTGAACCCTAAACTCTTGACTCACCCCCGCAAGCCCTGATGTCCCTGAAGCCTAAACCGGTTCTTCACATTTAACAAGAAGCCGCATGAGGTTACCATCATGCTGGGCGAGCTTCTCACACTGACTCTTTGCAGCACATTCCTGGTCAGTGCCGTCACGGGTGCTGAGCCGGTAGGGGTGCATTCTAGAAGATGCTGCTGTAGAGTGTCCGGATGCACGGAAGGCTCTTGGTTTCTTCGTGGGTCACTGACTCACTTCCATGACGGCAGCGACATACATCGAAAATCCTTGAGCCCTCCATCAAAGGTTTGATGAGGGCCCCGTTTGGGCCTCATGCCCTAAACAGCACACCTGCAGCCCACGCCGAACCCCTACTTGGAGGGTCGGGGGACTTACTTAGTAAGTAGACTTATAAGTACCCAAAAAGGGACCATAGTTGAGGTTATGGTACTTACAAGTCCTTAAAATTACCAGTTACTAAGCCCCCCGACCCTCCAAGTAAACCCTGCAAGCGCTGTCTCGCGAGGATGAGCTTCCGGACAGACGGCTTCTTTCTCTTCGCCCTCTTCCGAAACCCCTGGTACAATGTGCCTGGACTCCAGGGTTGGGTTTTAGGGTTTTAGGGTTTGAGGGTTTTAGGGTTTTAGGGTTTCGGGTTTAAGCGTTTAGGTATGTTGCCTGGGCTCCAGTATTTGGTGTTGCAGGGCCTCATTGCAATGATGCTGGGTTAAAGGCTCGGGTCTTGGGTCACAAGGGCCTAATGCTTGGTTAAGGGCTCGGGTCTTGGTTATAGGATCCTTAAGGGGGGGTGGTTCAAGGGGGGAGGGTACTAGGGAGCTTTGGGGAACCTTGGGGAAGCTTAGGGAGTATTGGGGAATAATGGGGATTACTAGGTTACCTACCCCCCTTGGACCACCCCCCCTTAAGGACATCCTAACTTGGGTTGCAGGGGGGCTTGCCAGAGGGCCTCATTCCTGTAATGCTGGGTTAAGGGCTCGGGATCGTAGCGGTTCAATGAAGCAGCCTGGCTGTTTAGTTGCCAATCTTGCTTCGCGGGGTTCCCCGCTATACTGGGGCTCTTACATACTGATCCTCTTTTGGATAATCCAGAGGGCCGGAATAGTTTGAATGGGGTTTACGGGTACATTGTACTACAAGTATGCTAAGGAATCCCCCAAATGGTGTAGGTAACCACTGAGGCACCTGCAGTAGGTTGTAATGGTCCTGAGTTCAGCTGAGCCGAGGCCCTTTTCATCCTGAATGTCTCTGTGATGCTCACGTTCGTGTACAGGACCGGGTTAGGGCCTTGCTGGATCCTGGGTTCTCGTTAAGGAGTTTAGTTTAGATTACCATAATAGGGGTGTTTTAGGGTTCCTATAAGGGATCTAGAAAGGGTTCCTTGAAGGGTTTGGGGTTTAAGGTTCAAGTTACCATAATGGGGATCTGTAGTAAATAATATGGTCTCCTGGTCATGGTAGCTTAATTTAAATCCCTTCACCCCTGCCCTTAAAGATATTGTAGTAGCTCCCAGGATTTGACCTAACCCTCACCCTGAACCCTACTTAACCCTAGACCCAAAGAAATGAATCCCTGCAGCCCACAACCAGGCCCTAAACTCTATACCCCAAAAAGATCCTAGGCCTGAACCCTAACCAACCTGACCGCCGAGTCCCCAAGCTCGAAACCCCGCCAAAGTCCAAGAACATGACGATGCAACACCATTCCCCCGCCTGATCCCTAAACTCTAAACCCGACCACCACCCCTCTCCTGCTGGGCGCTGTCGAGCGCCAGCGAGACCTTGGCGGGCTCTGCTGGGCTGCAGAGGCTGCCGACCACAACCCTGAGTGGTCGCCAAGCGGTAGTCGCCTAGCTCCGTCCCTGTGCATATTGATACCCTAAGCCCGATAAAGTCCCAACCCTTCGCGACTTGGGGTGGGGGGGCCTTTAATCCTTCACGACCTGCCCTTCACGACTTGGGGCGGGTGGCCTCTTCACAACTTGGGGGGGCGGCGGGGCCCCTTCACAACTTGGGGCGGCGGGGCCCCCAACCCTTCACGACTTGCCCAACCCATCACGATTTGAGGCGGCGGACCCCCAACCTTTCACGACTTGCGCGATCTTGCGTGGGGCACGCCAACCGTGTACGACTTGAGGCGGCGGGGCCCCCAATCTACACGACTTGGCGGGGCCCCAACCTTTTCACGATTTGAAGCGGCTTTGAACTGGACAAGGATTGGTGCCCCCCAACTCTTCACGACTTGCCGGGATCGCACTGGACAAGGGTTGGGGCCCGCCAACCCTTCACGATTTGAGGCGGCCTCTAACTGGACTAGGATTGGGCCTTCGAAGGCAAAGATCGGCAAATCAACAACAGTGCCCTGCGGTCCAGAATGCACCCCCCAACGCAAACCTAAATCTTGCTCTTGGTATAATGTTTGGCTTTGGCTATACGCGGTTCGGCTGGCCGGATGGTTTGCCTCGCTGTGAGTAGTGTTTGGGTGGTCTTGGGGTGGGCATTTCTGCACACAAAGAGTTCAGCATTCGCCCTTTGTGTTCCACATGGAATGGTCACAGGCTGCGGTCTCTCGCCCGTCGCTGTTTTGTATGTCCCAACCAACTCATGGACTCTTTAGGGTGCATCTCAGGAGTCCTTCAACGCCCGCGTAGACCGGGACCTCGCTATACTGGAAGTGGAAGCAGAGCACATCTCCGAGGATGCTGTTGAAAATTTACCGGATCAGATGGAGCTTGCGACACATGAGGCGATGATGGTCTCTGCTGCGGATGCTGCCGAGCAACAGCAAGACAGGGAGGACTTAGCTTTGGCCACACCCTGTCACGGCCTTCCTCCGGAGGCGGTTATCTCCGCCAAGAAAAAACGAATTATGCACGGAGATGGCCGGAGGATCTACTTCTGACAAAGAGTTCGCAGCGTTTTTCGACCTGACAACGACGGCATGCTCATCCTCCTTGAGCTCGCGAACCGCTTTCGAGGAGTTTCTGCCAGTTGCGTCTGTGAAAGAACACGCCAAGATCAACTACGTTCGTGTCAGACAACCGACATAATCGGAAGACATGGCGCATCTTGCAGCTTCAGCCATGAATGTTTACAGGACTCGCCTTACCGATATGTTCGTCCGGGATATCGTTGGTCTCATCTGGTTTATCGAGAGAGAGAGATACATTCGTGCCCATCGTGGCATATGTTATTTGTATCAAACCGACGGGGTCTTTGATCCCTACACTGGGGTTCCGCCAGAGTCGCCTTTCTACCGGCTGAAGAAGTCTCTGCTGAGGTTGGAGGGTTTTTTCGACTGATGTCATCTGCCACCGAATGCTCTGACTCCGCCATCCTGCGAGAGATTGTCGGCATGCTTACAAAGGACGACGTCATCGCAGAGTTTTTGGGGTTTACGAAGACTGAAAAGACAGCTTACATGCTTGCAACGGTGCCAGCCCCGTTGCAAAAAGATCTGTTGGAAGAGCGACTCTAAAATCTAGAAATCCGGGGTTGGAGCATGCTGTATAAGATCTTTCTTTTATAGGTTTTTCCAGAGTAGCTCGATCATCATGCGCGGGGTTAAACAACCCAAACCTCAAATTTGAGACCTTCATACTAATCCGTAACAAACAGCCTAGATTTGAAACCCTGGTGGCTTGAACTTTAGCACAAGCCCTAAACCTCAAATGTGAGCGTCTTATATTCTCTTATGCTAAACCGTAAAGCCAAAACCAAGATTGGGAGAAGTAGAACCATACCTGAAAATTGAAACCCCAAACCCTAAACCCCTAATCCCTAAACCTTAACCCTGATGATTAGCCTGGCCTTGCAATCGATCAGACCGGCGGTTTCGGAAGAGCTGGAGCTGGTGCCTCTCAGCACCGGGCATTTGAGTTCCCCGGCACATCCGATGGGATTAGGGTTCGGGGGCGTAGGGTGGAAAGGGTTTAGGGGTTCGACGGTTTCGGGTTGTCACGAGGGTTTCGGGTGTGGGGGGGGTGTAGGGTGCAGAGGAATGGGTACGTACGTACGGACGAACCTCGGGGGGGGGTCACGTCCGTACGTACGTGAGTACGTTTCAATACACGTTTCATACGCTAGTACGTGAAGGCAGGTATAGGTAAGTAGGGCGTGCTCTTTGAAGCGCGGGGGTGGTGCGTACCTGCATCGTTTCAGTTCGTCCAACAGCATTTGTAGACGTTGCGGTCGGTCGTCCACAACAACGGGACGGAGAGTTAGTGAAGAGGGGATCAAGAGAAGCGGAACCATCTTGCTATTTGAGTCTTCCGGCTTCGGCCGGTGCCGAGCCGAATTTCAGTGCCTTTTGCTGTTGGCTAACCTCTTTTCCGCCTGCATGTTTGCCAGCGAGCGACTGGAGCTCGGCGAGCATGCGATCGAGGGGTGTCTCATCCCGCTGGTCTCTGCTCGTGACCAACACCCCTAAGCGTGGTCCACCAACGGCGCGACCAGCCCGCTGCCGTGGCGGCGAGCGGACAAAGCCCTTTGCGACCGGACGCGGAGCAGGTGATGCACTCAGTGAGACCTGCCACGCCATCGCGGCTCGCTACGAGCCCCAGGACATCGAGCTCTTGATGTCCAGCGTGAGCCCTGTACCGGAGGGCGGAAGCCCGTCGACCCAAGCTTAGGAACGATCAGCCTCGGCTGAAGGATGCGTCTTCGGGACCATCCACTGTCAGCAAGGATGCGATTACACTGGATCGTTCGCAAGAAGCACGTCGTTAGGTGCAGCAAACCTATGCGTCGGCGAGGGCCGAGGGCGAGTAATTTCTGGTAACGCTTCGTAGGGCTCACCGCGGTCCCGTACGTGCTCCACCTGTGCCGATGCGTTTGTGACTATATGTTTTCCCGAATCTATGCCTTCGAAGCAGGTAGTCGCAATGTTCCCTTTTTCGCTGCTCATGGGCCGGGTTTAGGGTTCATATGCCGGAGATGAGAGCTGATCTCCCGGTGCACCAAAACACGACTCACTACAGCAGCCCAATAAAAAATTACGTACCACCATTCCTGAGGCTTTCCGTGCTATGATTCGCTTCCTCAGCCCGTAATCGTCAGTTCGCAGGCCCTGATAGCTAAGCTGCAAGCCATGTCCCCGAAAACATTCCGCGCTTGAGCTCAATATCGTGAAAAAGGAGCATAGTCGACATGACGTAATATAACAACAGTACTGCAGGTTAGCATAACATACTGCAGTATGATAATCTTTATGTAATATCAATACAATGCCAATATGAATATACCCAATAAGGTATAAATCTAAATCTAAACATATATATATATATATATATATATGTTAATACAACGTAGTGTAAAATATGTTATACCATAAAACGTAATGCCATAGTATATATATATACACACACATACATACATACATGAATACATACATACATAGATACATGTATATATATATATATATATATACATACACCCTCAAAGGAGAAGCTGATCCAAGGTGCTGCATTGGGCTTCGCTGCGTCGCTCGTGGCCGCTTGACGCAAGACATCTTTGACCATACGGTTTATGAGGTTTAAGGTTTCGGGTCTAGGGCTTGAGAGTTTAGTGTTTTTATTTTTTCAGGGTTCCTGGGTGTATGCTTCAAAATTCGAGGATTTCTTCAAACCCAAAGCCCGAAACCCTCAAACCCTAAACTCAGAGAATTTTGACGGTTAGTTTTAGAGGGTGCTGTAGTTTTATCGGTTCGGCTTCAGGTCGCACTAACGGCTTCAAGTGTTGTCGGGGTCGGGTTTCGGGATTATACCAACACTGTTCCATAGGGTTCCCAATACGACTATACTAAAGAAGCCAGTATTCTTATTGTGAAGGCCCCTAGATCACAGAGCCCCTCGGGAAGAGGGGTGTGGTTGTAGATCGTTTACTCAGTGCATCTCAGTGCCGAGTGTTTCTGTGAGGATGCAGGATGAATTTGGGGTTTAGTGTGAAGTTAGGACTCAGGGTTTGTGTTTCCGTCGTAGTGCCTCTGGGTGGTTTCTATTTTAGGGTATGTAATTCTGTACATCGTGTAGCGTTGATGTCGGATTTGCAATGCGACACTTGTGTTGGGCCGAGGATTTTGGGTGGGTCGAATCGGGGTTCAGAGAACACTCCAGGGTTGAAGGTTGGTGCTTGAGTTCAAGACTCATAAGCATTATGTTTATATGAGAGTCCAGCCCCTAGACTAGATGCTAAACCCTAAACCCCGAACAGGAAAGCCTGAAGGCTTGCAAAGACAGCCTTGAACTGCCTTCGGTTTGGCAGGCGTGCTGCGGGCAATAAGGCAGTGGTTTGATTCTAGCCTCTCTGCTAACCCAGGTCTTGAATGAAGTTACCAAGTTCTTGCATCCTGGCCGCAAAGCCACAACGCCATGGATGGTGAAATGGGTGACATTTTTCGGGTCCGGACAGCTCGCAGGATAATGAGCATACCCTACTTTGGTTCAGTACGGTTCGGGGTTGAGGGTTTGTGGCCTGCCCGCAAGCGTAAACCCTAAGCTTAACCGTTGGCTTACGCTTCAGTGTTCAAAGGAATCCTCCAAAGTATGCTGTTCCTTGCCGGCAGTATCTAAATGGACATCTCATCTAACTATATCGAATTTTATGTCTAGAGTCTATATCTATATGTTCTTTACCGATCTGATATAGCGGAGCATAGTGTCAGGCTTGAGGTTTAGAGTCTAGTTGCTGCCTTCGGCAAGTTGCGTACCACACACGGCAATCATTCAATACCTGCATTTCCCTGCTTGAGAGTCTCACCCCCACAAACCCACCGAAACCATGGAAGGGGCCTCAGTCAGAAGAGTAACCCCGCTTTGGGGACACGTGCTCAGCATCGGGCCTACCAGCTCTACGTTTTCGAAACAGCGACCTCCTTCCCCGACCCCAAACTAGATCCTCAATCTTCAGCCGCACTAAGCCCTATACCCCAAGCCTTAGACTCTAAATCCAAAGCTCAACGCCATCAAGCCGACGCCCCAAAGCCTGAACCCTAAATCCTAACTTCAAAACCCTAAACCCGCCCCCAAAGCCATAGGCCCTACATTCAAAGCCTTGCAGCCTTACCCGCACCCTGAATGCCGAACCGGAACCCAGAATTCGAAGCCCTTAATCTCGGACCCGAATCCCTAACCCAAGAAGGCCCAAAGACCCAAAACTCTAAACCCTACACCCTAAAACCTAAACCCTAAACCCTCAACCAACCCAGCCCTCAACCCTCATCCCTCATCCCTAAGCCCTAAGCCCTAAACTCTACACCGTACGACTCAGCTATCGGCGGCACCTAGCGGCCGTGAACGAAGTGCTAGAGAAGGAGGCCAGGGTCACAAGTGAGATTGGTACTTGGTGTTGCTTCTTAGAGTTTTATTTTTTTTATTAATATTGTTATGAATACTATTACTATTATTATGATTGTTATCGTTATATGTACTTATTTTTTCATTTGTATGTATTGTGTTTTTCTTGGTGTTTTGTTGGGGGGAGTGGAGGGGGGGGGCGGGGTGTATTCAGGGTTTCAGGGTTTGTTTTCATCTTGTTATTCTTGTGAGGTGGCTGGGTAGGTGGCTGGGGCGGAGGGGGCTATCATATATATATATATATATATACACATACATACATATGTATATATATATATATATATATGGGTATATATATATATATATATATATATGTATATACATGGGGTCAAGTTTTTTTTTTGTTCTTTCCGGGTTTCAGCTGGTTTAGACCTCATATGGTCTGAAAGCTTTCAGGTTTCGGTGGCTTCAGACTTCAGTGCCCAGCCCGACATGCACGCGCCCTGAACACTAAACCGACATGTCAGGGCTTTGCCCCCTGCACTCGCTTTTTTGTCAGAAGCGGTTGTGGGTTCGATAATTCCCGAAGATTCCAGTGGTCACGAAAGCGCCCAGGCAGTTCCGGCTAGTTTTGCTGTTGCCTTAGTCTGATGTTCTGGTGTTTCTCTCGTGGTACACTCCAACCTAGCCTGGTCTTGGCTAGTCTGGTTTCGTCTAGTCTCGTTCAGTCATGCATAGTGCGATTTGTATAGAGTAGCATGCAACGTCTTTCCGGGTTTAGAGTAGCCTGTTAGTACGTTATGTTATGGCAGCTCGAAGTACCGCATAGCATAGCAGAGTAGATCAGAAGACAGCGCGGTAAGTCTAGTAAAATTCGTATCTTGCACCACGAGTTGCTAGGCAGCAAGAGTACAACATTGATGCAGTGACATAGTATGAACACAGCTTCAATGCAATGTCATCTGTTAGCCTAGTCAGCATATTGTAGGGTTACAGTCATAGACTTGAACCCGAAACACTAAACCCTAAGCCCTTAGCTCCGAAACCCTAAACCCTAAACCCTGAACCCCGAAACCCTGAACCCCAAAACCCTGAACCCCGAAACCCTAAACCCAAAACCCTGAACCCCGAAACCCTAAACCCAAAACCCTGAACCTTGTCCTTGTAATCGTAGCATCAAAACATCGTGTTCACATCTTGGAGGGTCGGGGGACTTAGTAACTGGTTATTTTAGGGACTTATAAGTACCATAACCCCAATTAGGGTCCCTTTTAGGGTACTTATAAGTCTACTTACTACCTACTTACTAAGTCCCCCGACCCTCCAAGCATCTTAGCATCACCCGAGAGGCCCAGGCCTTCGACTCGAAAACCCCCCCGAACCGCTGGGCTCAAGCCCCAAACTCCAAGCTCTCAAGTGCGGAAACTTCAGCTTGAATGATCGTATTAAGCAAAAGTTTTTTATAGTCTAGTTCATCAGAGTATATAGCATAACCTGCCCCCTAAACCCTGAATCTTAAGCCTGTTGCATAGCATAAAACTGCACATCCTCAGACGGCAACATCTCCCCACATGGGTAGTTGTCAAAATTGTGGCCCCTTTGTGGGTACCCTAAATATTGGTGCCGTATTATATCAAGGACCCAAAAAGGGACCATAATTTTGACAACCACACACATGCGTGCGCAGGCCCTGGCGAAAGCCAAGGGTTCGGCTGGGCAGGCACCTGGGGGTTTAGGGTTTTCAGGGTTTAGGAGCTTAAGGTTTAGATATACGTATATACGTGTATATATATATATATACATATATATATATATATGTATATATATATATATATATAGAAATTGCAAGTTTGTCGGATAATTAGGTAGATAGATAGATACATACACATACATATCATTTGTATATGCATGTTTTATACCAGCATTTCTTCTTATGATCTTGGTGTTGAAGGCTGTTGTGTCGTTTCAGTGGCTTTTGTTCTTTTCGGTGTAGGTGGGTTTTGGTGCCAAAAAGGTTCGTGGATTGCCTGGCTGGCTCAAACCCTCAAGCTTAAAACCAAGCCCTATAGAACCCTCATAGAACCCCTTCTAAGTTAACAGAAACAACCTAAACCTCCAGTGCATCGGGTCCCGTAATGACAGGGCCTCAATGATCGCCAACTCTATTCCTTCAAGTTACTTAATGTGTTTTTGCAACAACATTTATATACCACCTCAGCAAAACCTCGTTCTGATCGCTAAGGCTCCTATCTCATAGAGGCTTATACCAGCCGTTCGAACCCTTCTGAGAACTTTTCAAGGGATTGTGTTCTAATTAGTTTGGTCGTGACATCAGTCTCAAGCGGATCTTTGTGCTCCAGCAGCTTCGTCTTGGACGTTTTGGGGTTTAGTCTTCAGAATGTTTTGGTTTCTGACGATGATGATGCCGATGCATTTGGGTGCAAGTCTCGCTATAGCATCTTTCCTCAGACTACATCGCACATACTTTAGGCGAGCTTCGTGGAGTGGGGACCATGTGTGGGTCTACAATGCATCCTAGAGGCAACGGTTGAAGTTTATGTTGTAGGCTTCCGCGATTTAGGGTTCCTGTTTTTCGGGGTTCGGCTGCAGGGTTTAAGGTTTCAGGGTTCAAGCGTTTCAGGGTAAGTTGAGGGGTTCAGCCGTCTGTGGGGCCATGCACCCTAAACCCTAAACCCTAAGCCCTGAACCCTAAGCCCTAAACCCTAAACCCTAAGCCCTGAACCCTAAGCCCTAAGCCCTAAGCCCTAAACCCTAAACCCTAAACCCTAAACCCTAAACCCTAAACCCTAAACCCTAAACCCTAAGCCCTGAACCCTAAGCCCTAAGCCCTAAACCTTAAACCCTAAACCCTAAAGTTCCAGGAGGAGGAGCTCAAAGGCGATCCCGAACCTTGACACGCCGCAAGGATCAAAGTTTCAGGGCTTGGGGCTTAGGGTTCAGGGGTGTAGGGTTTAGGGGCTTAGGGTTTAGGGGTGTAGGGTTTAGGGGTTTAGGGGTTTAGGGGTTTAGGGGTGTAGGGTTTAGGGGTTTAGGGGTTTAGTGGTTCAGGGGTTTAGGGGTGTAGGGTTTAGGGGTTTAGGGGTTTAGGGGTTTAGGGGTTTAGGGCTTTAGGGCTAAAGGGCTTTAGGGCTTTAGGGTTTAGGGTTTCAGGCTTAGGGCTTGGACAGCTTCGTGTAGAATATTTAGGGCTCATGGCTTAGCTTGGTTTTTGTTTTCAGGGTTGGGGCTTTCAGTGTTTAGGACTGGGGGTTTCAGCCTAGCACTGAGCGAGATTTAGAAGGCATGCCACCGCGCCCAAGAAACGTAAAGTCCACGCCAGAAGCCGGCTAAACTCTTGTACTTCAATTTGTTCAGATTTTTCTGACCTGCCTGCAGCGCCAACCCCTCAGCCGTCCGACTTAAGACCCCACATCCCTAAGCCCTCATCCCTTCGAAGCAGGGGGCTGAGACTCGCTGTGCTGAGCCTACAAACCGCTTCTTTGGAGTTTTTGGGTTCAGGGGTTAGGGTTTAGGGCCACACGCAAGATGATCAGATACACGCCCCGAAAAGTCGTACTAATGCCTAAACTTTACATTCTCAACCCTGAACCCTTGAATTAAGACACTGTCGCATACAGTCTGACTTGCCATTCGTGGCTTTCCAGCTGAGGTACATCTTCAGCCTCTCGCGACCTTATGCAGCCTGCGGCAGAAAAGCTGTTCGATGATACGGCTGATGATAAAAAACCTGCATTACCTTAATGACACTAGACTGTGGGAAACAAGGTATATTCCTTATTATGGGTAGTGCAGGATTTATATCCCTAAACCCAAAACCCCAAAACCCTATAGATCCCTTAACGGAGCCCCTTAAAGGTATTCTTATATATGTATATCAGAAACAGATTGGCCGCTGCGTGTTCAAGCTCAGCAGAACCTGTAAACCTCATAGGAGGCCAAAAGGGGTTTTAGCCTATGGGGGTTTATTAGGGATAAGGGTTCCCATAATAGGGTTCATATGAAGGAATCGCTACCCCAAGAATCTTAAACCCCCCTTTTGGCCTCCCATCAAAACCTGACAGCGAGTGAATTTGCCTGAGGTCCAGCGGCTCCTCGACACGTTGCCACAGGCATAGCCTGACATTGGGATCGACACTTTAGGGCTTGCGGGTCTGAGTTTCGGGCTTGGCGTTTGGAAGTGGGTTTACGGTTTACGGATTCAGCGGTCAAGCCAAGCAGACTTCATGGAGACTGGAGTCGCAAACCCTGAGGCTTTCATACGTGCATGCATACAGACAGCTAGACCGACAGATGGACACGCAGACAGGCAGGAATGTCGGTCTGCATACACATGCCCACGCTCTACATGCAGATAGGCATACACTATTACTTGTTTGTCTATCCACGTACACGCATACGTACATTGGCTTACACGTAGCAAGCTGCAGCAGCCCTAAACCCTATAGAACCCTTAAAGGAACCCGTAAGGATCCCTTAAAGGAACCCATATAGACTTATAGATCCTTGTAAAAGAACCCTTAAAGGATCCCAGCATGGCAACAATACGCGACGGAGGTTGCCCTTCGCGAGCTGCTCGTGAAGTTTGCTCGACCCAGTGAGGCTATTGGGCCAGGGTTTAGGGTTTAGTTTAGGGTTTAGGGTTTAGTGTTTGGTTTAGGGCTAGGGTGAAGTTTGGGGTTTGAGGCTGAAGGTGTAAGGTTTAGAGTCTAGAGGTCAGCGATTTTGATTTAAGACTGAGGGTGTAGTCTTCATGGTTTAGGGTTCAGTAAAGGTTCAGGAAACCGTGTTATACTGCCGAAACTTCTCTTTCCCAGAGACTCCAATATCCCTTAGTTAAGGAATACCTCAGTTCATATTAGGGATCCTACTATAATTTACGGAATATTCCTTAATTAAGGGATATTGGAGACCTTAAGCCCTTATTCGGCATAGGCAAATCTGAATCGGCCTCCGTATTAGGCACATCTGCATCGTCCCCCCCGTATTGGGCACAGGCAGTCTGGATTGGTAGCCTTATTCGGCAGGGCAATCTGAGCCGGCCCTTTTAGGGGCATAGACACTCTGAACCGGCACACTTTTGCGCATAGCCACTGTGAACCGGCTTCGGTCGTAGGCAATCTGAACCGTATTCGTATTGGGCATAGGCAGCAAGCCTTAGGCGATGACAACCTTGCATTTCTAATGTTATGGGATTCTGTGGGTGGGTGTTTTCCTGTGACTAAATGCGCTATTAAACAAGTAGCTTAACCCCTAAACCCTAAACTCTAAACTCTACGGCTCAATCCCTAAACCCTTAAGTCTAAACCCTAAGCGAACCGATGCACTGAGGTCTGAGGCTGTCTGATATCGAAAGGGGAAGTTGGGTTTGAAGACCAGCTTTCGAGGTGAGCTTCTTCGCTGCTTCTGGGCAGCAGTGGTGGTCGCAGTAATATAGGAGACTTAATCAATCATTAGAATCGGGATTTGGGGCGTATTATACCAGAATCATAATAAGGCCCCCAAAATGGTATTGGTGATTATTTAGGCCCGCTATTTTAACCCTAGACCCTAAAACGGGAGTAGAGGTGGGCAGGAGCAGCAGGAGAAGTCGCAGCCAGACTAGCCACCCCAACTGACCGAGCCACGCCCAAGAACAGTAACTTGCCAGGCCAGGAATCATGCCGAATGTGGGAACCTGATTAAGAAGCCTTGGGCCTTTATTAGGGTTCCTTATATGAATCCTAGTATTTTGGGGTTACAGGCTCCCTAAACCCTAAACCCTAAACCTTAAACCCTAAACCCTAAACCCTGAACCCTAAACCCTTCAGGGATTCTTAATCAGGCTCCTACATCAGGGCCTTGAGCCAACTCTGAAGCCGAAACCCTGAAACGCAATCCTGAAAAGCGCTACAGGCGGAGATGAGGAGCCTGCTGGAAGCGGTCTTGGCCTCAGGGTTCGGGGTTTGCGGGTTTATGGGGCTCAGGGTGTAGGGTTTTGGGGCTTTAGGGTTTCAAAGGAATATACCCTTTATAAAGCTATTTTATACCCATAACATAGCACATTATAGGGTAGGGGTCCCCACTAAGCGTCCCTACTTTTCCCTTTTGAGTATAGGGTTTTGGGGTTTGGCCGGCGCTGAGATGGAACGGCAGTCAGCAGAGCTCCTAACTTTTCAACTCGTGCAGCTGAGAACCGTCGATCCCACGCCGTCAGAAAAGTCCTTCCAAACTCCACGTCATTTTTTCTAGGAGCTTAAAAAAATGAACAAAATTACCAGTACTATTTTTTGGGGGGCCCTTATTATAAGTATGGTATGCTATGTCCCAAAATCCTGTTCTAATATTGACGGCCCCTATGTTATGGGTCGGTCAAAGGGGCTAGGGTTCCCTTAAACCCTAAAGGGAGAAGTTCAGGGTTCAGGGTCCTGTAATAGTGGTATAATAGGAAGATAATAGGGCGCTAGTATAATCCTTATAGTCACTATTACAGGGTGGGGGCCCCTTCTAAGGTTTAGGGTTTAGGGAGTTTAGGGTGATCAGAAGGTAGCAGGAATCTCTGAAGATCGATGCTCACTGGAACAGGAGGACACACGCATGCTTCATCAGTCGACCACCTACCTAATCTCTGAAGAGTCATGTGGGGGGTTTTCGAAAAATCGGGGTGCAGCATGTAGGGGTCCTTGTGATAAAGATCTTACTCTTTTGGGTACTATTTAGGGTCCCCTATTTTCGGAAACTCCCATATAGGGCAGCCACGGTTTAAGGGTGTACAGTAAACCGTAAACCCCATAAAGTTGGAAGCCGGATTAGGGCCAAATAGTGCTGGGATTCCCCATACATTACGCTTAAGGATCGAGCTAAACCCTAAACCCTAAACGCTGAACCCTAAACCCTAAGAGGCTGTTGGGTTCCCAGCTTTTGGGCCTCTGCTGTAGGGTTTAGGGCAGCAGACTTCCGTCCTGAAAAGGCGGTACCGAGACTGTTGAACCCTAAACCCTAAGCCCTAAGCCCCAAAGCCTAACCCTAGACCCCAAAGCCCAAAGCCCAAAACCGCTGCTTTAGGGCTTAGGGTTCAGGGATTACTACTGTTGATGGACAAAATCCTGCATTACCCATTCTAAGGAATATACCATAGTTCCCATAGTTTAGAGTCCTTAGGGTCATGCAGGATTTTGTCCATCAGCAGTAAGTATTGTTTGCATTCCCTTCTCGGGTGGAGGACAGGGGATTCAAACGGCATGTTGCTGAGAAGAAACCTAAAACTTGAGACAGGCATGGATAGGGTTTAGGGACAGTTTAGGGTTTAGGCCCCAAGCCCTAAACCCCAAGATTAAGCCCTATCCTTGCCTGCCTCTCCTTCCTTCTGCCATCCGCCGAGTCTGGCTGGGACTTGACCAATGCGCAGCCTGCCATCGCAGCACCGGCATTTGCATTTTCGGGGCTGAGGGTTTGTGGCGGCGGGGGGGGGGGGGGCGCCGAAGGTTTCAGGCTCTCAGTACTAGAGGGGCCCAAACATTACCAATTCTATTCTCGGGGTGCCTTATGATAATTACAGTATACTGGGCCCCAAAACCCTATTCTAATATAGGCCCCTACAGTTTTGCGACTGCACCAGCATGTCGGGGACTTGTTGGATGTTTTGTTGGCATTCTCAAATCTGTCGAATCAGGTTTGGTGTTCCAATTGTTACTTAAAATAGGTGTTGGGTTATGTTGCAGCAGCGATGCTTTTGGGTTTCGAGGCTTCAGGGCATCAGGGTTCCTTTCGAAACCAGCTAATATAGGGGGCTTAATAATTTATTAGAGTAGGGATTTGGGGTGTATCATATTATAATCACAATGAGGAACCCCCACAATATTAATTGTAATAGTAGAAAGACACCCAAAGTTTGGGATCATTAAGAACGCCCTCCGTGCGCAATGGGGAAGATGCGACCGCACTATCTTCACGAAATATCCTTATCATGACGTCCAGGGCAAGCTGGGCCTCAGGTCCAATAGAAATTCTCTGAAATGGAAATTCATAGCTGAGAAGCAGAAGCTTGGGTGTAGGATTTCGTGCCGCCGCTGCCTTTTGTGCGCTCCGCAGCCTTTCACCTCAAACGAAGTTTCGCGTCTTGCTCTCCGAGCTGACTGTGAAGAATCATGAGCCTCTTGTCTTGATCTAATGAGGGCATGGGAGTTTACTTACGTCTTCCGGTGCAGATTTTGGGACTCCTGGCTACTTTAGGCTGTAATTTCTAACCGTTGATATTGGAGGAGCTGAAGGGCCAGGGATGATGATAATCCCTTTTAAATAAGGAGCTAAAGAGCCAAGGGAGCCCCAAAACCACTGGTTAGATTAAGTAAGTAGAGGGTTTTGAGATTCACGAGTTTCGGATCTCTGGGTTGACTGATGAAAAGTTGGATCACCCAAACCCTAAACTCCAAACTCCTAAGCCCCGGTTTCATCCCTGGCCTCAACGGCTACACCCTACATCCTAAATCCTATAAACCCTAAACTCTAAAACCTAAACCCTTTTAAAGAACCGAAGCCCCTAAACCCTAAACCGAACCCTCAAAGTCTGCGCCAAGGCCGCTTGGTCTTGCTGCTTGCCAACCTCGCCCTGGTCTCCGGCCAGGCCATCGCAAGGAGACTACTTTTGAAATGCTGAGGGGTTTAGTTTAAGTTACCATAATAAAGAAACCTGTATCTATAATGCTATAGATCCCTGTTATGGTAACTTAGGTTAAATTCTGAACAAGAACCCAGTATACTGTACTAAAAGGTCGGGTGAAGGGCTTAGGAACTTATAGTAGTTATAGGAGGAGGAGGACGAGGACGAGGAAGAGGAGGAAGGAAGCAGTACTAAGTAGTAGTAGGCAATAGTAGTCAGTAGTAAGCAGAGGTAGTGAGTAGTAGTACGTCGGAAGTAGTGAGTAGGAGTACGTCGGAGAATTATAGTAGGTAGGAGTACGTAGTAGTAAGTAGCAGTAAATAGTAGTAAGTTCTTCCAGCCGATCGCCGAAGCGCTCATTGAAGATGCAGGGAGCGGCATTGAGCGCAGGGCTATTGAACAAAAGTAAGTAGGACTGGGTAGAAGCAAGTAATAATTGCAGGTAGTAGTACGTAGTGCTAAGTCGTAGCAAGCTAGTAGGCGGTAGTAAGTAAGTAACTAAGTAATAGTAACTGGTAATTAAGTACAAGTCGCCCTCTATCATCACCACCAGTATCATCATCACCATCTGCATCACCAGTACCAATACCACCATGACCACCTCCAGCATTACTAGCGTCGTCAGCACCACCAGAACCACCAGGACCACCAAAACAGCCACCGCCTCAAGTACCACCAGCACCGTCAGCGTCGCCACCGCCACAAAAACAGCACCGACCATCCCAACCACCACCAGCATCAGCACGACAACCACCGCCACCACCAACCATCCTTATTGCCGCCAGTCTCGCCACCATAGTAGCAGCGTCTTCTGTCTGTTCAATCGCTTGGATTCGACGACAGGCGGTGAACCCAGTGGCCAAGGTGATCTCTTTGCTCTTTGCCTTCACTAATATACGGGCCTTAACACTTAGATAGGGTTTGGTGGCATATTATACGAGAGTAAAAATAAGGACCCCCCCAAAACCCTATTCTAATCATTAAGGCCCCTACATTACCGTCCGTCTGACATAACGGATTAGCCTTCCAAACGCCATGATCCCTGAGCCTTGATCAACCTGCGCAACAGCTTGAAACCAAAAAGTGTGACGAATATTGAGGCCTCAACAATTACCGATACTAGAGTGGGGGTTCCTTGTTATGATTATAGCATAATGGTCCCCCAAGCCCTGTTATAACTCTTGAGGCCCCTGCAGTAACTCTACACCCCAAACCCTAAATGCTATGTCTCCCCAACTATCTTCTTCCGACCGGGAAGTTCTCTAAATTAGGGTACCTTTTTAGGTCCCCAAAACCGTACGGCAACCTTTTAAAAGGGACCCCCCAAAGGGATGCTGATTTAGAGAACTGCCCATATAAACCCGAACGCTTGAGCGGCGCCTTAAGGGTCGCTCGGGGGTATCAGGCTTCTAGTTTAGGCTTACCGTTCGCAGCAAAATTAAGTAGGTAGTAAGTAATAAGTAGAGTTAGAAGTGCCCGAAGAGGAGTCCTGATTGGGGCTATGATACTTATAACTCAATGAACAGCTACTTAGTACACCACGCCAAAGCCGAATGTTGAAGCCCGAAGCCCGAAACCCTGAACCTTCGCAGTCTTTGGGCGCCTTTTCAGGAAGCGTTCGGGCAAGAACTCCGGGGAAAGAAAGAGCTTCAGAAGAATCCTACAGTAAACCCGGCCAAAAGGGTTTAGGGTTGCACTAAACCCAAAGCCCTACAGCATATAACATCTCTGTACGAAGCCCCATAGCACCTTTACAAGCGGCCTCTCAAGAGCCTCTGGGACAGCTTAGGGTTCAGGGTTGACGATCTGGGAGTTTCCGAAAATTAGGGTTACCTTATGTTGGGGTCCTTATAAACAGGATCCTACTATTTAGGGTACTGTATTAGGGTCCCCTATTGCGGAAACTCCCATCTAGGTAAACCCTTCAGCAGCCTTTTTGGGCTTGGGCTGTGGCCTTCGGGTCATAGGGTCGTAGGCTCTTAGGGTCTAATGGTCTTGGGATCTTAGGGTCTTGTGGTCTTAGGGTTTTCGGATTTTGGGGTAAAGCATCTTAGGGTTCAGCGTCTGAGTGTCTTAGGATCTTAGGGTTTAGCAAGGTCAGGAGGTCTGAGAGTTCAGGGTCATTATTGTCCAGCAAGGCTGTCTGACATGCAGACCACTATCAAGAAGGAGGGCAAGGCGGAGGATGTGCCTTAGGCTCTTTCTTCAGCTACGGTTTAGGGGTTTCGGGTTTCGGGTTCGGATTTAGGGTGGCTACGGTAGTGTCCAGTACTGGTATGTTTTTCGTTGCAGCTGCTGGTGCTGCACGTGTGTTTGTGACAGCACACGTATTCTTGTCGTTGCCGGCGTTGCCCGTGTGCCGCACATTCTCGCCGCTACTATTCCTAACACGTGAGTGGCATCTGCCTTGAGGCGCAAAATGCCAAGCAAGCCCCAAACCCGCAACCCGAAAGCCTAACCCCAAACCCTAAACCCCAAACCGGAAACACAAAACCCCAAAGCCGAAAGACTAAAGCCTACACCGAAAGGCTCGAGGCTTAGGGTCGTGGACCCTTAAACTCATCTCTTGGTCTTTGAACCCGAAACCTTAAAACGAAACACACCAAGCGACAAAGCCTTATAGCCAGCCCTCAACCCTGTTCTTTTTTTTTTCTCCTAGGGTTTAGGGTTTAGAGTTTAGAGTTTACGATTTAGGGTCTAGGGTTCAAACCCAGAGAACGATTTAGTCGATTCCTTGGCTCAAAGGAAGCTTGATCTGTACAGCCTGGAAGCCTTCGGATGAAATTAATTTGGTCCAGGATACTGCTCAGAGTTTCAGGGCCTGGAGCCCTAAACCCTAAAGCCCTAAACCCCTAACCCCTAAACCCCTAAAGCACTAAACCCCTAAACCCTAAACCCCTAAAGCCCCTAAAGCCCTAAACCCTAAACCCTATTGGGGTTTAGAGTTTAGGGTTTCGGTCCAGGTGAGGATTCGGGTTTAGGATTTAGGTTTTGGGGTTCGGCTGGGCCCTGAGACCCTAAACCCTAAACCCTAAACCCTAAACCCTATCCAAAGCAGATCCGAAGCCCCATGGGTCGAAGGGACCCAATAAAGGGAACTCCAGAAAGTTGGAATATGGATTAATGGTAGGATCCCCTATAATTTTTCCTTAAAAGGGGTTACGACAATGATATTCCAACTTTCTGGCTTCTACTGTACTTAGGTATTTGGGAGTTTTCGAAATAATAAGGATCCTACTATTCGGGGGTACTACATTAGGGTCCCCTATTTTCGGACACTCCCACTTCGGTTTCGGATAGTAGTGATGTAGGTTGATGTACCATTTGGGAGAGTATATGATAATTAGGTACATGGACCCTGGAGATGCCTAAGAACTACAAGCATTGTTCCTCATGGTTTCTTCTTAGATGTACGGAGTACCATCTCCCAGCAGCCTATTCTAATGATTGAGGCCCCTTTTTGTGACCCTACTGTAAACCTGAACCTGAATCCGCATTTCGAACCCTCGAACCCTCACAGGGCCCGGAACCCTGCAGACTGTGACATATGCGCCTTAAGATCAGAGTTGCGCCGTAAGAATTAGACCAGGTGGTGTTTTACAAAATACTATAATTGTAAGCAGGAGCCCCCAAAATAGTATTGGTAATCAGTTTGGCCCCTTTATTCGCATCGGACCCTGGGACCAACCTTCATGAAACCTGTGTAGAGCCCTTGCTCGCAAAAGGGATCCTTTAGTTCAAGGGATAAACGGACATTGAAAGGGAATCTATAAGGGATCCTCATACGGCTTTTTATAGGGCTCATCAAACCTCTGCTTGAACTCGGCCCTAGAAGGGACGCCCAAGGCACGCATCACCAAGTTCAGCAACAACTGTGAGCTTCGCAGTGCCGATCTTGAGCTGCTCGGCTTCTTTCAGGTTCAGATTGTGCAGAGGGATTCCGGCAATCTTAAACCTGTAGGAGGCTTTGAGAATTATCACCGCGAGATTCAGGTTTCTATAAGGGTTCTGTGGGGGTTGGGTTTCTGTTAGGGCCCTAAACCCCAAATCGGAACCCCCTAAACCCTAAACCCTAAACCTTTCAGGTACCAGATCAAAACGGCCAAGGAGGACATCGAGGAGCTGAGTGCCCGCATCAGCAAGGCCCCGAACTGAGGCTTCATCTTTCAGTCGCCTTTACCAGCACCACCAAAGCCTAAACCGTAAGCCCTAAACCCTAAATCCTAAACCCTAAACCCTAAACCCTAAACCGCCTAAACCTTCAACCCTAACGCCTAAACCCTAAACCCTAACTCCTAAACCTTAAACCCTAAACCCTAAATCCTAGACCCTAAGTCCTAAACCTCAAGTCCTTAATCCTAAATATCCTAGACCCTAAGTCCTAAACCTCAAATCCGTAATCCTAAATCCTAGACCCTAACTCCTAAACCTCAAGTCCTTAATCCTAAATATCCTAGACCCTATCTTCCCTAAACGAAACCACCTCCTGGGCCCAACGTGTCCTCCGAGGCGGAGGGGAAGAAGGAGACGCTCGCCTCGACCCTCGAGGAGGGGGTTTCGGGGGTTCTGAACTTCTCAATAAGGTTTAGGGATTTAAGGGATTTGGGATGTGGCGATTTAGGAGTTTAAGCATTTAGGAGTTTAGGGTTTAGGGATATAGGGTTTAGGGACTTGAGGGTTTAGGAGTTTAGGGTTTAGGGATTTAAGGAGTTAGGGATTTAGGGATTTAAGGTTTAGGGGTTTAAGGATTTTAGGGTTTACGGATGTAGGGATTTAGGAGTCTAAGTAGTTAGGAGTTTAGGGTTTAGAGATTTAAGGGTTTAGGGATTAGGGATTTAGGGATTTAGGAGTTTAGAGATTTAGGGGTTCAGGGATTAAAGGATTTAGGGATTTAGGGATTTAAGGGTTTAGGGATTTAAGGATTTAGGGATTTAAGGGTTTAGGGATTTGAGGGTTTAGGGATGTAGGGATTTAGGAGTTTAGGGTTTAGGGATTTAGGAGTTTAGGGTTTAGGGTGTGCTGAGCTTCAAAGTATTAGCGGGACCCTTCTTAACCCCACTTCTGGCTCTCTTAGAAGGGACCTTACTTGGAGGGTCGGGGGACTTAGTAACTGGTTGTTTTTGGGACTACTATAAGTACCATAACCCCAATTAGGGCCCCTTTTAGGGTTCTTATAAGTGTACTTCCTACCTACTTACTAAGTCCCCCGACCCTCCAAGTATTGAGAGGGTCGAGAGCCGCAAGGGTCCCCCTCATTAATCGTAACTTCCCAATGCGCAAGGTTTCGGGTTTTGGGGGGCTTGAGATATACGCGTTTTGCATTTCAGGGCCTCGGAGGTTCAGCGCCGAGTAGGAATCCTTGAAATCCATGTGGGTTAGGATCCCTTTTTTGGGGTCCATATTATAATACGGCACCTCATATTTAGGGTACCCCAAAAAAGGGGACCACAAGTTTGACAACCACCCAAGCCTTGAAAGGAACCCTTCGGTGTAACGGGCCTACTTTGCCCCCGCGATCCCCAATACCCAACCTTTAAACTTTTTGGGTTCTTATAGTCTAGTAGGAACTGGAAAGTTTAGCCTTTTATTGGCTTATTGGGGGAGTACGTTGCGCCATCGGCTTGGCAAGGAGACCTCTGAGGGGATCGCCTCCAACGAGGTTGGGCGATGCCGGTTTGCATCTTTTTCTTCGTTGTTAGAGTTTACGGTATTAGGGTCTAGGGAGTTTTGGGTTTAGGGTTTTAGGGTTTTAGGGTTTCGGGTTAGCATGTTTTTCTTTGCTGGCAGGGTCTAGAGTTTAGGGTTCCTGTAAGGGTTCTATAAGGGTACCATAGTTGTTTAGGGTTTAGGGTTTGAGGGTCCATGTGCCCAAACAGTATGTACTCTGGCCGAAAAGTAGTCCCTAGATGGGAGTTTCCGGAAATTGAGGGTACCGTATTTTTACTATTCAGGGGAACTATATTAGGGTCCCAAATTTTCGGAAACTCCAATATAGGTACTTTGGGGCCAAAGTATATACGATTTGGGTACATGGACCCTTCATTTTGGGTTTAGAGTTTAGGGTCCAGGGTGTAGGGAGTTTGGAAGGGTTTTGGGATCTTGACGTAGGGTTGTGAGTATCACCAAGAATGCCAGTGATTTTGTTGTGTTGTTGTCGTTGTTGCTGCTGCCCTGCTATCATGCTCAGGATTCCCCGTCTTTTTGCTTTCGGAGTTTAGGTCTGGGGGTGTTAGTAGGGCTTAGTAGGGGTATGGCATGATTGTTTCTAGGTTATGTGAGTCTTGAAGGATCCCTCACAAACATCCTTCAACTCAAAGGCTGTTTGTAAGGGGTCTTATTAGACGGGCTTGCACGCAGACGATGCGCAGGCCCTTAGAAATCAGCGTGTCCAACTAGCATCCTTGTTTTTTCTTGGCAAATGCCGCGGCCTCTGCCGGCCCAGCCTTGCAAGCTAGATATTTTGACCCCTGGAGCGACGTTGCAGCAATCCTGAGCTTCTCGGGATGCGTCTGACGCTGCATCGTCGACGCAGTCGCGTACTGCAGACTGCAAAGCCCTGGCTGGCGGATCCCACTCCGCCACTTGAGCATGGCGCCAAAGAGGCTGCAGGTGCCGGCAATAATGGGTGAACCAATGTCTGTTCAGTGCTACTCCCTGGAGGACATGGACGATGGGGATGTTGGGTCCGTCTAGAAGTCTAATGGGTTTTCTGCAGCTGCCCGATAAGCCAAGAAGGACTGGTAATCCACCCCCCTTCAAACCCTAAACCTCAATAGTCGTTCCCAAGTTTTAGAGGCAGCTTCCCCTTCAATGTTTTCTAAGGAATCCTGCAAGGATTCCCTTCGAGGGATCCTTTGTGGGTTCCTTGAAGGTGATTTGCACTTGGCGGAGTCGCAGCTTCATGGTTGTTGGAACCCCGTGAAACTGCGCAACCTTGAGGATGTCCTCAGCCGCAAATGTCAATCGGTTCAGCGTTTACTTGGAGGTTCATGGGCAGTTATGACTGGCGCTTTCCGTCTCCTGAATATGGGTTGTGTTATACGTATACTTACCCTACTTGTTGTAACCCCCGGTATAACTACCCATCAATCTCCACGGGGGCTTTAGGAAATGTGCGGAAAGCTGCTCAGGCAGACGAAGGAAACCTAAAGCCCCCAAATCTAAAAAAACTGAAGCCCCTCGCCTAGGGTGTACTTGTATGGTTTAGGGTTTTGGGGTTTTAGGGTGTAGGGCCCGGGACGACAAAACTATCAGCTGCAGGCGGACCTCGCTGCGGCCACCTCTGTGCGCGCCAAGGAGGAAGCTGCAGGGAGTAGCATAGGGGCCTTAATGATTTCCTGGCCCCTTGATACAACTACAGTGGAAAACACACCAGAACCCTCTTCTAACTATTAAGGCCCCTATATTAAGATGTGTTGGTTCAGGTTTGGGCTTTAGGAATTTTTGAGTTTGGGCTTGAGGGTGTAGCACGCACCGTTGGTGAGACGCTGAGACTATGAACCGCTGTGTGTTTTCGTGATGCTCTGGGCCTCTGTTGGCGGGTGAGTGTTTATAAGGTTTACTATAGAGGCCTTAATAATTACGTATACTATTTTGGGGGTTCCTTATTAAAATTTTAGTATAATGGGCCCCAGAACCCTATTCTAATAGTTAAGGCCCCTATATTAACACCATGCTGTTGGCTAAGTGTCTTCTCAGCTGTGCTAATCGCAAACCCCGAATGTTGAACCCTTAAATCCCCACACCCAAAACTCTAACCCGCAGACGGAAAAGGGGGTTAACAAAAAAAAAAAAAGAACCCGAAACTATAAAACACCACACCTAAACCCTAAGCCCTAAACTCTAAAGCTTCCTAAGCCCTAAACCTTAGGCCCTAAACCCTAAACCTTGAGCCCAAAGCCTTAAACCCTAAACCCGAAACCCTAAACCCTAAACCTTAAACCCTAGAAGCCACCAGCACTTTTTGCTGCAGGCCGCCGACTTCAAGGCCGCCGAGAAGGAGCGAGCAGGGTGTTTTATGTGGGGTTTAGGGTTTAGGGTTTCGGGTTTAGGGTTTAGGGTTTTGGGTTTAAGGTTTAGGGTTTTGGGTTTAGGGTTTCGCGTTTTTTCACGGAAGTAGTTAAGTTTCCGATGATGGTTAATGCGTCAGTGCTTGTGTCAATCTTGCGGTGGACGGGGTGCTCGCAACGAAGCTTGCCCTTCGGCCTGCTTATGGCGGCCTGATTTTTTTTCTCCCACCCCGCGCCGTTCCTGAGGCGGCGCACCACGCAGACCTACTCCTTTTAGGGTTTATATAAAACCTAAACTCCTTTTCTTTTTAATATCAAAACACTCAATGTGCGAAACAGGGGTAAGCAGTTTTGAACATGTGTTTGTGTAGTAATGTCGGCCCTTTTGTGGAAGCCATTTCTTGGATTTCCGGTTTCCGGTGCCACCGAAATGGCCACAAAGATCTAAAAACTGTGGATGTTGCCATACCCGCGCCTTTTCCGGAGGCCATTTCCAAGGCCCCCTGTATTTCTTCGATTTCCTGCTTCCAAGGCCGCCGAAATCGAGGGAACCTTACGAAAGCACCAAAATTGTCGTCGATGAAAGCAGGTGTTCACGCCGCGGAAACTGCTTGGGGTGGAAGTGTAGACTATTTCTTGAGGTGCTTTTACCAACCATGTTGCGCGTCCGCTGTTGGGTTGATGTTCGGAAGGTGCAGGCAGTGACTATGTGTGGACATCTGATACTCCAAGGGGTGACTCAGTGCGCGACGTCGGGGCGCACATTGGAAGCTTTTCGCTGTCCGCGGTGCAACGTCTCTCCGCGCAGTAAAACGAGGGTACAATTCAAACATGCTTGCTTCTGCGAGCCTGCGTGCTGGAATAATTTATGATTGCAGTAGGTGCTTTGTGCGGCAAACAAGAACGCAAGTTTCTGGCGCATACATCGTACTCAGCAAATGTGTACCGGAATGCCTCTCTTAAGACATACTGTAGTTGGAATATGGGTGATATCTTGCGAGGCATGGAAGGGGCTGGGTCTGTGCGACAAGGCGAACCTTACCATGCTCACCAAGAACCTCAGCAGCTCGTGGAAAATTCAATGTCGGTGCTGTTGCAGTTGTTTATGGATCTATCTGTCTCGTTTGATGTTCGGTTGTTGTTGAGGTGAAGCCAAGCGCAAGTACCCGTCACACGCCTGCAATCGCGAGCGTGGGTGTGACAGCGTGTTTCCACCTAGTGTCTGCCAGATTGTGCGCAGTGACTTTGCGATTCAAATGCATGTGAGCATCTGTCGTGTGCGACTGTGCACAGAGCACCACGTTGTGGACGGTGCCCTGCAACATCGCGGTGGTACGGTGACAGTGACGCTTAGCTTTCAGGCTGTGCAGAATGCGGTTGTTGACAAACATGCACTGTTTTGGGTTGTCGTGAGACGGGTGCAATGATTGTCTGCAAGCTTTCGACTAGCACAAATATGTTTCGCATGAATCAAGTCGCGACTTGCTCTATGCAAGGACGACCGAGGAGTTCCGGAGACACTTACCGTTCGCGGTTAAAGTGCTTCGCTGTGACCAGGTGACACGTGAGGCGTGGCGCTGTGGATTTGCTGATGCCGTGCTCGTGCATTTGATGATGCCATAATGGCAATCCTATGTATGTCTTCTTGTGAATATGCGTATCCAGTGCGGCTTTGGTGCAACCAATTGATTCAAGCTTATGACTCCTGACCTCCGGGCTTCTGAACTGACTTGTCAGGTTCGGGCTTGCACGTTCAAACCCTTGAAGAGTGCAGCCGGCTGCCGCTTTTGCATCGGTAAGCTCGACATCGAGGGAGCAGTGACCCGGCTGGAGTTTGTGCGGACGAGATTCGAAATGTTCTTGTTGCCGCGTACTGGCAGTTTTCTAGCACTCAAGGAAGCACTGGCCACGCAGAGTCCGACGAACGCACCGCCGGTGCTCGTCCTTGACGGCACGTGCACGTTGGCAGCATTTCCTAAATCTTCCAGGTTGCGATTCCTGCGCTCCTTGAGAACATTCACCGGAGGTGGCCAATTTCCTGGACATTCGCAAGACCACGGTCTTGGTGTCTCGTATGATATATGATGGTTCTATAGTCTCTTATGTGTGCGGTTGCCCTGTGCTCTGCTGCTGTCGGAGATGCTCGTATTAAGGCTTTTTGCTCTTGCGACATGACGAGCTCATACCCCAGGAGAAGAGGGCTGTCGCTCTGCAAGCACTGCGGAAGTTGTTGAAGCAGGGCGGTACAAATTGGTGGCGGTGAAAGAGTTCGGAGCTCACTCGTGTTCCTGAGTCTGTAGTTAGTTGCGCTTTGCACGTGCCTTTTTTGGCGACGGGAAGCCACGATCTCACACAGGCAAATGTACGATCCCATTCTCTTCGCTGTCCGCCAGCCCCAAACTGCCGCGGAGCTCCGTTGCCGGAACTGCACGGACCGGGCCAGAGCAACTTGTCCAAAACCTGACGTGCGTGTTGGCTTCTGCGGCGACTCCATCATGTCCTTGCATGCACATACTTGGCAAAGAAGTTGCGCGAGCTTCTGCGCTGAAGCGTGACCGAGGCCTGGTGCTTAGTGCGCATAGCCAAGCAGAGAAAAGTGTTGCATGCGTGTGGCTGGGATGTGTATATGTGTATATATATATGTATACAGATACATACAACGGTGATGTCGGTGGTCGTGATGTGGTGGTGGTGTTGGTGGTAGTGGTGTTGGCGGTTGTGGTGGTGGTGCTGGTGGTGGTGCTGGTGGCGGTGGCGTGTTGTTGCTGCTGCGATTGCTGGTGTTGTCGTGGTTAGTTTGGCTGCTGGAGTTGTTGCTCTTGTCGTACTGTTGAGTGTTGTTCCCGGTGGGGCAAACCGGGTGACCAACCCCCCTACACCCTAAATCGCCCTAAAACACCTCGAACCCCTTGTGCAAAGGCCGAGGGTCAGAGCTCAGCCGAACCCTAAATCGTAAACCCTAAACTAATCCCTCAACCATAATTACAACCCTACTTGGCTAAGATTCAAGGGATCCTAGGTTCAAGCATGTTGAACTCTGTGCATAGGGGTGTATACGAATGCCCTCAAAATAGCCCTGAACCTCTACATCCCGAGACAGTCCTGTATTAATCATAATAATGATGATCATCACCACAACCAAGAAAAACAGTAATGGTTACATCAAGAGTACTGATCACAATAATAGTAGCGATAGAAGAATAATGACCATAACAACAGTAACAAAAGTAGGTACAACAATAGTAAAAAATACTACTGATGATATGGCTGCGTTTAAATACAACACAAGTACTGCAGGCACTGTCGCATCAGGGATGTATGGGAGTCTTCAGGCCTGTGGGCCCTTATGGGCTTCACAGTCAACTGCTCTTTCATTCCCTAGGAACGTTGGCGTGGAGCAACTGGCGCAGGCCTCGAAGGAGACCGTGGAGGCCAACCAATATCGGACGAAGACTGCGCGGCGAGCGGCCAACGCCGTTTTCAAAGCTGAGCAAGCCGCTCTGCGTGCCGCCTCTGGCGCTGGGTTCCTCAAGGGTCCTTGGTTGTAATTGCAGGCATATAAACACACCTGCATTTCACCGATGGGGTGAAGAGATCCAGCGTAGCCGCATTTTTCAGCGTCGAGCGCCCTGGAGCCAAAGAAGCGCTTGGTTTATGCGGAGGCTAGGGTCCGAGTTTTTTCCGAAGCAGTGTGTCACCACACAAATGAGATAAATCCTAGAGCCCTAAAGCCCCAAACCCCAAACCCTAAACCCAAACCCCCTAAAGCCCTAGACCCCTCAGGCGCTGCGCGCTGCAGGCCAAAACCCTGATTGTTAGGGTTCAGGGTCTGGGGTTTTGGACTTAGGAAACCCTTAAAAGAACCCTTATCGGAACCCTCATAGGAACCCACAGGAACTCCAAAATGAGCTTTTTTTAGGGGCATCGCTACAGGATCTCCTGGAGACCTCTGCGACGGTGGAGCGGGCCATGTCGATGCTGGAGAAGAAGGTAGGAGTTTCCAAGAATTAAGGGTACGGATGGGGAAGAAACAGGGGTACCTTAGGGTTCCTTTAAAGGGATCTATAACGATTCCTTAAAGGGATCTATACGGGTTCTAGAAGGGTTGAGGGTTTAGAGTTTTCCAAAAATTGGACTACTTTGTTTTAGAGTCCTTATTTGAAGGATCCTACTAGTTTGGGTGCTATATTTGGGCCCCCTATTTTCGGAAACTCTCAGGTGGGGACTTGTGGTTGGGCAGGGTTTTAGGCTTGGGCATAAGGACAGCTACACTGAAAATGGGTTCTAAGCATGGTACTTGGGCCGAGAATTTTAGGTCTTGAGGAGTTTGGAGGATGTATTGTTGAGGGTTGTTGGTAAGAGTTATAATAGAAGCCCGGAAGTTGGAAACCCAATAGCTTCAGTCCTTAAGAGTAATGTATAAAAGGGAATCCCAGCACTATTTGTCCTTTATCAGGTTTCCAACTTTCTGGGCTTTACTATATATCGTGGGGGTTTAGGCTACCCTACTGCCTCCCAAGGATGCAGCGCACTCGTTCTGGAAGGATGGCTTCGTTTTGTTCATTTTTTTTTTTGCTGGGGGGGGGGGGTGGGTTTGGGGATTTAGTGCCGCTTAGGGTTCACATGTTTAGGTTTAGGGCTTTGGGGGCGGGGTGACGGGGTTTGAGAGCAGAAGGTTTTAAAGATCAGGAATTCGGGGTAAGTGTCATCATGGTACCACTTGAACTACCTGTGGACTCGAAATCTCTGAGCCTTTTCCTCACCCCAAACTCCTAAACCCTCACGCAAGAAACATAACACTCCAGCTCACAAGAGCTTCGCATGATTCCAGGAAGCCAAAGGCGAGTCCCTTGTCCAGGCGGGCAGGCTTTAGCAAGGGGAAGGTTAATATCGAAGCCGGAAAAATCACCAATATCATTCAGTCGGGTTCCTTCAAATATAAAGGAGACCAAAACCCCATTCTAATTATGAAGGCCACTTTCTCAACGATGTCACGGCAGAAAGATCCCCAGAATGATAGCGGTGGCAGTATTCCTTTTGCAGACACTCCACGAGCCATGGTGAGGGAACCTGCAACTCCAACAAGACTTCCTCTTTGCTGAAGGTGGACCCCAAAAAACCCAGAAACCCTAAAGAAGGCCATTTGCAGGGTTTGGAGTCACAGGTTTCGACAAAACGTAGGAATGGTCGTTGTATTTTCATGATTCAAGCAACAATAGCAAAGCAGTGATTCGAGTTTCGAGCAAGGGGATCGTGTGGGAGTTGGTTCTTGCCATTTTGTTGTTTGGTTCAGTGGTTGTTTTGGGGTGCCGGGATCGCATACGCACCAAGGCTATATAGCGTGATCATTCGATGGGCATAGGCATAGTCATCTTGACCAAGACTCCTGAGCCCTCGCGTGCCCGCAATCACCCGCATCTTCCACAAGTATGTGCAGATGCGACGTGACCTAAACACGGGCTGAACCCGGGGCGCCCAAAAGCTATACCGGCCTGCAAGGAATGCTGATGTATCATTGATGTTAGGATGATGTCGGCGGCTGTCATGATGATGAGTGTGATGATGACGATGAACATGATCATGACATTGACGTTGTTGGATTCATATAACGGTATATGCACATACAAATATATGTATATGAATATGTAGCTAGACATAAATGAGTAAGTGCATTCGTACATCAATAGACACGTCAGGTTAACATGTGCGTACACCCCGTGTGGCTGAAGAGTATGACACACTGTTGCGCATTGCGATGCTACTATCCGACAACCTGTACGGCTACGGTCTTATCTATGGCTGCTTGCCGCTTGCCATGTGTACATGCACTTCCACCCTGTACCACTGTTTTCTGTTTAACATTATGACAATCTAAAAGCTAACCACCTCTTGAGTATCGCGATATGCCATCGTAGTGGCTTCTGTTTCCGCACAATTCTACGGCACAGCAGTATGTATGACCAGATGTTCATATGTGTTTAGATTTAGACCATTGTATTGGCACTACATGGCACGACTGGTTTCTCGTATGTATGATTCTGCCTCATTTCTGATATCTATAGATCTGCATGCTGTTTTTTGAGGTGAAGGGCGCCGGAAACCTCCTGCAGGCCGTCCAGGCACCGTGGGCAGAGTTTTTGTTTTGTTCATGTTCCCGAGACCCGAAATCCAGTGGCACCCTAGACTCCAAACTGGACCCTAAGCCCAGTGAGGGTCAGGTTGAAGCGTGTGGGCTGAGGATGTCGCTTCGATCGGCACTGATAGGGTTAAGGGTTTAGGGTCCAGTAGGGTGAGGTACTTCGCACGTAAGTCCTTGATGGAGCCCCGCGTCCTGAACGCACAAGCCTGAACCCTGGAATCCCAAACTGCAAACCCCAACAGCGAAACTACAAAGCCGTGAACCGAAATGCTAAATCCCTAAACCTAGCCTAAACCATCAAACCCCGAAATCCAAAACCCCTAGAACCACTCGTAGAACTCCCCGAACCCGAACATCACCTAGTTTCCGAAGCCCCCTTCTGAATTCCTATGAGGCCATGATGGACGCCTCCGTCATCGGCCATCAAGATGCGAAGACCCTCACCGCCTTCCTGCAGGAAGCGGGTTTCTCTTATGTAGGGGCCTAAACAGTTACCCATACTCTTTCGGGGGTTCCTTAACATAGTTATACTATAATTAGTGGCCCCAAAAGCCTATTCTAATTATTCAGGCCCCTAGAGTAGAGGTTTGGGGTTCGTATCAGGGCTTTCGGTGTTTAAGAAGAGTGGCAGTGGGAATTGAAAGGGTTCTATCAGGCGTGATAAGGGATCCAAACTTCTGGTTCTACACCTAAATCCTTAACCCTAAACCCCGAGCCCTATCAACCCTGAAGGCTAAAGCATAAAGGTTTTTATAGGTTCAAGGAGTTCGCCAGCATGAGAGTACGTAATGCTTTTTGAGCACTTCTTTTGGTTTTGGGCTTATGGTTACTTTTGTAGAGATTAGGAGTTTGGTTTTGGATTCCACATGGAGGGTGTCAAGTCTGGGGGCGAGGCCCTCCTTTGTCATGTGAAGAGTCTGTATAAGAGAAGCATAGTATCTATCCCAAAAGCCCATTCTGATTTTGTCAAGTCCCCCGTGTTAACCCTCGAAGCCGAAACCCTAGACCCTAAACCCTAAACCCTAGACCCTGAGGCCCTGAGCCTGAACCACAACCCTAAACCCTGCTAAGCCCTAACCCCCAACCCCTCAAGCCCCAAACCCTGAACCCCAAACCCAAAACCCTGTACCTGCAGTTGGGAAAGGGCCCAAAAGAAAGAAGGACACCCTGAACCCTAAACCAAAAGCTCGAAGTTTCAGGATGCGCAGGCCCCTGAGCCGGCGACCTATGAGTCCAAGACAGGCCGCTCGGCTCGCTCTTCTTTGGGGTTTGGGGTTTAGGGTGCCTTTTAAAGGGGGGGTTTAGGGTCTAGGGTTCCGTTTTAAAGGAGGGTTTGGGGGTTTAGGGCTCCTTTTCAAGGAGGGGTTTGGGGTTTAGGGCTAAGGGCTCAGGTGGGCGTTCTAAGGGGTTTCAGGGGCTTTTAGGGGTTTAAGAGGCGTCGATTTTGGGGGGTTTTAGGAATTTTAGTGTTTAGGGTATGAAGGGTCTTAGCAGATTCATTTCGGCAAAGGCTTTGACCGGAGGGTTTGGTCGGTCCGGGCTTACGGACTCGAAAAGTTTATGAAGAGCTTTAAACAGGAGATGCAAGCAGAAAGTGCTGTTTCAGAGGGTCGCGAGGGCTTGCGTCTCAAGCTTTCCTCGACATGAGTCACGGAGCTTGCGGAAGTGGCGCACGGGTCTGCCCATGCCGGACTTCAATTTCCCGGCAAAGAACCTTCTCCAGCTCAGCCAGCATGCACTGCGACTCAAGAAGGATGGCACCAGGTCTAGGATTCATGCCAGCCGAGTGAACTACTTCAGCCATTCACATGGGCCAAGCGACAAGTCACTCAGCGAGCAGCGAACAAGAGGCCAGCCAGCGAGCTTTTCGACCGACCTCAAAAAATCCTCTCAAGCCGAAGCCGCGAGTCCTAAACCCGAAACCCCGAACTAAATCCCGAAACCCTACACCCTCATCCCGAAGCCCCTCAACCACAATCCTAAAAACCCACCTTAGATAGTGAACGGGGGAACTGTAAACTTTTTGGCCTATCAAGAAACTCTATCTTAGAAAGTTTGAACTGTTTGGGGCCCGGTTGTTGAAGAAGAGAGCCACAACCCCTAAACCCTCAACCCTAAACCCTAAACTCCTAAACCCCTAAACCCCTAAACCCCGCAACCCTCAAGCCCCAAACCCTCCAACCTCAACCCTGGAGCCTTGGAACTCTTCTACTGACCGACATCGAGGACCTGCTCAGGCAACTCGGAGCAGGGCCCCACATAGGAGCAGCAGGGTACGGAAGAACACTGGAACTTCAAGGATTTTTTTTTATATCTCTTTTGCTATTCTCATGATTAGTTCTCATTCTGGCTATTGCGGTTGCTGAGTCCTGTTTCGGTTGCTATTGCTGCTGCGACTGTTACGATTGCTAGTGCCATGTCTATTGCGATTGCAATTCCTCTTGCGATTAAACATGTGATTGCTATCACTACTACTATCTACGATTCTTGCTACTATTACTTACTCGTGCGTTTACACTTGCAGTTCCCACTCTAATGATGACTAAGTAACTTATCCCCAGGGCTATTCCCATTACCAGTGCTTGTCGCCTTACCGTTACCATTACTCTTATCGTTATTATGGCCGTTGCTGGAAGAAAGCGGAGACAAGATATTCATTCTGCCAGGTACCCCGAAGTAACCATGGTGCCGTTCGAGATCTTAATCAGCGCGTTCTATTTAGGCGATTGGCTGGAGAGCCAAAGATGAGGATATAATGCGGGGTATGATGAGGATATCTCTTTCCAACCTTATAGGCCCGCGCCTAAACCCTACTTGTCAAACCCTAGACCCCAAACTTAAGCTGTAACCTCTCATTGATTTTGGTCTCGAGGTGGCGTGACTGAGATGCTGGAGGACATGCTCGACAAGTCCAAGGTGGGATGTTGTGCCTGTAGTCGTAGCCGTGGCCGTCGTCCTAGTCGTAGCCGGCGTCGTAGCCGGAGTCGTCGTCGTAGTCGTCCTCGTAGCCGTAGTCGTGGTCGTAGTCGTGGTCGTAGTCGCAGTCGCAGTCGCAGTCGTAGTAGTAGCAGCAGCAGCAGCAGCAGTAACAGTAGCAGTAGCAGCAGCAGCAGCAGCAGCAGCAGCGGCACCAGCAGCAGGAGCTGCAGTAGTGGCAGGAGCAGCGGTAGCAGTTGTAGTGCCTTGACTGAAAACAGGTTAAACATGAGCGGAGATAAACCCTAAACCCTAAACCCAAACCCTAAGCGATAAACCCTAAACGATAACATTGCCAACGTATCACAGGATCAGCTCATGGAGCTCCGCAAGAAGGAGACGGAGGCAAAGCACAGCTTTGAGACGCTCGGCGGGGCCGTCATCAGGGATGGTTTCGGTTGAGGGTTTAGGGTTTAGGGTTTAGGGGTTTTTTGTAGGGTTTTATATCGGCTTCATAAGGGGTCTATACGCTTTCGGGAGTTGAGTTTAGTGCTTAGGGCATAGGGGGGGTTTTGGGGTATGGTTCAGTTATGCGAGCCCAGGTATTCGGATTCGAGGCTCTTATTTTAGCGTCCGTCTCGCAGATCGTGGCCCAGTGGATATACTGTCCGGATTTCGGCAGCCCAAAACAAAGATCTCGAGGAGCAGTAGAACCTCAACCCTAACATCAACCTCAAATCCTAACACCGTAAACCCCAAAGCATCAAACACTGATGCAACTTCAACATCCACATGAAAGCTTCTGAAGATGGCCACCCAAGCCTTAAAGCCCCAAACCCAAACTCACCAAACTTGTAGGGGAACCCTGACAGTACCCGTAACCCCACCCTAAACCCCAAACTTCCAGAAGCCCCCATAGTGACTCTTTACAGAACCCTAAAGCCCCAAACTATCCTAAACTCCTAAACCCTAAACCCTTAAATCCTAAACCCTAAACCCTAAACTCCTAAACCCTAAACTCCAACTTAAAACTTAAACCCTTATAGATCTGTTAAAGGAGCCCTTCTTAAAGGAGCCCTTATAGATCCTATTATGGTAACTCTTCTCCGAGGATGCTGACCCTAAGCCCTAAACCCTAAACCCTTACATCCTAAACCCTCAGCCGTAAACCCCAAACCCTATACCGTAAACCGTTCTCCGAGGATGGTGACCCAGTCCCTGGCTGACGAGATCAAGTTCGCCAAGGCGGCCCTGGAGAAGGCGAAGAAGAGCCAGGCCGGGTCCCCCAAGGGCTATGGCTCTACTTGGAGGGTCGGGGGACTTAGTAAGTAGGTAGTAAGTAGACTTATAAGCACCTTAAAAGGGACCCTAATTGGGGTTATGGTACTTATAAGTCCCTAAAATATTTAGTTACTAAGTCCCCCGACCCTCCAAGTAAGGGGACTCTAAGGGTTCCTCTAATGGGGTTACTGCAAAGGGTCCTTTTAAGGGACCTTCCCTTCACGGATCTCCTTTAAGGGGACTTCCACTTTTTTAAAAAGGGATCCAAAAAAGGGGTCTCTTAAGGGCTCATGGGTTCCTTTAAAGGGTTCCTTCAAGGGCTCCCCTTTTTTTTAAAAAGGGATCTAGAAAGGGGTCTCTTAAGGGCTCATGTGTTCCTTCAAAGGGTTCCTTCAAGGGCTCCCCTTTTTTAAGGGGATCTAAAAAGGGGCCTTAAGGGCTCATCTCAATTTTAAAAGTGATCTGAAAAAGGGTCTTCTAAGGGCTCATCTCTTTTAAAAGGTTTAGGGGTTTTAAAAAGGGATCTAAAGAGGTGTCTTCGGTCTTAAGGGCTCATGGGTTCCTTTACGGGTTCCTTCAAGGGCTCCGTGTTTAAAAGGGATCGGGGATTTAGGGTTTAGGGGTTTAGGGTTTAGGGGGTCTAAAGGGGTCTTATAAGGGCTCCTTTTAAAAGGGATCTAAAGGGGTCTTATAATAGGGCTCCTTTAAAGGGTTCCGTTGAGGGGTCCTTTAAGGGCTCCCTTTTTAAAGAGGGCGGGTACTACGGGCTCCGTTGTGGGGGGGTTTGGGGTGTAGGGTTCAGGGTATAAGGGTTTGGGGTTTAGGGTTCCTTCTTTAAGGGGGTCTAGTTTAGGGCCCCGAGCTCTTAGAAGGGATCTATACGGCTTAAAGGGGTTTCCTTGAAGGTTCGTTTAAGGCTTCTTTAAACGTTCCTTTAAGGGGTTCCTTTAAGGGTTCTTTCATGGATTCCTTTAACCGGTTCCGTTAAGGCTCCCTTCAAGGGTACTCTAAAGCATCTTAAAGGTACTGCAAGGCTCCTTTTATGGGGTTCCCCTTGAAAGGATCCCGTTTAAACGGGTTTACAAGGGTCTATAAGGGTTCGTTTAAGGGCTTCCTTCAGAGGCTCCTTTAAGAATTCTTTTAAAGGGTTTCTTTAAAGGGTTCCTTTAGGGAGCTCTTTTGCAAGGGATCTAGCAGGTTTAGGGTTTTTAGGCTTCTAGGGTTTAGGGCCTAGGGGTCTAGGGGTTTAGGATTTAGGGTTTTATTCGGTATGTATATAAGGGGTTTTCTAAGGGATCTACCAGGGTTCTTTTCAGGGATCCATACGGATTCTACAAGGGTTTAGGCAGTGGCTCTGCTCTATCCGGTTTCCTTTAAGGGATCTAGAAGGGTTCTACAAGGGTTCAGGGTATTGGGTTCTGTCAGCGTTCCTTTAAGGGTGCTACAACACTTCTATAACGGCTTTTATAGGGTTTATGAGGGGCTTGAAAAGGGCTTCAAAGGTTTAGGCTGTTAAGTTTCGTACCTGCCGGATCAGGGTGTTTGACGTTGTTTTCCATGCTTTTTTTGAGTGCGTTGCGGTTTCTGGTCTATGAGGGTTGTACGCTTTCTTTTGGTTTTGGAAGGCTTTTCGTAACGGTGTCTGTACGGCTTTATATGGGTATAGGGCTTGAGGCTTTCAGGCTCAAGCGGGCCGCTTGGGGTTTGCAGGGTTTAGGATTTCAGGGGCTGCCTTTTGGCTGTGCCTCATGCGCCCTGCAGCCCGACACCTCAGACGAATCCCAGCAAAGTCGAGACATCATTAAGAAAACCACGGTTGAGTTGCCCCCTTGCGCAAAGCCCCAGACCCCGAACCCTAAATCCCAAGCTCTAAACCCTAAACTCCCCAGTCTGAGCCTTCAAACCCTACACCCTAGCCAAACGGTCCCAGGAACCTAAACCTCGAACCCTCGATCCCAAACCTGGCTCAGAAGTTCCTACCCCGACCCCCGGGAGGATCTAAAAAGTAGATCCCCTGGTTTGGGGCCCTCTACTACTAAGGGTCCTTTTAGGAGCCCCAATTAAGGGATCTACTATCTGGATCCTTCCAGGAATCTGGTAACGCCGGCACTCAAATCCCCAAACTCGGATCCTCCCCGCCCAGGGCTACCAGGCCGTTCTTGAACCCAGCCCCAAGTTCTACCTGGACCCTAAGGAACCCACCTTTCTAGGGCTCCCTAATATGATTTTTTTGATATTAGTCTTTAAAACGGTAGGTTACCTGGGGTTAAGGTAGTATCAGGTATAATTTTCTAGCAAGCAAGGATCATCATGTAAAGACCCCAAATCCCAAACCCTCAACCCCGAACCCCTAAACCCTCAACCCCGAACCCTACACCCTAAACCCCAAACCTTAAACCCCCAAATCCCAAACCCTCAACCCCGAACCCCAAAGCCCAAACGAGGCCGAGCAGGCGCGGATCAAGGCCGAAGCTGAAAAGGCCGCCCTCTTCCGGATTGAGGGCTTGGGGTCATCTGGGAGTTTCCGAAAATTCGGGTACCGTATTTTAGGGTCCTTATTATGAGGATCCTACTATTTAGGGTACTATATTAGGGTCCCTTATTTTCGGAAACTCCCATCTATCTTGGGTTTAAAGTTTAGGATAGGCTTTTTATGGAATAGCTCAGGGTTTGGGGTTGGGTTTAGCTAAGGTTTCGGGGTTTAAGGGTTTAGAGCTTAGGGTTTAGGGTTTAGGATAGGCTTTTTATGAAAGTTGTTTGGGGTCTAGGTCCGGAGTTTGGAGCGAACTCGTGGCAAATGCAGCACGAGCTTTGAGCCTTAGCCGAAGGCCTAAACCCTAAACCCGAAACCCTGTACGGCGCAAGCCCTAAATTCGAAGCTTAGAGCATCAAGATAAACCTTGAGCCCTGTCAACCTCTAACTGAAACTTTGAACTTCTAAACCTTACAAACCGTATAGAACCGTGAAAGATTCCGCATAAGACACAATAAAGCCCCGAACCCTAAACCCCAAACCCTAAACCCTAAGATTAAGACCTCAGCCCCAAACCCGAATCTCAGCTCTCAGCTCCAAGAGTAGAAGCCCCACCTGGTGGAAACAAAGGTGGAAACCCAATGTATACGGTTGATGATATAAATCCCTAGGGTTCCTTTAAAGGGATCTATAGGGGTACCTTTAAGGGCTTCCTTTAAGGGATCTATAGGGCTTTAGGGTTTAGGGTTGATGATATAAATCCTGCATTACCTTAGGAACCCTAGACTATGGGAACTATGGTATATTCCGTATTATTGGTAATGCAGGATTTATTTCATCAGCCGAATGAAATCCCAGCGCTATTTGCTTTAATCCGGTTTACTGTAAGAGTCTATCGCTGACAGGACCTCCAGCAGACGAAGATTTCTTTGACTCAGGCAGGTGGGCTTCCGGGTCGTGTCGACGTAAGCTTGAGATTGGGTTTAGGGTTTCAGGGTTTGGGGAGGTTCTAAAGGGTCGGATGCTGACCCGTTTTACTGACGTTTTCAGCTTCTGAAATGATGGGTCGAGTACTATAGGGGTCGGACTCTTTATTGCTTAATCAGTAATGTAGACCCCTGACCAGAGTGATTATTCAGGGGTCTACATGGATACTATTCCCTTCTAGTCCTGTTAAATTTCTATCATAATGTACTAGCAAAACCTATTCTGATTATCAAGACCCCTATGTTATGTACAGCGGGAGGGTTATGATGTGCATTTTGGGGTGACTTCAGTGGCCCACTTCACGTCACATGGGTCCCAGATGTTTGTTTGCGATGTTTTGCTTAGATGGTGCAGCTCACCCTAAACCCCAAGGTTTTTGTGACTTCTGGTTTGATTCAGGCGGGGATGATCCGAGAGCATTCGGCTGACAGTGAATCCTAAAGATCTCAGGGGCTTGGTGGGTAACGTGGAACCTTTTTGGGTACATATAACCCTTCCCCTAAGCCCTACTTGGAGGGTCGGGGGACTTAGTAAGTAGGTAGTAAGTAGACTTATAAGTACCCTAAAAGGGGCCCTAATTGGGGTTATGGTACTAGTAAGTCCCTAAAATAACCAGTTACTAAGTCCTCCGACCCTCCAAGTAAAGAATGTAAACCCGAAGCCCTTGCTTGGTCAGGGCCAGGGTTTAGGGTTTAGGGTACTCAGAGGGGTCTTTATAGGCGCGGCTCGGCTCATGGAGTGAACCCTGAACCCAACTTGGAGGCTCATGGGTAGTGTCAAGTGGGGTTACACGTCCTCGAATATGGGTTATAGGTATAGTTACCCTACTTATAACCCGACTTAACCCTAAAACCTGAACCCCTAAACCCTAAACCCCCAAACCCTAAACCCTAACCCCCAAACCCTAAAGCCCAAGCAAGGACCAGAAATCCCTGAGCGACGTGACCATGGACTGCAAGCAGGAGGTCGCTGACTACCAGGAGGAGTGTTGGGGTTCCACAAGGCTTCTACAAAGGTTTAGGGTTCAGGGTTTTTTCGTTGAGGGTTTAGGGTCCCGCAGGGGTTGCTAGAAGGTTTTTTTGCAAGGGTTCGGCAAGGGCGTTACTGGGTTCAGGGTTTGGGATCTGGGGTTTGGGCTCCAGCTAATTCGGGCACTTGCAAGCTAGCCAACGTGGGAGTTTTCCGCATTCTTGGTGAAGGATTAGGGGTGTAGGGTCTGTGGTGGAGGCTTTGGAGTTTGGGTGTGGGCATCAAGGGAAGGGTTTTGCTTCAGATTGGTGCTGGCACCTGGCCCTGTTTGGCTTGGCGGTTCGGATTCCCAAGTTTAGCCGACCACGACAATACAAGGCATTGGCCCCTAAACCCTAAACCCTAAACCCTAAAGCCTAAACCCTACAACCCTACAACCCTACAACCCTACAGCCCTAACCCTAGAGCCCCACAAGCCTTACATATAACCCTAAGCCGGCAAATATCCCGACGAACCTTAAAACTCTTACTACATAACCCTAGTACATAACCCTGGAAGCCCTAAACCCCTATTCCCTATAAACTCCATAAGCTCTATATGCCCTCTAAACCCTATAACGTAACCCTGCGACCCTATAGCCCTTAACCCTACAACCCTATAGCCCTATAAATCCTATAAGCCCTATGAACCCTAAGCCTATAGTCCCTGTAACCCTATAGCCCTACAACATATTTCTAGAAACCTTAAAACCCTACTACATAACCCCCTACATAAACCTAAGAACGCTAAGCCCTAAGCCCTAAACCCTAAACCGGAACCCCTACAGCAAGCCCTAAGCCCAAGACCCGATGCCTCCACGAGGAGACCAAGAGCCGTGGGCTCGAGACCGAGGCTTTGACGGCGGCCAAGGCTTCGGTTTGGGCGGTTTGGGGTTTAGGGATTAGGGTTTAGGGTTTAGGGATTAGGGTTTAGGGTTTAGGGCTTAAAGGATCATGGGACTTAGTAACTGGGGTTATAATTAGGGTAACTGTACTTATAACCCCAATTAAGGTACTTATAACCTTACTTACTAAGTCCTATGATCCTCCAAGCAGGGTTCTTTGGGGGCCTAGTCGTTTAGGGGATTCCCTAAACCATGAGCTCTAAACCCAAGGGTAGTGTTGAGGTGTTCTCGATCAGCTCGTATCTTTATTGGGGTGCAGACGCCGAGCCTCCGCAAGCCTACGCGCTAAACGCTTAACCCCCAAGGCCTTAAAGGCACTAAACCCTGAAACCTTTATAAGAACCCTTATAACAACCGTTGTAGGTACCCTTACAGGGACAGGCACTAAACCCTCAAAGCCTTACAGGCGCCAGTATAGGAACCTTTGTAGGTATCCTTAACTAGGACCCAGAGTAGGGACCCTATGAGTACAAAAGCAAAACAGCACAGGAACTCACTTAGATTGGACCCCATGGAGCTACCAAAACCTACTGTTTTTGTAGGGTCTTTTTTAGGGTTTAGGGTATAGGTTTAAGGTTTAGGGTCTAGGGTTTAGGATTTAAGGTCGAGGGTTTAGGGTTTATGAGACGAACCTACCAAAAAAGCTAGATTATGGTAGCTTAAGATAGATCTATCTATACGTCCTGCACCCAGCTAACCCTAAGCCCCTAAACACCCTGAAAGCTCAAAGCACTGAAACCCGAAAATCCTAGAACCAGAAACCCCAAAGCCCTAACCTCAAGGTGGCTCGCGACTTGGAGTTTACGGGGGATAGGGTTTTCAACAAGGGAAGTCCTGCATGGGGGTGCGGAGGATGTCCGGCTCACGTTGCAAAGGTCTTCTGGGTCTTCGGTCTTGCTTGGGCCCTGCGGGAAATCAGAGTTTCTGGCTTTGGAGTACCGTACTTTAACACTTTTTTCTTAATAAAGGAACCCTTATGAAATAAAAGTTTATACTTTTTTCTCCCTGGTTACTTAAAAGCCCAGGTTTAGGAGTTCAAGGTGTGAGGGAGTTTGCAGGTTTACCTATAGTCTCCATTGCAGTTCCTGTTTTTTGGTTAACCAAGAACTCTATTATAGGATCCTAACCATAAAACTGGTTAACCAAAAAAAGGAACTACAATGGAGACTATAGGTAAGTAGGGGTTTAGGGGTCTTGTGGAGTTTAGGAGTCCCAGGGCCTACAGGGCAGGCACTCTTCATGTTGCCACCCGGCCACAGATGCCGAAGCCACTGTAGGGGCCTTCACAATTACCACTACTCGTTTGGGGGTTCCTTAATATACCCCCCCAAACCCAGTTCTAATTATTAAGGCCCCTATATCACAGTACCCTTATAGATCCCTTATAGCAGCCCTTCATAGACCCCTTCAAAGGAGCCCTTCTCTAACTAGTCAGGCCCTCAAATTCAACCCCGGAGGCGGCGCTGATGGAATCTTCCGGCCTTTCTTTCCTGCAGCTGGGTTCGAAGTCCACTATCAAGAGCAGCCAGGCCGGGTGGAGGGTGGTCATAGGAAGCCCAAAGTAGCCTTGGCAAATGGGGATCGGGTGCCATACTTTGGACCACATTCTGGAATCCCAAGCCCAGCCCTCAAACACCAGCTTTTGGGTTTCGGGAGAGAAGGTGTCTGAATTTAACCCCATTCCTCCATTCCCTACTAACCAAAGGTAAGTTACAGGATTATTCAGGCCCCTTTTTTTATAGTACCCTTATAGATCCCTTATAGTAACCCTTATAGAAAATCCGGGAACAGGTTCTCTTTGAGGAGGATGCTCGCGAGTTGGATCATCCCTGGATAGAAGTCCTAAGCTCCTGCCGGTCTCTCCTCCTTCGGTGTTGGATTTAAGCCCTAATCAGTAAACTAAACCCCACACCCAAACCTCTCTCTCTCTCTGCCTGTCTCTCTCTGCCTGTCTCTCTCTGTCTGTCTCTCTCTGCCTGTCTCTCTCTGCCTGTCTGTCTCTGCCTGTCTCTCTCTGCCTGTCTCTCTCTGCCTGTCTCTCTCTGCCTGTCTCTCTCTGGTTGTCTCTCTCTCTGCCTGTCTCTCTCTGTCTGTCTCTCTCTGCCTGTCTCTCTCTGCCTGTCTCTCTCTGCCTGTCTCTCTCTGCCTGTCTCTCTCTGCCTGTCTCTCACTGCCTGTCTCTCTCTGCCTGTCTCTCTCTGCCTGTCTCTCTCTGCCTGTCTCTCTCTGTCTGTCTCTCTCTGCCTGGCTCTCTCTGCCTGTCTCTCTCTGTCTGTCTCTCTCTGCTGTCGCTCTCTGTCTGGTCCTCTGCTATCTCGCCTGTCTCTCTCTGCTGTTCTCTCGCTGTCGTCGACTATGCCGTCTCTATTGCCTGTCTCTCTCTGCTGTCTCTCTCTGAAGGTTCTCTCACTGCCTGTATCTCTCTGCCTGTCTCTCTCTGTCTGTCTCTCTCGTGCCTGTCTCTCTCTGTCGCTCTCCCTCCTGTCTCTCCTGTCTGTCTCTCTCTGCCTGTCTTCTTCCAGTATCTCTCTGTCTGTCTCTCTGTGCCCGTATCTCTCTGCCTGTCTCTCTCTGCCTGTCTCTCTCTGTCTGTCTCTGTCTCTCTCTGCCTGTCTCTCTCTGCCTGTCTCTCTCTGTCTGTCTCTCTCTGCCTGTCTCTCTCTGCCTGTCTCTCTCTGCCTGTCTCTCTCTGCCTGTCTCTCTCTGCCTGTCTCTCTCTGCCTGTCTCTCTCTGTCTGTCTCTCTCTGCCTGTCTCTCTCTGTCTGTCTCTCTCTGCCTGTCTCTCTCTGCCTGTCTCTCTCTGTCTGTCTCTCTCTGCCTGTCTCTCTCTGTCTGTCTCTCTCTCCTGTCTCTCTCTGTCTGTCTCTCTCTGCCTGTCTCTCTCTGCCCGTCTCTCTCTGTCTGTCTCTCTCTGCCCGTCTCTCTCTGCCTGTCTCTCTCTGCCTGTCTCTCTCTGCCTGTCTCTCTCCGCCTGTCTCTCTCTGTCTGTCTCTCTCTGCCTGTCTCTCTCTGTCTGTCTCTCTCTGTCTGTCTCTCTCTGCCTGTCTCTCTCTGTCTGTCTCTCTCTGTCTCTCTCTCTCTCTGTCTCTCTCTCTCTGCCTGTCTCTCTCTTGTCTGGCTCTCTCTGCTTGTCTCTCTCTGCATGTCTCTCTCTGCTGTCTCTCTCTGCTGTCTCTCTTGCCGGTGATCATCTCTGCCTGTCTCTCTTGCCTGTCTCTCTCTGACGTCCTATCTGTCGTTCTATATGCCGTCTCGCTCTGTCTGTCTCTCTCGGACTGTTCTCTCTGCCTGTCTCGCTCTGTTGCTCTCTCTTGCCTGTCTCCTCATCTGCCTGTCTACTCTCTATGCTGTCTCTCTCTGCCTGTCTCTCTTGCATGCCTCTCTGCCTGTCTCTCTCTGCCCTGGCTCGCTCTGGCCTGTCTTCTCTGCCTGTATCCTTGCCCAAGTCTCTCTATGCATGTCTCTCTTCTGCGGATCTCGCTCCTCTCTCTGTCTGTCTCTCTCCTGTCTCTCTTGTGTATCTCTCTGCGGGCTCTCTCTCTTGTCTGGTCTCTCTCTGCCTGTCTTAGCTCTCTGCCTGTCTCTCTCTCTGCCTGGTCTCTCCTATGGCCTGTCTCTCTCTATCTCTCTCTGCTGTCTCTCTATGCCTGTCTCTCTCTGCCTGCTCTCTCTGTCTGCTCTTCTGTCTGTCTCTCTCGCGGTCTATCTCTGCCCGTCTCTCTCTGCCTGGTCTCTCTCTGTCTGTCTCTCTCTGCCTGTCTCTCTCTGGCATGTATATCTCTGCCTGTCTCTTCTGCCTGTTCTCTCTCGTCTGTTCTCTATCTGCGGTTTCTCTCGTCTGTCTCTCTCTGCCTGTCTCTCTCTGGGCTGTCTCTCTCTGTCTGTCTCTCTTATGCCTGCTTCTATGCCGTCTCTCTTGCTGTCTCTCTCTGCCTGGTCTCTTCTTGCCTGTCTCTCTCTGGTCTGTCTCCGGTGTTGTCTTCTCTGACTGTCTATCTCTGCATGGCTCTCTCTGCTTATCTCTCTGTCTGTCTCTCTCTGCCTGCTCTCTCTGCATGTCTCTCTCTGCAGTCTCTCTCTGCCGTCTTCTCTGCCTGTCTCTCTGTCTGTCTCTCGGCTGCCTGTCTCTCTATTGTATGTCTTCTCTATGCTGTCTCTCTCTGCCGGCTCTCTCTGGTGGCTCTCTCTGCCTGTCTCTCTCTGCCTGTCTCTCTTCTGCATGTCTCTCTCTTGCCTGTCTATCTCTGCCTGTATCTCGTGTCTCCTCTCCTCTGGTCTGTCTCTTATCTGTCGGTCTCTCTCTGGTCTGTCGCTCTCTGGTCTGTCTCTCTCTGTCTCTCTCTATCTCTGTCTCTCTCTCTTCTGCCTGTCTCTCTTGTCGTCTCTCTCTGCATGTCTCTCTCGCCTGTCTCTACCTCTGTCTGTGCTCTCCTCTGCCGTCTCTGTATGCTGTCTTGTCTGTCTGTATCTATGTCTCTCTGTCTCGCTGTCTCTCTGTCCTCTCTGTCTCTCTGTCTCTCTTGTCTCATATGTCTCTCTGTCTCTCTGTATCCTCTGTTTTCTCTGTTCTCTTGGCTCTCTGTCTCCTGTCTCTCTGTCTCTCTGTCTTCTCTGTCTCTCTCTGGCTCTCTCTCTCTCTCTCTCTGTCTCTCTACGTCTCTCTCTGTCTCTCTCTGTCTCTCTCGTCTCTCTTCTGTCTCTCTCCTGCTCTACTTTTTCCTGTCTCTCTCTCTCTCTCCCTCCTCTCTGTACGTCTCTCTCTCTCCTATGTCTGTCTCTCTCTCTCCTCTTCTTCTCCTTCTATCTCTCTCTTCTCTGTGGTAGATACAGGAGATTGGTTACAGTAGTTAAAAAGAATTAGATAGACAGGTAGAGTCTGTTACCGATAGAAAGAAGGTTAGACAGAAAGGCATAGCACAGATAGAGACAAACAGAAACAGATGGAATAGATAGATCGAACACGGGACCCTGCGTGTAGCGTAGGGTTTGTGCACCGTGGTCGTGAGCATGTTAAGACTGCTGCAAGCAGGCAGCAATCCAAGCTGGGTGATTCACAGCTCTAGCAATTTTGTGTTTTGGCCGTAATTGGGAGGGGTCGGGGGGACTAGTAAATGGTTATTTTTAGGGACGTATAAAGTACCATAACCCAATTGGGTTCCCTTTTAGGGCACTTATAAGTCATTACTGACTTACTTACGTCCCCCAGACCCTCAGTAGGTTTGCTTTGACTAGTTCAACGAGCAGCTGCAGGACCTCAAGCACTTTGAGGTGGTCCGCATGGTGCGTACGCTAGGCCGATAGGCATTGAACCAAAAAGCTTTGGAGATGTGGAAACCCCTGCTTGGGCGGTTCAGGGGAGTTGTAAGAGGGATTAGAATCAGAAGTCTCTAATACGAGTCATAAGCATAACTACCCTACTTATATAACCCTACTTATAACTACCCATGAACCTCCAAGTAAGCCCCGCAAATCCCCTTCTCACTCCCGAAACCCTAACCTGTACACTCCAAATCCTTATCTCTCCCACAAAGATCCGTCAGTTATTTAGGACCCTCTACAACCGAGCTTTTTTTTTCGGAGGTGCGGGAAGCTTGCAGATTCGCCATGTCTCGCCAACCTTCAAAGTTCGCTCAAGAGTTGGATAGTGAATGGGGGAACTTCAAACTCTTTGGCCTTATATATTAGCTCTATCTTAGAAAGTTTGAACTTTTTGTGGCCCGGTTGTTGAAGAAGAGGGAAGAGTTTAGGAGTGTAAGGGTTTAGGGTTAAAGTTTTATGCAATCGGTCGCGCGGACGGTCACGAAGCGAAACACTCAGCGACTAAATGGATGCTTAAGAACAAACTTAAGGGTTTAGAGTCTAGGATGTAGAGGGGTTGGAGTTTGCTGGGTTTCAGGACCGTGGTGTGCCGAGGTTTAGGTGTTGAGGGCTTCGGAACTTAGTGATTCCCAGGTTTAGGGTTTAGGGTTTCGCAAAGGAGGGTGTAGGGTTTGGGGTCAGCATCAGTATGAACATTGCGACCACTTGTTATTGTCGTTACTTTAATTTTCATTGTGTGCATCGTTCTTACTACTGTTGTTACAGTACCTGATTATTCAGTTTGTTATTATTGTTGTTTCGTTATTGTTATTGTTGTTCTTATGGTCTTCGTTTCTTATTTTCTTATTATTCTTATTATTCTTGATGTTTTCATTGTTCTTATTACTCTTATCATTCATATATTCTGGGCGTCAGCAGTATTAGTATGGTTATGGTTGTTATTATTACTACTGCTACTACTACTACGACGACAACGACGACTACGACTACTGCTACTGCTACTGCTACTGCTACTGCTGCTACTGCTACTGCTACTGCTACTGCTGCTACTGCTACTGCTACTGCTACTGCTACTGCTACTGCTACTGCCACTGCTACTGCTACTGCTACTGCTACTGCTACTGCTACTGCTACCACCACTCTTGTGATGTCATGGAGTCTCTGGGGCTGAAGTGCTCGGGTTTTTTGGGGTTTCGAGGTTTAGGTTTCAGGATTGAGATTTCGGGCTTCTTGTTTCGGGTTTCGGTCTTCTTGTTTCGGGTTTCGGTCTTCTTGTTTTGGGTTTGGGGTTTCTTGTTTCGGATTTAGGGTTTAGGTTGTCGGGTTTAAGGTGAAGGATTTCGGGTTCGGGGTGTAGGGTTTAGGGTTTGGGCTCCAGGGTTTCGGGTGATTTCGGGTTTAGGGTTTAGGATTTGGGGGTTGGGCTTTACACTGTAGGGATTGGCTTCAGAAGATGTCGGTTTGATATACGAGTACAGGAGCGCGATGTTAGATAGTAAAGCCCTTGGAATCCGTGGCGTTATAAGTAAAGATAGCCAGTATGCTCCTATCCCTAAAATTATAACTAGATTGCAATATGTCCCGAGAGCCTTATTCTAAACATTAAGCTCCTATAGTGGGTCCCTCTGAAAGTTCAGCTTCGCTGAAGGTCAGCAGTTGAAGGACCATCAGCTTGTCCTGCTCTCCCGCCGGATGGCCTCTTGGTCGGCATGTCAAAGCCCTACCTGGACCCCGGAAAACCGACATGTTAGGGACGTATACAAGAAAACCGTAAGAAGGAACCTTTTGAGGGGGGTTGAGGTACACCCTAAGCCGTCATCCGCACCGCTCTCGTTGGCATCCCGAAGCAGCAGCAAAAGCGGCGGCAGCAGCAGCAGCAGCAGCGCTGCAGCCACGACCCTCAGCACCCTCAGCACCCTCACCATCATCACCACCATCACCATGACTGTCCTCCTCCTCCTCCTCCTTACTATGGTCGTCATCATCATCACCATCATCATCAAGTTCGTCATCGTCATCGTCGTTGTCGTCCTCCTCCTCCTCTTCCCCATCATAATCTTCATCATCATCTTCATCATCATGAGCATCTTCACCATCATCGTCGTCATCATCGTCATCACAGTCAGCGTCACGTCTGCATCATTACCATCATCGTCATCGCCATCGTCGTCGCCATCGCCATCATCAGCGCCATCGCCATCACCAGCCGCACCATGAATGCCTTCGGTCTCGTGCCTAGCATTGTTGTTTTGACATATTGCAAGTTATAATCGGGATATTTCCAAACTCCGACTGCTTCTTGCCAGGTATCCTAGGCCCCCAAACCCTCAACCCAACTCCCACCTCAGGATGGCATGCTGCGATCCGAGTCGGGAGCAGATGTCTTTGGCAAGATCAAGAGCCGCGCTCAGCTGTGATCGGATGAAGCGTGATTCTGTTAAACCTTCAAACCATTTCAGAACCCTACAAACTTCGTCCAAACATCCCTGTATGCGCTCGTGAAAGATATCGACAAGCACGTGGGAGATGTGGCACTAAACCCCAAGCCCTAAACCCCAAACCCCAAACTCCTCTCGCCTCAGTCTACATGGTGGGGCGAGGACCCCTCTAGAAGCTCTACCAGCAGTTGTTCCAGGGTGAAAACCCCAGGGACTCCAATATTCCTTAACTAAGGAACATACCTTAAATCACATGAGGGATCCTTAATTACGGGATATTGGAGTCTCTGGGTGAAAGCCCACCAGTGGTCGTGCTGTGCGAACCAGATTGCCGGTGTCACGAATACGTCTGGGCGAGTGCCGAAGACTTCCAGCGAAACAGCAGCATCTCCCGCTACAAGGGGCCTACCTGGAGGTTCATGGGTAGTTAAAAGTGGGGTTATAGGTTCCCGAATATGGGCCATGAGTTTAGTTGCCCTACTTACAACCCTACTTATCACTACTCTCTACCCATGAACCTCCAAGTATCTCTAAACCCTAAACCCTACACCCTAAAACCCTAAACACTAAAACCCTCAACCCTAAACCCTAATCCCGTGAGCCCTAAACTTCCCAGTGATAGGATGTGACTTTCGCAGTCATATACTGGAAACCCGTGAAGCACAATACGACTAGAAGACGGCTTGGTTTACGTTTATGTCACAATATAAGGGGTCATCAATAGGATTTGTAGCTATTCAGTCCTCTACAGCAACATTAAGCTGGGTGTTCCGTTACGAATCACCTCTTTTCGTGGTTCTGAGAAAAGCCCAGGGGCTGTGAACCACAGTTTTTGATGTGCGAAAGGGTCTCCGCCCTGAGCCCTAAACTTCTGACTTCTGCTTCTGAGCCGTTTAAGATTCTAGAGATCCCTTTTTCGCGCAATATAGGAGCATTAATCATTAGAATGGACATAGAAATTTTTCTACATTTGTAGTGAGGAACTGCTATTCCCTAGGATACCTTGTTGAATCTATGGTGCAATGCACCCCCAAACCCTATTCTGATTATTCAGGCGGCACTATTAAGTAGGGTGCAGGGTTTGTGGATGTTTGACTCCGAAGCTCAGATCTGTTTCCGAGCGAGGACCATGATCTCGGACATGATCACCACCATGCAGGCCTGAGCTATGGCGAGATGAGAGTTTATCAAAGGGAAAAAGGAGGGACCCTCAATAAGGACCCCTAGGTATATACCCTTAATATAGCTATTAAAAACCCACTATATAGCCCATTATAGGGTAGGGGTCCCCATTAAGGGTCCCTCCTTTCCCCTTTGAGTTTAGGGTTTTGTTGGTTTCCCATGTTGAGGGCCGGAGGGCTCCATACAGGCTAAAGTGGCCTTGGAGGTTCATGGGTAGTTATAACTGGGGTTATAAGTCTCCTAATATGAGTTACAAGTATAGTTACCCTACTTGTAACCCTACATATATCTACCCATGAACCTCCAAGTAGAAGGTTCAGGTTTGGCATGTTTGACTCTTTTTTTTTTTTTTGTGTGTGTGTGTGTGTGTGTGTCTGGAGGTGTTGCGGTTCAGGCATTTAGTGTTCAGGGATAATTGCTTCCCACCGGAAGCAAGTTTGCAGAACGTGAGGAGGCGAAGAAGGGGTTGAGGTTTTAGGATTTGACAACCTGGCTTGCTACCTGGTCCGTTACCCTGGTACCCCCTAAAAAAAGGGCCATAGGCCGTATGCCGTAAACCCTAACGCCTGGACCCTGGTTTTGAGTTGCACCCAGACGGCAAAAAGAATGTCTCGGCCCGGAAGGAGATCATAGGAGGCCAAAAGGGGGTTTAGCCTATGGGAGTTTCGTAGGGATTAGGGTCCCCCCCACAAGAGAGTTCACATTAAGGAATCCCTACCCCAAGAATCTTAAACCCTATAGATCCCTTATAGGAGCCCTTAAAGGATCCCTTAAAGGAACCCTAAGGAATCCCTACCCCAAGAATCTTAAACCCCCCTTTTTTGGCCTCCCATCAGGAGAACCTTCAGGCGGAGGCCACCAAGAAGGCGCTGCGGGATTACAGGGCCTCACGGGTTGCTAGCTTTGCGGTTTACGGTTTAGGGTTCAGGGTTTAAAGTTTAGGGTTTGGGGTTCAGGGTTTAAAGTTTAGGGTTTGGGGTTCAGGGTTTGAAGTTTAGGGTTTGGGGTTCAGGGTTTGAAGTTTAGGGTTTAGGGTTCAGGGCTTAAAGTTTAGGGTTTGGGGTTCTTAAAGTTTAGGGTTTGGGGTTCAGGGTTTAAAGTTTAGGGTTTGGGGTTCAGGGTTTAAAGTTTAGGGTTTGGGGTTCAGGGTTTAAAGTTTAGGGTTTGGGGTTCAGGGTTTAAAGTTTAGGGTTTGGGGTTCAGGGTTTGAAGTTTAGGGTTTGGGGTTCAGGGTTTGAAGTTTAGGGTTTAGGGTTCAGGGCTTAAAGTTTAGGGTTTGGGGTTCAGGGCTTAAAGTTTAGGGTTTGGGGTTCAGGGTTTAAAGTTTAGGGTTTGGGGTTCAGGGTTTAAAGTTTAGGGTTTGGGGTTCAGGGTTTAAAGTTTAGGGTTTGGGGTTCAGGGTTTAAAGTTTAGGGTTTGGGGTTCAGGGTTTGAAGTTTAGGGTTTGGGGTTCAGGGTTTAAAGTTTAGTGTTTGGGGTTCAGGGCTTAAAGTTTAGGGTTCAGGGTTCAGGGCTTAAAGTTTAGGGTTTGGGGTTCAGGGTTTAAAGTTTAGGGTTTGGGGTTCAGGGCTTGAAGTTTAGGGTTTGGGGTTCAGGGTTTAAAGTTTAGGGTTTGGGGTTCAGGGTTTAAAGTTTAGGGTTTGGGGTTCAGGGTTTAAAGTTTAGGGTTTGGGGTTCAGGGTTTAAAGTTTAGGGTTTAGGGTTCAGGGTTTAAAGTTTAGGGTTTGGGGTTCAGGGTTTAAAGTTTAGGGTTCAGGGTTCAGGGCTTAAAGTTTAGGGTTTGGGGTTCAGGGTTTAAAGTTTAGGGTTTGGGGTTCAGGGCTTGAAGTTTAGGGTTTGGGGTTCAGGGTTTAAAGTTTAGGGTTTGGGGTTCAGGGTTTAAAGTTTAGGGTTTGGGATTCAGGGTTTAAAGTTTAGGGTTTGGGGTTCAGGGTTTAAAGTTTAGGGTTTGGGGTTCAGGGTTTGAAGTTTAGGGTTTGGGGTTCAGGGTTTAAAGTTTAGTGTTTGGGGTTCAGGGCTTAAAGTTTAGGGTTCAGGGTTCAGGGCTTAAAGTTTAGGGTTTGGGGTTCAGGGTTTAAAGTTTAGGGTTTGGGGTTCAGGGTTTAAAGTTTAGGGTTTGGGGTTCAGGGTTTAAAGTTTAGGGTTTGGGGTTCAGGGTTTAAAGTTTAGGGTTTGGGGTTCAGGGTTCGAAATTTAGGGTTTAGGGTTCAGGGTTTAAGGTTTAGGGTTCAGGGGTCAGTCGATGCTCAGTTGCTTCTGCCCCCGCGGGAAGTAATCACTGCCCTGACCTCGTGTCCAAGATTACGACCCCATTCGCGACCCAAAGCGACTCCCCCGAAACCCTAAACCCTAAAACCGAAATGTGAATTTATTGCGTGCTTGATCCTCAGCGTCACTGACAGTAAAGACGACGGGCTGAATCCAAATTCTGTGTGTCTACCAGACGGAAGGGGTTGGAGGATGGTTCTTTTTACAACTATACCGGAGCCGAACTCAATAGCATCAACGCCTTAATAGTGACACGAACAGAGCGGATACACTTCAAACGAACCCTTCAACCACAAATCTGTTCTAATTCTGAAGGCCTCTCTAGTAGGTGTGGGGGCCCGCAGCCGAGGATGTCTGTCCCTCAACCAAAAACCTCAAAGCAAAAGCACTGAAGCCCAAACACACTCCTAACGGTTTAGAGTTTAGGGTTTAGGGTTTAAGGTTTGGGGACCCCCAACCCCTAAACCCTTAACCCCAAAGCCCACACCCTAAAGCCCGAAGCCTAAAGACCCTAGAAACCCTAAACCCCTAAACCCAAAAGCCTAAAGCCCTGAACCCCAAACGCCAAAACTCCTAAAGCCGGAAACCCCTAAACCCCTAAACCCTAAACCCTAAGCCCTAAACCCTAAACCCCTAAACTCTAAACCCCAAAACTCCTAACCCCTAAACCCTAAAACTCCTAACCGCTCAACCCTAAACCCCAAAACTCCTAACCCCTAAACCCTAAACCCTAAACCGTGGCCCTCAAGGCCAAACCCAAAAGCCCTAAACCCTCAAAAACCCTTAGCCTGGCTGAGGCATATTGCGACAAGGAGATGGGCGAAGCTGCGGACAAGAAGGCAGCCAAGGCCCTTTGAAGCGCGACAGCAGGGTTTAGGGTTTTAGGGGTTTTGTGGGTTTAGGGGTTTAGGTGTTAGGGGTTTGAGGTGTTAGGGGTTTGGGGTTTGGGGATCTTATTGCTTTGGGTTTAGGGGTTGAGGGTTTAGGGTCTGAGGGTTTTGTTGGTTTAGGGTTTTGGGTTTTAGGGTTGAGGGTTTGACGTAGTCAAGAAGGTCGGGATGTAGAGGATTCTTGCAAACCTCAGCGTTTTGAGGCCTTTGGGGTTTAGGGTTTGGGGTGTTGGGTTTATGCCCAAAAGTAGGTTTCGTCGGGTCTACAGAGTCTGCAAACTTCCCTTAAGTCTAGGGCATGCTGAGCCTGAGAGCCGCCGTAGATTGCTGAAGCTTGGGAGCTTCTTTCCCCCTTTGGGATTTAGGGTTTAGGGTTCAGGGTTTGGGGTTTAGGGTTTAGGGTTTCCACTTATTCCTGATGCCCTTTGGATTCGGATTTAGAGTTTGTATCGGTGCTTGTCGTCCTTTGTTCTGCAGGAATGATGCATACAGCGCCAGGCTCAACAGCGAAAACACTTGGTGTCCTGTCTTCACAGCTGCTCGTGTGGCCAAGCCCTAAAGCCGTCAACCCTCAACCCCCAAACCCGTAAACCCTCAACCCCCGTACCCTTATAGAATCGTTATAGAGCCGGTATGGAGCCCTTACAGAACCCTTAAATTAGGGGACAAAAAAGCACATAAGCATTAGCATTTTATAGGGATATCCCTACCATAATGGGCTTCCTTATAAGGGGGTTTATATGGGATATCCCTATCCTAATTTTTGCTTATGTGCTTTTTTGGGGCTCTATTAAAGGGCTCCATAGCCCGACCACAGGAGGACGACCTCGATGACGTGAGCACCAAGATCGACGGCACCGCATCGAAGTCTGCATCCTTGAAGAAGCAGGCCGATGCTTTTTTCGAGGGGGTTTAGGGTTTCGGGTCTATACAAATTGTTTAGGGTTCAGGTCCGGAGTTTTGACCGGGTTTTGTGCGGGTTTTGACCGAGTTTTGTGTTTTGCTTTGCCTACATATTTGCCTAAACAATTTGTATTTATCCTGGGCTTGAGGGTTTAGGGTTTAGGGTTTAGGATTTTTGGGCTTAGGGTTTCGGGTTTAGGGTTTAGGGTTTCGGGTTTCGGGTTTAGGGTTTCGGGTTTGCGGCTTAGGGTTTAGCGGTTCATGAAATTAGGCTGGATTCGGTTAGGTTACGGTCGGTTGGGTTGGGGCGCTCCAATATCCCTTAATTAAGGAATATACCCTAAATTATATTAGGGATCCCACTATAATTTAAGGTATATTCCTTAATTAAGGGATATCTGAACCCCATAAACCCTAAACCCTATAGATCCCTTAAAGATCCCTTAAAGGAGCCCTAGGTCCCTAGGCATTCCTGAATTAAGGGATATTGGAGTCTCCGGGGAGGCTGGGTTCGGTAAGGTTATAGGCTAGGTTGCGTTGGGGTTTCGTCGGCTTGGGGTCGCAGTTGCCCCAACCAAACCCCGACATAACCTAACCCGAGCGGGTTGGGGCGTTAGGGCATTTTGCAGATTTTAGGGGGTTCAGGGACCCTGAACCCGAAACCCTAAACCCTAAACCCTGAATCCTGAACCCTAAACCCTCAACCCTAAACCCTAAACCCGAAACTGTTCTGATGGGAGGTGGTGGCCATCAAGAAAGAGTTGACCACGCTGGCTGAGACCCAGGCACAGGGCCTTGGGTTCAAAGAGTCGCGTAGTTTGTTGCCAGCACCCTATTCCAATTCTTAAAGTCCTTTTATAAGTATGCTGGAGCTTAGAGAAGGGTCCTTGTTTGTGTGATGGGTCATAGACGCGATATAAGGGCCTACATAGCCCTGGGCGGACCCTAAGCCCTAAACCCTGGCACCCTAGGCCCTAATAGCCTTGAGCTGACCCGCCAGTTCGGCGCAGGCGAACATGACAGCACTGCGCCAGGAGGACATGCCGACGGATTTTGCAGTCTTACGCTTGCGGCTGAGGGTTTAGGGACTAGAAGGCAGCACCGTTGTGACTCTGATAGAAGTCCTGGATTCAGGGTTTCGGCTTCGGGAATATTGTATCCCTGTAGTGCCCTTTCTTATACCCTGTGGTAACCGTATAGTACCCTCATAGTAGATTCCGAGTTTAGCGCGTTAACCTCAGCCGGAGCTCCTGCCGGTGATAATTTTTGATTGCACTTCTCATCCGGCCCCCCTGCAGCCTAGAGTGTTCGTGGTGCTTGGAGATGTAGAGTTTGTCGGAATGTAGAAGCCTGATTCCTATTGCAATTATATTTATTAAGGCCCCGATGATCACAGAATCCTAACATTATCCTGTATGCTACTCTAGATATAAAGGTGCCTAGGACCTAGAGTAGGCCCTTATTCCCTTTTTAAGGGTTCAGGTTCCCTTATTAAGCCCCTTTAAACCAAAAAGGGCACCCTTTTTTATTCCTAGGTTACTCTTGGGTCTAGGTGCCCTAGAACCCAATAACCCAGCAACCCTAGAACCGTAGAGTCCTAGCCCCAAAAACCCTATTCTACTTGTTAAGGCCCCTAAATTAAAGTACCCTTATAGATCCCTTAGAGTAGCCCACATAATGTTGCCGAGTCGACTTGGAGGTTCAGGGGTAGTTATAAGTAGGGCTATCAGTAGGATAACTATACTAATGGTTGATGATATAAATCCTGCGTTACCCATAATAAGGAATATATGGGAATTATATGGTATATTCCTTATAATGAGTCATGCAGGATTTCTATCATCAACAGTATAACCCATGTCAAGGGACTTATAACCCCACGTATAACTACCCATGAACCTCCAAGTAAGTCCTATATCCTATACCTTCATAGAATCCCTATAGATCCCTTTGAAAGGCACCCTTAAAGGAACCCTTATCGTAAGCCCTTCCAGGAGAAGGCCATCTTCAAGACGAAGGAGCCGGAGACCGTGACTGGAATGGAGGGCGTTAAGGCTGCCAAGGGGGCCGGAGGGGTTTAGGGTTTAGGGTTTAGGGCTTTAGGGTTTAGGGTTTAGGGCCTTACGGTTTAGGGTTTAGGGTTTAGGGTTTGGAGGGCGTTAAGGCTGCCAAGGGCCGGAGGGGATTGGAGGATGCTGTTGCTTCGCGATGTAGGGGCTTAAATAATTACCTATACTGTTTTGGTGCTTCCTTATTGTATTCATAGTGCATTAGGGGTTTAGGGCTTAGGGTTTAGGGTTGAGGGTTTGGGGATCGGAGGCCGCGGTTGCTTTGTAATATATCCAGAGGCCCCAAAGTAGTTCCTTTTTGGGGTTCATATATAGAATCCTACAAGGTTATCCCAAAAAGGAACTACTTTGGGGCCTTTTGGTAGTGGCTTAGATAATTACCTACGCGATTTTTGGTGGTTCCTTAGTATATTTATAGTATAGTGGGCCCCGAAGGCCTCTATTCTAATTATTAAGGCCCCAATATATTTTGGCACGTCCTTCGGACTTTCAGCCCGCCCGAAAGAAAGAAAGGCCCCGATACTAGAGTTTTGCGGGGTGCATGGCACCGGATCTGCGACGATTCTGCTGGGGTTACTCTGCGAGGCTAAGGCTCCTCCTTCAGTCTGCCTGTCATTCTCTCTCTCCCTCTCTCTCGTTTAGGGTTTAGGGTTTAGGGTTGAGGGTTGAGGGTTTAGGGTCTCTCTCTCTCTCTCTCTCTCTCTCAAAGTCCGCACTCTCTCTATCTATCTCTCATCCTCTTTCGTGCGTAGTCAGACGGACTCGCAGACGCAGACAGACATGCCGACGGACAGAAGGACAGATACAGATAGACACGGACAGACAGCCAACAGCAGGCACTGGCCATTGACCTAAAGACATGCACACAGACAAACATAAACAGTCAGAGAAAGCAGTTTAACACTGAGCTTGAGCTAGCGTCCGGCCAAGACGACTTTCGCCTCATCCTAACCCCAAAGCCCTACCCAAATCCAAAACGCCCGTCTTGGGCCAAAGCTTGCCCCCCTCGGATACACGGCCCCAGACCTAAATCCAAAGAACGGAGTCACACCCGGCATCTACAAGCGTAGATGAATAAACTATGTCGGGTTTCCGAAAACAAGGGACCCTAATGTAGTACCCTGAGTTGTAGGATCCTTACTATCAGGACACCCCAAATAAGGTACCCCTAATTTTCGGAAACTCCCATGTATGCATCGCGGAGACCCGAACACTAATGTCAGCCCTGCCTGGATGCTCAGTCGGCATTGAAGTCCCTGCGCGACTTCTACAAGAGCAGCGGCGTCAAGGAGCGGCCCTTGCAATGAGGGTTTAGAAGGGCCCAGTTTAAGTATAGAAGCTCGAATAATGAATCATACATTCCTTGCAGTTCCTCATCATTGTTAACATACTAGGTAAACCTCTGCCCTATTCTAATTGTTTATTCCTGAATCCCTACACCTAAACCAGTCCGGCATTGGGCTGCGGAGTTTTACGTTCTTGTCCTCGGGCTGATATTGCAGGGTAGGTCGCCGCAGCCCTAAGCTCTAAACCCTAAGCCCTAAACCGTAAGCCCTAAACCCTAAACCCTAAGCTCTAAACCCTAAGCCCTAAACCGTAAGCCCTAAACCCTAAACCCCGACCGTCAACATAGATCAAAAAAAAACCATAAACCCTAAGCTCTAAACCCGGAGCCCTAAATCCTAGGAGGACCCAATATCTGACTCCCCGGCACAGTTTCGCCTGTTTGGGCTTCTCAGACGTGGTTCATTCTAGTTAGGGCTTACTTAGGCGTTTAGGGTTGGGGTTTAGGATTCTTAGGCTTTCTGCATGCAGTTTTGTAGTGATGAGGATGTGCACAAGTCTTTGGGAGGGAGGTCTACAAACAGCTACATCCATCCGCTCCATCCGTCCATGCGTCCATGTATACCCACCTTCTCCGTCTCCATCTCCATCATCACAATCATCGGGCCCTCATAAAGTCCTTGAGTCGCCTTACAAGTCCTCTAATTTGAGGCAAAAGCAGGCCGCCTATCATATTGGGGACCCTACGATATCTTCAAGTATATTTTTTAAAATTTCTGAAGTGATATTGGAGTCGCCTAAACCCTAACTAAGCTCTATAGATCCCCTTTGTAGCCTCCGCCAGGTGACCAGCGGTGAGCGCAAGGGCGCCGCAGGAGGCGTCATCGGCCCCTCGGCTGACTTTGAGCACCATGGGAGCCTCAGGGTTCAGGGCCGTGTAGAGCTTAGGGCCGTTTAGGGTTTAGGGTTTAGGGCTTAGGGTTTAGGGTTTAGGGTTTAGGGTTTAGGGTTTAGGGTTTAGGGTTTAGGGTTTAGGGGGGGGTTTAGGGTTCAGGGCTCAGGATTTAGGGATTTGGGTCTAGTGTCTGTGGATCCGAAATTTTAAAAGGCATAAGCCTTAGAAATCGAGGACCCCAGGCATTATCGCACGGCACCATCGAAATCTCGGAACCGTCCTGTGCCGTGTACTTGAAGCTTCAAACCCTCCTCCTCCTAAACCCCAAACCCTAAACCCCTAAACCCCTAAACCCCTAAACCTCGAAACCGCTAAACCCCTAAACCCCTAAACCCTAAACCCCAACCACTAAACCCTTTCTGCCCCCAAAACTTGAGCCCATCTCCTCCCTCCAGCCCTAAACTGGGCTCTTGTTGAGGGTTTAGGGTTTAGGGTTAAGGGGTTTAGTTTGAATTACCACAGTAGGGATCTATAGTGGTTTCCTTATTATGGTAACTTAAATCATACTGGAATCTTGTTAAGGGATTTAGTTTAGATTACCACAATAGGGATCTATAGTAGATAGGAGCGTTTCCTTATTATGGTAACTTAAATCATCTCCCTTAACAAGAACCCAGGAAACCTGATCATACCACGGCCCTAGACCAATCTTGAAGCAGCCCTTTGGCACTCTTGTTAGAGCCCTCAGAAAAAGCTTTATGAATACCTTGTAAAGTCATTGCAAGACTAAACACACAGCCTAAGAAACACCCTGACAGCTTTGAGGACTATATATTCCTTAATTGAGGGATCTTGGAGTCTCTAGGCACCCTCCACACTCCAAACCCTAAACCCTCAACCCACTGGCCTTTCCACCCGAGATCTCTTAAGCAAAGGTCGCCTGGAAGATGTCGAGGCCGATATGGTCTGGGCCTGAGCAAAGTAGAGTTTCGTCGAGCTTTAGGGCTTAGGGGGTTTTAGGGTTTAGACTTTCGGGTTCGGGTGTCGAGTTTGAGGGTTTAGGGGTTCCGGGTTTGTAACAAGGACAAAACTCGAGCCACAGTCACCGCTTCTCTTCTCGACTTCTCGACACTTTGTTCATAGTGACGTAAACATGCTGCAGGAGTCTTTTATACCCTTCGTAGCGGGCGCTTCATGCAGTGGATACAGAACTCCAGTATACTCGTGCTCAAACCGGATAGGCCTAGATAACGGAAACTGCGTTCAGAAGGCCTTCAGCTCGACGCAAGCGAGGCCAACACAGCGGACAAGATCACACTGTAAGCCTGAATCCTACAGTAACCCTTGGAATCTAAGCCTCAAAACCCAGACCCTTAACTCTTGACCCCCGCCAACCCCTAAACTCTGAATCCTGAACCTCAAACTTTGAACCCCGAACCCTACAGCACTAAACCCCAAACCCACGGCCCAAATCACGGAACTTGGGCGAGCTAGGAGACTCCAACATCCCTTAAGTACTCGTAAGGCATATACCTTAAATCATGGTAGGATCCCTAATATGATGTAAGGTATATTCCTTAAGCCTCTTCATGAAGGGATATAAGAATCCCCTAAACCCGAAACCATATAGATTCCGTATAGGAACCCTCGCCCTAGGTATTCCTTAATCAAGGGATACCTGGAGACTCCAATATCCCTTAGTTAAGGAATATCCCTTAAATTCTATTCGGGATCCTACTACAGTTTAAGGTACATTCCTTAGTTAAGGGATATGGAGTCTCTGGGTATTGGAGTCTCTGCTTGGAGGTTCATGGGTAGTTATAAGTAGGGTTATAAGCAGCGTAGCTATACTTATAACCCATATCAGGGGACGTATAACCCCACGTCTAACTACCCATGAACCTCCAAGTAGGCCCTAATTAAACTCTACACCCGTATGGAATCCCTATAGATCCCTTTAAAGGGACCCTTAAAGGAACCCTTATACCTACCCATGAACGTCCAAGTGGCACCTTCATGACCGAGGCTATGAGTTTGTCCCAGATGCGTGCTGCCGAGAAGACGGCCCAGACCAACTACGAGCGGGACAGACGACAGAGCCACCGTTTAGGGTTTAGGGTTTAGGGTTTAGGGTTTAGGGTTTAGGGTTTAGGGTTTAGGGTTTGGGGTTTAGGGTTTGGGGTTTAGGGCTTAGAGACCAACCCCCGTAGATCTCTTTAAGGCTTCCTTAAAGGGTTCCTAAAAAGGCTTCCTTTGAGGCTTCCTTTATGGGGGCCTGTAGGGTTTTAGGGCTTAAGGATTGGCCTTGCGTTGTTTTCGTTTGATCTCTAGGATTAGGGTTTATGGATTAGGGTTGCGGAGTGTTCGTGTCAGTAACGACCCTGATTTTGGCAGGTTCAGCTATCTCTCTCTCTCTCTCTCTCTCTCTCTCTCCCCCCAAAACTTGTTCTGAGTTTGTTGCCAGCGCCAAATCCGAAGGCGTCGCCTTCGTTTTTGCAAACCCTAAATCCCTAACCCTAAACCCCTAACCCTAAACCCTAAACCACTAACCCTAAATCCTAAACCCCTAACCCTAAACCCCTAAACCCCTAACCCCAAGTTTATCAAACTTTGCGGGGCTTCTCAGGTTCAGAGCTCTCCGGCCTCAGGTGGGGCTCAAGAGCTCCGGGTATCTTCGTAGATGAGCCTTTGACGACTTAAAGGGGCTTTACAATAAAACCCGAAACCCTAAACATTACCAGAATGGAAAGGTTCACTTTTGAGGGCCTTAGCCTTAAGCAATTTTTTTTTCTCCTTCTCTCTCTCTCTCTCTCTCTCTCTCTCTCTCTCTCTCTCTTTGATGTAAGCACTGTACTGCATTGTGCTGTCCTAGACAGTACTGTGCAGAAAAGTCATTCTTGCCATGCCATGTCATGAAGTAACTATGCAGCATATTGCACTCTGGCATAACGTAGTGTAGTGCAGTGTAGTGTATGATGCAATGTGTTCCATGTCTGTTTTCTTGAATTCCTTACAAGTGTGGGAAACCCCTTGCTGACACGCAGCCGCCATCGTAGAACATCAGTTAGGACTTGTTTCTCCGCGGTTGGTTTCGAACCCAGGAGATACGATTCAAAAGGCAAAGAGCACTCCGAACGTGCGAACAGATGCCCTACGATATCGGCTCTCGGGGGTTTACGATATACCTTAGGTACTGTCCCCATACAGTAAGAGTCTATGATAGGGCTACTATTAAGGTCCTAGTATATCTACATTATGAGTATTGTTCGACTATTAACTATTACTGAGTGGGGGCCGTACCCAAGATATACCGCAACATCCTGCCATTCATCCCTATCGGTACATCCTAAGCCATAAGCCCTGAACCCTCAGCCCCTGAACCCTCAGCCCTAAGCCCTAAGCCTCCCAGCCCTAAACCGTAAACTCGATCTGCTTCTGAACATAGCAGCGCTTCAGTGCTCCTGGCCTTGTGTTCAGCCTTTGCACAGCCCTAAAGAGCCACGGTTTAGGGTTTAGGGGTTTAGGGGTTTAGGGTTTAGGGTTTAGGGTTTAGGGCCTAGGGTTTAGGGTTTAGGGGTCAGGGGCCCTAAAGCCTTAAAGGCCGCTAGGCCCCAAGCCCAACACCTAAAGGCCTAAACCCGAAGATCCGACCCAAACCCGAGCCCTAAACTCCAAGACCGAAGCCCCTATATGCCAAATCCCCCAAGCTAACCCTAAACCCTAAACCCTAAACCCCGAAACCCTAAACCCTAAACCCCAAACCCTATACCCTAAACCCCTGAACCCTAAACCCTAAACGCCAACAGGACACCCAAGACATGAAGTTGGAGAAGACCCAGAAGGAGAAGGCGGCTTGCTTAGGAAACCTTCGACCTTCAAGCCTAGAGCTTGGTTGAATCCGTACTGTAGGAACCTGATTAAGAAACCCTGGGCCTATAACCCCCAAGTAGTTGGATTCATATAAGGAACCCTAATAAAAGCCCAAGGTTTCTTAATCAGGTTCCGACATTACACCTGGACACTTTAATCCCGCAAACGGTGTAAAGGTTCAGGGTTTAGGCTTTTAGGGGTTTAGGCGGTTTAGGGTCAAGGGGTTTCCATGGTCCCGAGGCCCGTGTCTATCAAGAGGGCTGAGGTTTGGGCTTACGGCCTTCGGGTTTGAGGCCTAGGCCTTGGGTTCCCCTAAACCCTACCTTAAGCCCCCATACCCGGCTTATTTGTAGGTTCCTATTATAAACCCTAATATGGAATTCATGGGACCCGACTTTTTTATAGGTCTTGGTAAGGGAAGGTAAAGCTTACGGTTGAGTTAGCTTGAGGAGTCCAGCAGCAAAGGCCACAGAGGTGAGGAGGTAGACTTTGTTCTACTCGGGGTCATCTACATATATGTACCAATATTCTGCACACAGAGATATAGGTATGCATCCCTACGGTTGATGATATATATCCTGCATGACCCATAATAAGGAATATACCATAATTCCCATAGTTTAGGGTCCCTAAAGTAATGCAGGATTTATATCATCAACAGTAGTTTGAGAAAATGTCTAAACTTGCTTGGGCTCGACCGAACTGGACTAATGCGAGGCTTCAGGGCTTCGGGTCAACATGGGCCCTCAGCCCGAAACCGCCCCCCAAAGCCCAAACCGGTTTAGGGTTTAGGGTTTAGGGTTTAGGGTTTAGGGTTTAGGGTTTAGGGTTTAGGGTTTAGGGTTTAGGGTTTAGGGTTTAGGGTTTAGGGTTTAGGGTTTAGGGTTTAGGGTTTAGGGTTTGGGGGTGTATGGTTTTGGATTCAGGAAAAGCCGCACCTGAAGCTCGAACCCGAAAGTACAATGGACCCTAATCCCCGCAAAAACAGCGCTACCTTGTAACATGCTTCCAAGGCCCAAAAGACCTTGAAACCTAAACCGCAAAACCCCTAAACTTTGATCCTTCCACCCTAAACCGTAAACCCTGAACCTCTAAGCCCCTAAAACCCTAAACCCATAAAGCTCTGAACCCCCTGTTTAAACCCTAAACCCCTAAACCCTGAACCCGTAAACCCTAAACCCCTAAACCCTAAACCCCTAAACCTTTAAACCCCCAAAAGCCTAAACCCCTAAACTCTAAACCCTAAACCTTTAACCCACCAAAAGCCTAAACCCCTAAACCCAAAAGCGTCGGGAGGACATTGAGTACAAGACCGCGGAAGCTCAGCGCCTGGACACCGAGCTCAACAACTTGAATGCGGACCAGGCTGGGCTCGGTTCAGGGGTTCCTTTAAGGGGGTAGGGTTTAGGGTTTGGGTTGGTTCAGTTGCTCCTTATTAAGGGGGGTTCTTGGGTCTCGGGGTGCCTTTAAGAGGGGTTCTAGAATGGTGCCATAAGAATTCTACTGGTAGGGTTTAGGGTATCGTTGGGTTTAGGGTTTAGGGTTCTTTTGAAGGGGCTCTACAAGGGTACCATAAGGACGTTAGGAGTTTAAGGTTTAGGGTTTGGTCTAGGGTTTAGGGGTTTGGGGTTGGTGTTAGGGGTTGGGCTTGAGGTTTCCAGCGATTAGGGCTCTATGCGGTTTCTATAAGGCTGTTGTACGTGGAGGATTTAGAACAAGTCTCGAGATTTTCTGTGTTCAGAGTTTCAGGGTCAGGGTATAGGATTTCAAGTTTAGGGCTTAGGGCCTTCAACTTGAAGCTTTTCGGCTGGGCAACTTGAGAATTGAGGTCTTGAGGTCTGGGACGTTGGGTTTCCGGCTCAGGCTGAGTTTGTGAAGGCCTAAAGTCCTAAAGGCTTGGTGTTTGAGGGTTCAAGCTTTGCGTTTTAAGGTATAGGCTTCCGGTTGGCAACCCCAGCTTTCAAATCGAGGTCCTTGAGCCAGAGTTGTGCCCTGAACACCCCCCACTCTTCAAAGTCCCAGTCTAGTTAGCAAGGCACCTCGACCAAAATCCTATAGATCCCTGTGGCATCCCTTTGCATAGAACCCGCATACACCCCTTTGTTCAGAACCCTTGCTTGGGAGCCCAAACCCTAAACCCTAAGCCCTAGAACCTAAACCCTAAAACCCTAAACCCTAAACGCTAAACCTAAACCCTCAAACCCTGCTCCAGGAGAGCATGCAGACCGAGATGAGCGCCATCATGGAGTTCACCAAGGGCCTCGAGGCAATCTGCCTCGCAGGGTGGGGGCCGTTGGGGCTGTGGGGTTCATATGGGGGCTTCCGAAAATTAGGGGTACCCTCTTTTAGGGGTCCTTATAATGAGGATCCTACTATTCAGGGTATTATAGTAGGGTCCCCGATCTTCTGAAACTCCCATATGAGGTTTAGGCTTTAGGCTTGACAGCGGGCATAGCATAGAGGACTGAGTAATAGCGGCCCGGTTAACGTGTCTACATCGTTGTAGTACATCATGCCCCCAAAGCCATGTGAAGTAGGGCTTCTATTACCATTTTGGTGAGTGTAGATAGGGCTCCTTTTGAATTTTGGTGAGTGTATGTATTGGGTTTTATTATGGGGATACTAGTAATATAAACCATACTCTATGTCCTAACCATTGGGGTGGTCTCAGGGTTCCAGGCTTTGGGGGGGGGGGGTTTTGGGGTTCAGGGCATTGAGCTTTCGGTTTGAGCTTTCCGTTTCGAACTCAGGTCTTCCAGAGCCCCCCGTCTAAATATACTATGTCCATATATATTATTATGATTATTTAATTAAAACAAATATATAAATAATAGAACTTATTGGACTGAAGCCCAACGCCCTGCACTTGCAAACCGTAGATCCTGAGCGAAACCCTAGTTGGAGGTATGGGCAGCTATAACTGGGGTTATAAGTCCCCTAATATAGGTTATAAGTATAGTTACCCGATTTATAACCCTACCTCTAACTGCCCACGAACCTCCAAGTAGACCCTAAACGCCGAACCCGAAACCGCCTAAGCCCCAGATCCCGAAATGCTGGAATCCAAGGGTAAAAGGAGGGACCCTCAATAAGGACCCCTAGGTATACACCCTTAATATAGCTATTATATACCCATTATATAGCCCATTATTGGCTAGGGGTCCCCATTAAGGGTCCCTCCTTTTCCCCTTTGATCCCTAAACCCTATAGATCCCTTTAAAGGAATCCTTATAGATCCGTTTAAAGGAACCCTAAGAGCCTAAGGGTCCCTCCCTTTCCCCTTTGATGGAAGAGGCAGAGTGCCTCGTTACCCCGGAGTCTTTCGCTGAGAAGCAGGCCAAGCGCCAGCAGGCCAAGGGGATGACTAAATGGGTCCTTTAAGGGGTAGGGTTTAGGGTTTAGGGTTTGGGTTTAGGGTTTTAGGGTTTAGGGTTTAGGGTTTGGGTTTAGGGTTTAGGGTTTAGGGTTTAGGGCTTAGGGGTTTAGGGTTGGGGTTGAGGGTTTAGGGGTTTAGGGTTTAGGGCTTAGGGTTAGGGTAACTTCAGGGTTCAGGGTTTAGATTTTAGGGTTTATGGTCTATGCCTATAGTAGCCGTCATGGAATAAGTTGCTAGTATGATTTTGCTATGGCCCCTCTACACCCAGAATCCCAGCCCAGTCCGATATTCAAGGATTCGAAGTCCCCGAACCTCCGACTCCTTCAGGCAAGGAGCCCGTAGTTCAAGGTTCTATCTTTCCGCACTATAGGGGCCTTAATAGTCATCTATATTATTTTGGGGGTTCCTTATTATTGTTATTAGTTATTAAAGTATAATGGGTCCCAAAGCCCTATTCTAGTTATTAAGGCCCTTATATTTAAAGGTTTCCGAGGGGTTGATGGAGTTCCAGGGGCCTTACAGGAGCAAGAGACGCACAAAGTTCGGTAGCGATCCTCGAAGAGACATTTGCAGAACCATGGACATACTGAGCCTTACTATTAAGGGCCTACTCAGGAACCTAGCATTATGAAAGCCTCATTGATTACCAATGTTATTCCTCAGGGCTCCTTAGTAATTATCATACGATATCCCGCAAAACCTTATTCTAAGGTAGGGTCCTAAACCCTAAAATCCTACAGCCGTAAACCCTTATATAAACCTAAACCCTAAAACCCTAAACCTAAACCCTAAACCCAAACTATAATCCCTTAACTCTAAACCCAAACCATAAATCCTGAACCCTAAGCCTTGTAAACCCTAAACCCCTAAAACCCGGGGTGTCTGAAAGGAGATCGATGGCTTGAAGGAGGCTCTCACTGCCTTGGATGCCACTGCTGGCACCGCTCTGCTGCCCGGACCCTTCTGTGACCCCAAATGGACAAAGCATAAACATTTTATATCCCACACAGAGGGTTTAGGGTTTCGGGGGTTTGTATGGGATATCACTATGCTGCCCGGACCCTTCTGGAACTCCGGAGAAGTTTGGGGAAGATCGTAAAGTTCTCGCAAGAGCTACGATTTTGGGGTTTTTGGGTTATGTTCAGGGGTTTCGGGTCTAGGGCTTAGGGTTTTGGGTTCTGAGTTTGGGGCTTAGGGTTTAGGGATTAGGGTTTAGGAGTTAGTGCTGGGGGTTTAGAGTTTGCGGGTCTCGGGTTTGGGATCCTCACGGGTAGGCGCGGAAGAAAGGGCGGACTCTCTAGACCGGGACATCACGCATTCGCCCCCCGAATACCCTCCTTAACCCCAAACTCTAAACCCTACCAAAACGCCTATATACCCCCTACTCACTCCGAAAACCTTAAACCCTAACCCCTTACCCCTATAACCCCTAAAGCCTAAACCCTAAACCCCAACCCCGAAACCCCAAACCCTGAACCAAGAACCCAGAACCCTAAAACCCTTTCGCAAAACGAGTGTGCTCGAAAGCCTACACTTTGGCTTCAGCTGGGATCAACCTTTAACCCTCGAGCCCACAAGGCCTCCACTTCCACACTTTCAGCCCAAGGCCGTTCTGGCCTTTAGGGTGAGGGTTTCGGGTTTAGGGCTTATGAAGCCTTGTTGAACTGATTCTTGCAACCTGGAGTTGTAGCAGTCAGAGACATTATGGTGCCATACACGAATCCCAAATCCAATATTGATGATAGTGATACATCGGCAAAGTACATTTCAAGAGCAACGGCAGACATTTTGCATAGCCGCTCTAGTCTTGTATTCCGTAGCCGGGTACGACGGACAGTTCATAACACATAGAAGATCGGCATCAATCAAGCCCAGCACCAAGACCACCCGAAGCTCTTAACTGCACACCCTAAACCCTAAACCCTAAACCCTAAACCCTAAACCCTAAACCCTAAAGCCCTAAACCCTAAACCCTGCATAGACGACCCTAAGCCTTGGAGAGCTTGGCGGTACCTTTGGTAATCCCGGAAGACACTACGCCAAACCACGAACCCGAGCCACGGTTTAGGGTTTAGGGTTTAGGGTTTAGGATTTAGGGTTTAGGGTTTAGGGTACCCTCAACCTCGAAACTCTTCAGTCATGAACCTTCCACCCTAAACTCAAAGGCTAGAGGTCGTAATGGTTTGGCTTAGACCCCCCTTTAAGTTCCGTAGAATGTACGGCGCTGCGCACCCAAAACCCAATTCAGAGTGCCAAAGACCCCTAAACCCTAAACCTACTCTTACCCTAGCAGAACCCATATCTCTCGTAGATCCCTTAAAGAGCCCCAAAAGCGCCTTTAACCTGAAACCCTAAACCCTAAATCCTAAATCCTAAACCCCTAAACCCTGAGTTCTAAACCCTAAACCCCTAAACCCTGAATTCTAAACCCTAAACCCCTAAACCCTGAATTCTGAACCCTAAACCCCTACACCCTGAATTCTAAACCCTGAACCCTAAACCTTAGCCCCTAAGTCAGGTTGCAGCGTGGACCCCGGGCCCTCCGTGGCCAGGGAGTGCTCAAGGCTTAGGCTGCGGGCCTGGGCTTTTTGGGCTTTTTAGGGCTTTTGGGTTTAGGGCTTTTGGGTTTAGGGCTTTTGGGCTTTAGGGTTTTAGGGCTTTAGGGTTTAGGGCTTTAGGGCCTTAGGCTTTAAGGGTTTAGGGCTTTAGGGTTTAGGGGTTTAGGGTTTAGGGGCTTAGGGCTTTAGGGCTTTAGGGGCTTAGGGCTTAGGGGTTTTGGGTTTTTGGGTTTGGGGCTTTAGGACTTTAGGGTTTAGGGTATTTCAAGGGTAGGTTTAAGGTTCAGAATTTCGGGTCTAAGTCTAGGGTCCCTTTAAACGGTACCATAAGCGGCCTTGGTGTTGAATTTCGGTCTCGGGTTCCCTCGAAGGGTTTCGGGGTGCTTTAAAGGGTACTATAAGAACATAATGACGGTACGTACAGGGGGGTCCACTTGATGTTGCCAAAAGGGTGACTATAAGGGTTACTATAAAGGTGATCGGGTTTGGTGTGAAGGGTTCAGGTGTTTAAGGTAGGTAGCAGTAGCAGTAGCAGTTGACGGTGATTTGGTGGGCTGCTTATTCCACGGGCCATGAGGAAGCGCTGCCTGGCGAGGAGTTTCCAGAGTTTCTGGAGCGATACCTCTAGAGGATCCAGTCCTGCCTGCACCGATGGAACAAAAAGGGGAGCCTGACGGAGAAGTCGAAGAGCTTCGAAGCCAAGTGGTGCGACGCTGTGTGCACTAAGATCTTTAACATCGGGCTTGAGCCCGAGGAGGACCTGGATCCTGAGATCCAGGTTCTGACGGTCCTGGAGCAATACTTCCAGAGAAGATACAACCCAGGAGAGCTTGGATGTTTGGGGCCACTGAGACGGCGAAGTTTGCTGGGGAACACGGGGAAAAATGTATGGTATTTTGTTTGTCGTGACTGTTGAAAAGACTTGGAGTGTGTTTTCTGTTTCAGTAGCAGTAGCAGTAGTAACAGTAGCAGTGCAGTAGCTGTAGCAGGAGCAGCAGCAGTGGCAGTAGCAGTAGCAGTAGCAGTAGCAGTAGCAGTAGCAGTAGCAGTAGCAGTAGCAGTAGCAGTAGCAGTAGCAGCAGCAGTAGCAGTAGCAGTAGCAGTAGCAGTAGCAGTAGCAGTAGCAGTAGCAGTAGCAGTAGCAGTAGCAGTAGCAGTAGCAGTAGCAGTAGCAGTAGCAGTAGCAGTAGCTGTAGCTGTAGCTGTAGCTGTAGCTGTAGCTGTAGCAGTAGCAGTAGCAGTAGCAGTAGCAATAGCAGTAGTTGTGCGTAGTAGCAGTAGGCGCAGTAGCAGCAGTGCTATGACCAATAAGAAGCGTACATGTAGTAGTACTCGAAAGATCAGCAACAATCATCGCGGCACTCTTTTGGATGTCTCTGAAGCAGAACCCCATCATATACTGTAACCGCTAAGTCCTAAAGTGCTTGCGCCAGGAATGCCCAAATTGCTGAGCTCGCAGCACTGGACGACCGACCAGCGAGCACAGAGATTGAAAACGGGGGCGGGGGGGGCGGGGACAAGTCCAGTTTTCGGTTCAATGTCGTGGTTGACCTTTCAATAGAATTCTACCCGGAAGTCGCTAGGCTTTTTCGTTGAGGTTTGGGATGCAAGCATATCCATCTGCATGCAATGTATGCTCGCAGCATATGTGTACACAGACAAATTTCTGCGCATGCACAGAGGCATATACGCGCAACGGCTGGCAGATGCGCGTTCTGCCTCACTGCGAAAGTACACTAGTCCAGAATGCGCACCAAACTACCCTAAAGTAATTCCGTGCACAAGCTCACACGACTTAGACCAAAGTAACCCTGAAGTTCAGCAGCGCCTTTTCTCGTAGGGCAAAGTGGTCTTGAGCCAACAGATGGTTGGCAAAGTCGTAGGTCTGGGAGAAAGTGGGGACGTGTTATTTTCACACGCCTCCTCGAGACTAAAGGTACTTACTTTATTCTCGCAAAGTACAATAACACATAAAAGTGTACATGTACATGTGTGAGCTCACGGCCAAAGTTTTGCAAAGCAGCTGCTCGGAGAAAGTTGCAACGAGGTCTCCTATCTACAACCTCAAAAGTTGACTTGTAAAAGAAAGCGTTCGTAGTGCTCGTGGTGCAAAGTGTCGTGACTGCGCACGGCACATCAAAGTGCAGCGTGGCCCAAAAGTGGTTGGCCCATTTAAGTGCAGCAACCAAAGTAGCACCAAGCGTCAAAAGACACCGAAAAGTGTGCTGTTGGCCCAACCTCGAAAGGCGAAAAGTGGCCTTCACAACCTCGCAGGGCGCGTCAAAGTTGACGGCGTAGCGCCAGCGAGGGGCACCCAGCCCTCGGGCATATCCTCACAAAGTTGGTACACCTCTGGGAGGATCGGCAGGTGCATCAGTCGAAAGTGACGACACTGCACACCATATGTACCATCAAAGTAGCGATTGAGATCGCCGACCAAAGTGTACGGTGCCTGGCCAAAGTGTCTCACCACGCAAAAAGTCAGAAAAGTAGGCTGCATTGGGATCTGCAAAGTCGCGACTTTCACCAGAAAGTCCACGTACCTCCTGTTCCAAATCCTGGCCTGTCCACTTCCAAAGTTGACTGCCAACCAATGTTGAGTTGGTCGGAAGCCAAACGTAGCGATTTCTTCATTGGCAGCAAAAGGAAAAGTCACTCCCTGCATCTGAGAAATCGACAGCTGGAAAGTGTAGAAAAGATAAGCCGACCGTGGGCTGAAGGAAATGTTCAGGCAATTCTCCAAAGTACCCACCACATCCTGAAAGTGAACTGTAAAAGTTCCACTCTGGCGGGCAGCGGTCAAGGCTCTATCCAAAACGCTCATTGGCAAAGTAAGATATAACATGAAGGGCGACCATGCCGAAGGATCGCCTGGCAAAGTGCTCCCCGGACTCACATGGAATACCCAGAAAAGTTGACTGCGCATCAACATGTAAAGTTCGGGTGCCGTCATGCTTGGCGACACCGGGCTCAACCCAGGGAAAAGTATCGACTTTCCCAGGACAAAGTTGTTGTCAAAAGTTGTCCCAGGGCGAAACAACTGCTCCATCTGGCGGCCACCAAAAAGCATCTCAAGCATAAGCTGCAAAGTGCCCCAAAAGCCAAAGTTCGAAAAGTCAGGGACAAAAGTCCCCTGACCAAAACCATGGCCAGGCCGTGGCCGCTCAATCGATGGCGGCAAAGTGGCAGGCGGCCTCAAAGTCTTTGGCGCCATCGCTGCAGAAAGTTCCACAGCAGCACCGGCCAAATGTGCAGGTCCGGCACTTCTTGATTGATAAAGCGCCTCAAATAGAAAAGTGCGTAAGCTGCGTACGCGTCAAAGAGCAATTGCAGAAAGTGCCTCGCTCCTCCAAGCCAGGGTTGCTCCACAACTCCAGACAGGGACAAAAGAAAAGTACTGAAAAACGCAGTGAACTGTAAGTTCGTCCAGAAGGGCAGCTCAGACCTAAAAGGTTGCAAAGGAACAGATAACCGATAAAGTAACCTGATCCAAAAGTGCTGGTCCGCGATCTCCCTTCGGAGAAAAGTCTCCGACTCAGCCAGAGTTTCCAGATCACCTGGTTCCAGAAAAGTTGTTTGCCTCGCACGGGCAATGTCAGCGAGCAGCCGGCGGTCAAAGTTGACCGTTTCCAAAAGGTCCTCCAGAGAGGCCCGAAGTGACCAAAGTCGGGTCACAAAAAGCCTCAGGAATTCCCAAAGGCGGAACCACAAAGTTCGGTTCCTGTACCAGCGTGCCACCGAAAGTACCGTCACACGGCAAGATCTCAGCAAAGTCACCACCTCTGTGGCATCCATGCCGGCTCCATCCGTTAGGCAAAGTCGAAGTGAAACGGGCAACGCAGAACGAAAGTGGCGACGAAAAGGCGCAAAGTTAAAACCAAAACCCACGACAAAACCCGAACACCCTGAACGGGAAAGTCAAGTGAGCTTACATATGTATATTAAAAGTGGTGCCGTTGCACCTTAAAACCATCATCAAAAAAATCATCCACCATCAAGGTTTCACGGTAAAAGTTTCTTCCTTTTCGGAACGGAGAAAACGGAAAACAGAAAGGTCACCTTCAAAGTTGGTTCCGGAAAACTGAAAGTTCCTAAATCGAGCGAAAGTCGAAGACATGTCGAGACTGCACAAGCAAGCAAAAGTACAGCAAAAGTACATGTCCGCAAAAGTACATGTCCGCACAAGCATGAAAAGTACATGTCCGCAAGAACGTGATTCTCTCAGCTCTCAAAGTCTTCTTCTCTCTCATCTGGGTTCTTCTGGGGAAGATGATGAGTGGCAAAGTCCAACCCGAGATGGGGTGGCTAAACCTCAAACCCGAAAGTAGGAAGATGGCGGTGCAAAGTCTCCTTCGCGATATACTTCGTAAGGATATCTGCTGGGTTCAAAGTACCAAGAACTTTCTTAATCCTAACCATACCAGAAGCAACAAGTTCTTGCACATAAAGATATCGTAACTCTACGTGCTTCGTCTTGCGGCTGGCGCCGAAACGTGAGGCAATACTTTTGCCAACGTTGCTGTCTGTAAAAACACAAAGGTTAGCCTTCTGAAAGATCTTGCTCTCTTCCACCAAAGACCTCACAAAAAGAGCGTCAGCAGTACCAGAGCCTATAGCGTAAAGTTCTGCCTCTCCACTCGAGAGGGCCACAGTGGCCTGGGTCCTGCTGTGCGAAAGTATATTCGCCCCGAGCACAAAGAGGGAAACTCCTGAAGTGGAGCGTCGGGTGTCGTGGCATCCTGCCCAATCGCTGTCAACAAAAATGTTGATGTCTATTGCTTTGTGCTGCGGTGAAAGTGAGAGGGTTGGTTGCAGTTTCTGCTCAAAGTGCTTTGTTCCTGCCAGGTACTTCAAAAGATGCTTGACCTTTGTTTCGTGTTCTGTGGTCGGTGCAGAAAGTCCTCGGCTCAACTCCTTGACAGCATACATGATGTCAGGGCGCACGCTGGAAAGCCACAAAAGTTGGCCCACAGCGCGCCGGTAGCGCTTGTGATCCTCAGGGTCCAAAGGTT